TTTGTAGAAAGTGCCTATTCAGATCTTCGCGATATTTTTTTCATAATTTTAGAGGTTTAAAATGGATTCCGCTATATAGAAAAGGATGGCACCCAACTTCAAAACAACAACTTTGGCACATTCTAGGCTTTCACTTTTATTGAACATTTTAACAAGATGTCTTGAACCTTTGTTGGTAAATATGAGCAAGTTAGTAATTATGTTTCATGGAAAATTCCATTGTATCAAAACTATAAACGTTAGAAAGAAAAATATAGTTCAAATGAAGCCTTTGACTGCTGAAATTAAAAATAATAATTAAATTCCGAGCAACAGCGTCATCAGGGATAAGAAAAATATTTCGCGCGGTAATATACATAAGAAAAAATGGTGTAAAGTAAAAAGGGGGGGAAAGCGCAAGAATGGGGTGGAATGTATCAGAGGTATAAAAATATAAATTTGAATAAAATACAAAGATCTGATGAGCGAGTGTCACAGGACAAAGAGTCTCTTGAAAGGCAAAAGGTCCGCAAGTTCGTTGGATTGCTCACGGGACTTTTGGGCTGTCTCAATATAAATCGAACACCAAAAAAACATGCTAGTTGATAAAATCTCTCTCTCGAAAAAAATTCGAATTCTAAAAAAAAGGTCCGGAAATACGTTGCATTACTCACCGGAGGTGAGGACTGGTTCAATATAAATCGACCTTCGAAGAACACGCTGGATCTGATAAACGTTTTGAGAATATAAACCTATACCTTGATCAACTACCGCTTAAAATTCAATTCACGAAGGAAAAGAGAACAGTGAAGACCCTGGTTCTGAGTCGAGAAGCGAACACGCTACCTCAATGTAAATCGAGCTGCAAAGAACAAGCTGGTTCTGACAAAAATTTGAGCGTAAAAATCTATTCCTTGATCAGCTGCTGCTTTTAACGCAATTTATAAAGCAAACCAGAGCACAAATTGCCCTTTCAAACTAGAAATCGTATTAAAGCTTGCTCACCTGTTAGGTCCTCTGGAACAGACAACGAACAGCTGCACACTGAATCACCCAATTTCGGATCACGAGTTGTAAATACAAGACCGTCACTACCCAAATATGGGGTCTTACGTACACCAAAATATGGTCAAAAATGCAAATTTTAGAGGGTTACGCAGAATTTGAGAGTTTTTGCGTACATTGCGTGGCGTTATAATTCTGCCGCCGAGTCAACCTCGCTTCTTAGCTCGGTTCCCTCGTTGGGAAAAATTCGAGTGTGAAGCGCGAGCATTTTTTCTAGCGCTGTGTCCCAAGAAAATAAAAACCATACACCTGACCTGATACAACTCTCTTGGAATCTGAAGATGACTATTGCACGGGTTGCCGAAACGTCAGTCACTGTCAACAACAGTCCTATTCAGAGGGTCTGAATGGGGTGATAGCTTTGACGGTTGACGGTTGACAGTTATTAAGTACAAATTTAGTCCAAGAGTTTAAGGTCGCGGAGGACACCTTGGGCTCATTGTTATGCATTTATTTAAAGCGTATGCACGAAGTATAACGACTAATTTTGACAGGTTGACGAGATATTCATAAATGGATAAAAGATGAGCGCATAATTTAAATTATCATTTGATGCAATTTTTTTTTTCTTTTTCATTGGCCGAAAGCCCACCACAAATAATGGTCTGCTCATTCGCAATGTCGTCCAACTGTGCTTGGCTTCAAAAAATATTCTGCTCATGAGTAAACGAAACCACCCTTTTCTCCTTCTTGCGATCGCTCTTGCGTGAAAAATGGCAGATCACTTCGCTTCCCGAAGATATTCATTAAAAAAATCAAACTTGGTGATCGAATGATAAAACAATTATTGAACTCGGTTATCCCAAAATATCGTGATTTGTCAGTGTCTCGCAGATCAATAGTTCAGTTTCGAGTTCGCTATGAAGACGCATTTTTTACAGGCTAAGCCTCCATCTGAAGTAATATATTTACAAATTCCAACGAGAAAAATACCTCTTTATTTTTTTGTCTATTGTGTATATTCAAATTTCTAAAACTTACTTGCCGGAATTTCTGAATATTTTTATTTACGTCGAGGCTAACCCTGTATAAATGTGTCGTTAATGCTTGTGTTCAGCGGTAATTTTGAATTCGAAACTAGACTATAGAGTGTTTTCACATGACGTCACGGCGGCCATATTGGTGTCCCAAAACAATGAAACGGCGGCCATGTTGGTCTCCCAAACCCATCCGCTGGGAGTTGAACTCTTTTCTTATGCAAACGCTTTCTTTTGTTCCAATAAATTTGCATAGATGCTGGCCACATGAGTGAAAACACTCTGTTATTTGGCTCAGTCTTCGGCTTCGCCAAATAATTGATCTACTGCTCGCCACTGACAAGTCACGATATTTTGCTCAACCTTGTCCACTAATTGTTTCAGTGATTTTTAATAATATAGAAATAAAAATAAGGATAAGGAAATCTTTAGAAATTTCAACCAAATTTATTAATACCAAAACAATTTTTACGTTTTTTTGTTTCGCCTCCAAAATCCTTGAAAACACTGCAGCTCATAAACAAAATTAAAGCGTGGAGATTAGCATAATTACATATCTTGCTTGGAACTTGTGATTTAGTCGTTTACCTTCGGCAGTCTCGAAATTTGACTTTTCCAACAATTTTGTGTCCAACAATTCAGTGAAGATACAAAACAACACGAGCTGGCACTGCAGAGGGGTAAACTAATGGTAGACTGTAGCGGAATTCTAAAAAGAGCGCTTTTATAAAAAGATATAAGCAATAATAATAATCATCATCATCATCGTCATCATCATCATCACCATTTATACCATCAACAACATCCTCCTCCTCATCATCATCATCACCATCATTATCACCCGCCATCTTTATCATCGTCATCGTGTTTTTGCCTTCGTTCTCGCGGTCTTCTTCATGATTATTCTTTTAAGCGAGGTAGTCAACGAACACTTTTTTTTTTAACTAATGCATTCTCTCTCCTTTTATATAATTACAATGTTACCAACTATAGGACACTTAGAAAACTCTAGAAATGAAAAGCAATTTGAGAATATTATGGCATTTGAAGTGACCTAAAGCGCAGCTCCAACATTTGGCATATTAGCCACACCAGACTCCCCGATCCCTTGATTCACTTTGATACGGAGGCCCTCCTAGGGGGTTTAGGCATGTCCCTCAAAAGCTGTCACTTCGCATATTGAGGAGGAAGCCATATGTCGCTTTCGGTATTTTACTATTTGCGCTTTTCTCTGTCGCTGTCGCTGTCGCGGTTTCAACCCATCTTTGTGTCATTTGCCGCCATTTCTGCTGTCCTATGTCGCTGTTTCAAGGCCATGTGGCTTGTCGAAATTTACCCTAACCATGCTAACAGGGCCTCTTATAAGGGCAAGCGTTTAAAATGCCTGCTGCTGAAGTTTACGATGGCAGATTGAGTTTATCATATTAGTACTGCAGTTACTTTTGAAACTACTACTTTATTCACGCTGATAATAATGTAAAATGTTCTAATGCTAACGATAATGTATTTCTGTAGTTGCCACAAAAGTACGAGCTGCACTAAACGAATGACATTTCATAGTCCAGCCTGGCCGGAAAAACACCCAGAGACTTTAAATAACTGAGGAGGAAGTGCTGCCCCAGTACTGGACTGTTAAATTGGTCAGACCTTTTTAGAGACGTTTTCAGTCCTCAAGGATACAGTACTGAACTTACGCAATAGGACCGGAGAGGAAGAAGAGAGTAAACCTTGTGTGACAATCGTGACAATGACTTTCCGTGAAAAAACTTTTCGCCAAACTTCACTTCCCTTTAAAAAGATCTTTTTGTAACACGCAAGTAATAGCCCTGTCACGTTTGTCACGCACAAGTGTTTTGCCGTCCTGTTGCGTAAACTCACTAGTTATAAGCAGGACTGGTTGCTTAGGGATTGAGTTCTAACATCACTGTTTGTCGCATAGTCTGAGGAGCTGATAGGGGTCTCAGTCTACCGTGTATTGAACGCACTAATATTTCCGCCTGGTGTGACTGTGACATTGATAAATGACGAGACAAAAAACCATGCACTTTGACTGGACAGCAACCTAACGCAATTTCAAAGTATCCTCGACGATAGGTATGATTTGTGACTCCATATATAAAGGGGTTAACGCACGAGCTTACGAACACCAAAGCAGTGGTCCAATGATAAGTGATGGAGCTGAGTTGCGTGATACCGAGCATGGACAGGACGTACAGCACTTGATATGGCATCCAACATGACAGCATGAAGAGTAATGCAATCCTCACCATCCGAGTTCTCCCTTGCCGGTTGCGCAAGGCTCGGTCGCTAGGTAACACCCGGTTTTTGCCCAGCCTTGTTTTGTAGAGAATGTGGCAATAAATGCCTATCATGACCCCCAAAGGGAACGCAATGTTCAGCGCAAATTGTATAAGAGCCATGTACTGTCTTTTAGTTCCAGAAATTGGTTTCCAAGCACAGCAAAGGCTCTCCAGGTTTTGTTCGTCGTAGCTGACTTCGAAAAGTCGCGGCAATGTCGAGAAAAGCGCGATGAACAAGATAACCACATACGTACCAACCAAGCGCCGCTTCTCAAAGTTAGTCTGGTAGCTTAAAGGTTTTACGACAGCACACCAACGTTTGTAAGTTAGCACCAAACAAATGTACATTGAAGCGTCGCTTAATGTAAATAAAATCCAGCCTGACCAAAACGCGCGGCAAAAAATCTCGCTCGCTATCGCATTGCTGTCTCCGGGAAATAAGCCAGTTAAAAATACCACTGAAGACACAAGAACAGCGAAGGCGGTGAGGAAATCCGTGATAGCGAGGATCAGAAGAAATACGTTGTAAGATTTCTTCAGCAGAATTTTATTTTTTGAGAAGAGGGCACAAACTAATGAGTTTCCAAAGAATGCCAAACTTGATATTATAATAAGGGCGACATGTATAGCTTGTGCGGAGGAGTCCATTGCCATTGTAGTTTGGTCAAATTGTCTCCCACTAGCTTTCTGTTCTTGGAGGAGACTTCTTTACCATCTCTATAAAATGAAGTTATTATCATTTATCATTTTTATTTTTATCAAGCTCTTTGATTGATGAAAACAGCTGTTCCTTAGCTCATTCTCCCTCCACAAAACACGCAAGACTAAACTGATATGATCAAGGAAACTAATTTTTCAAACTACGAAAAACAAAACAAAATCAAATTCGTTTGAACTGAAAGCACGTAAAGGGAAGGATTTAGCCACATCTTTCTATTAAAACTTTTTGGGTTGTTTTTCTCACGTCTTAAGCTAGCTAAAATCTCGTAGTATTACCATCAAGATAAATGTCAAGTTCTGGCCAATTCTGAAAAATTCCCGAAAAATGAAGAAATGCTCAAGCAAGTGGCCGAAGCTCATCTTTGTACGTCATTTCACTTCGTACTATGGGAATTTCTTTACAGTTCATGCAAATCAATATTGTTTAATGTCTCAGTCCAGGATTTGAAAGTATCATGCACTGTTTTTTCTAAAGGACCTTTTTTCTGTAGTCTCGACCTGCAGGAAAACTGTAGAAATGTGTACTAGTTGCATTGGCTCTCCCTTTGCAATTTTCCAAATGATTTGAAAGCTAACTATACCATCATTATCTTCCGGATGGTTTGCTGTTTACTACACTGCTGTAGAAGGGGTTTCTAGCTTTGAGTCCAAGGCCGGGAAATGGAATCAGCCATGAGGCGTGACCATTGAAATGAAAGCTTCTGAACAGGTACAGGGGGTGGGGGGTACTCCTTATGATGGCCTATACGGGTAGGCTCCGCCCGAAAGGTATACCTTTTTAAGGCTTCAGGTATATGAAAGGGTAGGGATTTCACTAGTTGAAGTATACAGACGGGTAGGTAAATCTGTCATTTGGGTCTGTGAAAGGGCCCAAAATAGCTAATAGATGAATTTTTGTGGCTTTATAAAGTTGAGAAAACGTTCTATTTTTGTGATTAATTCCTATTTAAAAGGCAGTGCATTCACAGCAGTTAAAAGAAATGCAAAGTTCTAAACAAGGTATATGAAAGGGGTACCTTTTTCGTGAAAAATAGTATATAAAAGGTAAGGGTTTGGACCTCGTGGCGGAGCCTCCCCGTGTAAGTAAGCATTTGCTGAGTACCCCTCCCCCGGGGAACAGGTACCATGGAACTGCATGTCTATGGTGACCATTCCCGCTGTTTGAATTTTGTTCGATTTTGTGACACAGCTTTTTTGTTTATCGTGCTCGCCTTTAGTAGCACTAACTTCTGCTACTGTCATTCTGAAATTCAGCGTGTGGTAACCGTACCTTTTACGTTTTGCCATGCTAAGGCACTAACGTATGCCGGAGTACAATAAGGAAGTCTTATATTACGCAACCAACTCATCGTTAAAATGGAAGCTAAAAAGAAAACAGATTTTTTACCTTCACTGCTTAAGACGGGGCATAAGAAGTAGAATCTAGAATATAGATGTTTTGTAAAACGGAAAATTGCCCATTCTCGAACTCCACCTGCCCACTCGAGCTTTGCCACTCCAATAAGTCGCTGGAAGGAAAAAAAGAGATTTTTTTCTATTATTTTTTTCATAGAAAGGTAAAACAACAATGAAAGCTCTTATCTTCAACCGCAGGCGTGTTGGTTTAGTTATCTTGTTCTTTGATAAAACCATTTCTAGAAACGAAAAGCCATTTTAGCGATGCATAAGTTTTCAGTTATTGCGTCAAAGAAGCACGTACAAGTTAATCGCAGCTGTTAAAATGCGATTATCTAATAGTTAAAGATCGCGAGTTAATGTTCATTTACTTAACCAACGCAGCAGGGTTCAAAAATTAACTACTTCGCGTGCCGCATTACTCGTATTACATATTCATCATACCGTTCAAATCAAAATGGCTATTTCAATTAAAAAAAAAACACACACACAATTCAACGCAAAACGTTACCCCTCACGTTGAAGGTTACACTTTCGGGACAAATCGAGGGCATAGAGCACATGTTTTCAGAGTGATAAGATTTCTTCAGCTATAAAAAGGGACACGGAAAACAGAGAAAACAGTTTTTGGCATATTCGTAATTATTGGCAGAGAGAAATATGTAAGATAATTGACGGCTTTTGAGCGATGGACATCACTAAGATTGGTTAAGGGAGAGGTATTTAAAACCGAAGCTTTTAAACTGAGAATTCAATCAGTTTATTTTTTTTTTCTTTTGATCTTTAAAAAAATTACTTTGGAATTTAGGATTCGTCGAGGATCGAAGATCAAGATCACAAAGGAATTAAATAGATTTCCTATATCATTTCATACATAATTATTGTTTTGTTTTTCGGTTAAAAAATTGCCAGGCAAGAAGAAAACGTCTCGTGTTGCAGAAGTTTTTTTCGTTTTTGTGTCTTGTTCAAATGTATTTTTTTTTCTATGTTTTTTAAAAGCTAAAACTTTTCTCGCATAAATTGAATGTCAAAAATAATAGTCTAGTTTTGTTATTTAAGACTATATTTAAGCATGGAAACTGTTTCCTGTCCTCTGATGCAACAGATGGCGAGGATTGGCATGGATTGAAACTTAGAAAAGTTCGGGCCAACTTTTCAAGTTTTAATGCAGCAATTCCCGTCTCCCTTGTGAAATTTGTTTTGATAATTTGTTTGATATCTCGAACTCCTCAATAATCCATAAAGAAAATACAAATGTTTAATTAGTGTTTGGAAATTAGGTGAAAAACTGCTCATAACTGCATCTTTAATTTCCCCTGGTCAAATCATTTTGTTTGAGAAGTAATATCAAGCATTTGACACTGTGTTTCTCATGCTTTATACATCTCTTCGTAACTCCACTGGAGCATTTTATGTATCAAGAATATTGCTAATGACACTAAAAAATGACTTCAACCCAGAGTTGACCTAAAACAGCAATATCGTCGTGACGTAGCAATTTTAAATCAGCGTATATCTAGAGGATTATTTTTTTGAGGATTTTCCTTCTTGATTGCCTTTTCAATGAATAAAACCTGGAAATAAACATTTACTGTTTACACCAGAGTGGTTAAAGAGGGTCAAAAAGATATTTTCAAGAAGCCTGAGTGTTGCGTTATTTTGCTTTTGCGTTCCGAAAAGAAGAAAGACAAAATCATGATTACGTAACCTGGTAATGGAAAACGAAAAAAATATTAACAAAAATAAAAAAAATTACTGTCGGTAACCAAAAAGGAGAGAGTAAGATGCAGTTGTCCTCGCGACATCGACAGACACACAAATACAAAAATGCTGCCGAAAAATCACTGTTTAATAGAAAAAGTATCATACTGATCCGTTTTACATTTTAACCCTCGACGAAGTAAGCTAATATTGGTATTCTGCGAAAGGAAAGCTACTCAAGTAACGCACAATCTGAAAACCGGGGAGTACTACAAAATACTGAAATGCGAAACCCGCATCGATTAATAAACGAAACAAAAAAAAAAAACTATCAATTCAAAAAAGAAAACAAACAGTGTCATGCAGACATGTATTGTAAGTACACCTTTCAAGTTTTACTGAAATGTAGAAGTTATTTATAGTCTATATGAACAAAACGTCACCTTTGACTTAATCACGTGATTGCCTACAGTCTGTTCTGAACTGTGGACAGAGTAACCATTTTTATCCATTCCTTTGCTAAGGCAACGTCAAGCGTGACCAGCCCCTTATACCATTTCCGAGAAAAAGAGAGACTCACAAGGTTAATCATGACTTAGTCATCCTGGTCAAATGATCAATATAGGCATCTAATTTACTTCAAATCACTATCTAAGGTGCTTAAATTTGCTCAATTCTTCTCATCGAAGATAAATTGGGTCTAGATGAAAAGACTACCATGCAGTGATGAATCAGTAACACCAAAACAACTCTGAGAATTTTTTGCCAGCCGTTAGTCCCTAGTTAACTTGTCTTCTTCTACAGCTTTTCCGTCTTTGCTAACACCAATATGTTGAAGAATTTCAGCATCTTTGTTTTCGTTGCGCAGTGCCTTTAGCACGGGGTCGCAATGCTTAACAAACCCCTCGATAGCCTGTTTATGGAAGAACGCCAAAAAATCGTCTCTTAGCTCAACTGTAATCTCCTGGAACTCCTTCCGGCCGCCCTCATCGTTCCCATCTAGGCTTTCGAAAAACTCTTCCAACTTCTGGACGTTTTCAGATTTGCGTTGGCGCGGCGCGACTTCATACGCCACAGAGTGAAGCGAGTAAGCCATATCAAGCAGCTTGCCCCTGCGAATAACAGCCACTCGGCCAAAAACCAAGTTTCCATCTTCCGTTTTGAATTGCAACCTTCTAACCGCCTGCAATTTGCCTTCAGAAAAGTTCTTAGCCCGTTTGATAACTTTTTTGAGTCTTTCCGGCATGTTGGTTAATGCGGCGATTTCGTCGACTGTTGCATCATATTCTTCCGGGGGTATCCCCTCCATGACATCACAAAGGTTACTTTCATCGTAGCTTGAAAACTTCAGCGACTTTATGATGGTTTCTCCTTTGTTTGGATCGCCTTGGAGTTGAACGTTTCCGTTTGAGTAGGTGACAACCGCTTTCTTGGTTTCAGAGTGTTTCCGATTAACCTCTCCGCCTTCCTGTTGCTTAGCTGACACACCAAACTTGCTCATAAAGTCTGCAAACTGCAACACAACGTCCTGGGGGAGACTGGCAGCGATCATGAAAAATTCATCGCTAGCATTCTTGCATTGTTCAGGATCGTTGCAAAACATATCCGCGAGTTTGTGAGTGAAATTTTGGACTTTCATCAAGTTACCTTTCATCTGATGGAACGTCCAGCGAAATCTGGAGCCTCCCTCCGGGTACAACTTAAAGGCTAGGAAGTCACCTATTGCAGCCATCAAAATCCCTCCGAGAACAAATTTGCACGAGAACATATCGACAAATGATGTGTACAAGAGCACTACTTGCTTTTACCGTCGCCGATCGATGTCTGAGGTAGAGTGAGCTCCTCAGCTACTGTTGTGCAAAGGTATTAGATGCACCAGATAGAGTTGGCCAATCAGAATGTTTCTTTCGCTTCTAGGAATAGGGAAAAATACCCCAAAGTTCAACAAAGCACAGTGTCAAGCTTACTGGATGTAAACAGACATTTGTGTCACTAACCTTAAATAAACAAGTTACAAAACCGATACACTGTACATGTAGGCTATTATATATGTCACTGGTAAATCATGGGTAGACTAGCTGTTTTGTGGTCTATTGGGGTTTTATAACTCTCTAACTGATCATGGGAACCTCTGGAAGTCTCCAAGGTCGTTTTCCCGATATTTTTCATCTTTTTTTTTTTTGTTGCACAAGGAGGGGAACTAGGCAGAATTTGCCATCACTTTCTAAGAATTGGGACGAAAAATAACAATACACTGTCCATAAGACATGATCCTACGCACATTTTAAGTTTGCGTCGGAAGCTGATCAAATGATAGGTGCATGGCATCGTGATGTGTTACCAATAAACATGCTCAAGTTTCTTTTACTATTACTAGAGGAACAAAGTACATGGAACTGCGAAAGCCATTTTCTTACCAGACCAAGAGAGAATTTCGCCAGTTTATAGTAAGAACAAAGTAAATTCTTTCTATGGATATATTATCGGGCTAAATAGAGCCGAGTTCAAAAGCACTGCTACCTTGGTATCATAGCAAGAGTAATTCAGGAATCTTTATAAAAACAAATTACACGTCACTTTTACAAAAACGGCAATGATAGTCTACAGGACGAGATGCAACTCGCCCACTCGTTGGAATTTTGACCCCGCTTTGATGATTCACCGTGAACTCGGAACAGGTAAAGTGGATCGATGACAACGCCAAAAAATTAAACATAACATCAGTTCGGTTTTGACTTTGTGGGCCATTCATTATATAGGCACAGAAATTCATGGTGTATAACTTTAAACACAAAATGAGAAATAGACAGGGCGAGTAGTATCGCCTCTAAAGCTATCGCTTGTGATACTTCACCAGTTATATCGGGTTCACTATACGGATATTAAAGGCCAAAATTGTGCATTCCCTCTGGTTCGTCACGGAAACTTTAACGACGTATTCAGTATAATATTGCCACTAACTCAAGGACACTGAGGATCTAAATCCGTGTGGAATTAGGAGATTGAAAGAAAGAAAGCGCGTTCCATGTCTCTGGTCTACGAGGGACCTAGTTTCAATGACCTTAATCTTATTCAAGCTTTAACGACGTAAATTGCAGTATTCTAGCTTTTAATTGTTAACCGTTACATGTAAGATCAATTCGCCAATCGAATTTTTTTCTTCTTTTCTTTTCTTTTTTTTTTTTAGCAGCACAGTTCGTGACGCAGGGATCCTCATGCCCACCAAGTCAATGAGAATATTGCGAAAGAAAATTATCCCAGTTATACCCCCTGTAAAAGATATATTTAGAGAGAGCGTCTTAAGAAAAGAATCATTAGATGTTTAAGGGAAAACAAATGGGGAAATACCCCGAAGCATGCATGAGCCCACGATGGACTCTTGACCGCGGCTATTTCTAAGACAAATACAACAGTATGTCCGAGAAAATTATAGCAGCAATAATTCCGAGTCGGTTCCGAGTGACCTCATCTCCCCGCCATTAGTCTCTGCCACGACTGAAATGCACAGACGAAGAAATAGTACATGAACTAAGCATCGAAGGTCCTAGTTTGTTGTAGAATGTGTTAAAGTTTTTTTATAAATTCATTTTCAAAGAAAATATGTACTGTTTACATCTTCTATTCGATAAGTCAATGGGATTTTCGACAAACGCGAGCCTAAAAGCTTAAAGAGACCCTCTGACACCTTTAAAAAGGTGCAATGTTGAACCAAACAGCTACCTAAACATGCGACGAGTGAATTTATTGCAAGGAAATGGATTCAAAAACATCTGCTCAAATACCATCTTAATGGTGACCATTCATCGAAATCTCTTCCGCTTGTTTTCTGGCATAAATGACATGAAAGGAGCTACTTCAGCGTTAATGGGAAATTTTAAACACAAAAGGTTATTACAAATTTTTCGGACTCTTGTTTGAGTTCACCTGGAATTGATTGAAGGACTACAGTTTACACTTCAGGTTTTTACGTTAAGGTGTAAAATCTTCAGTCTTCGTGGTTTCTTAAGTTCGAAGAAACGGGTTTGATCTCGCCTTCAAAATGCGCAACTCTTTCGCCTTCGTGTTACTGTTTGGAATTTTTCTGAAATGCCAGTGCGAAGGACCAGCGAGTTTTAGAGGGTAAGTTTTTGAGCAACAATTAAGTGTCAGAAAAGTGGGAGGAAAACAACATCTCGAATACAATGCCAGCAATTTTGAAATTAATGAAAAGTAAAGCAAAACAAGAATCACAAATAGGTTATTTTCGTATTGATCAACTTGTTTTGAAAGACTGGGAGGCTGTAGGTTAAATGTGAGTCTCTGAAAAGGGGGGAAACACCGCATTCCAAGCTTCTTTTTTTAAAGATGCCCTTTTCGCTAAGACCTCTTCTAACGATAAACGAGCTTATTTATTTAATAAGGAACTTGTATCCGGGCAGATTAAATCAAGGGTCTAAATAAGGGCAGGTTTAAACAAGTTTAAGCCGCAGTGAGGATATTGGCAAGATGTTCGCCTTTTTTCGATAACGAATTATGGCGTCCTTGAATATTGTGGTAATAACCAAATTTTGTACAGAATATAGTTCTCGATGCTCATGTCTTGGCAACCGCGTAGCCTAGCTCTGACTGTTGATATTTACTGATTTTTCTGTTGCTGTGTGAGTGGTATAAAACCCACTTTGTTACGTTTAGACAGTGATTCTTCATGATACCTTATTCTTAGCTGCAATGCCGTTGCGTGATTCATTCGACATAGTTAATCTTGAGTGGGTAAATTGTCACCCGAATCGAAACCGATCTCACTGTTGAGAAGCAGTAGGTGGTGGGTTGGGGGAGGGGAAAAAGGGCATGGGAGGAGAAAATGAGATAACGACTTTCAAAATCTTGCCGGGGCAAAATGAATAAGCATCCTTTTACACTTAACACATTCTAAGGTAACATTGTGAATTAAGAGTCAACTTAGTTGATCGTTGTTTAATAGCTAGAAGACTGGCAAGTGGCATTTACGCCAGCTGATCGACAAGCGACTTTAATCATTTGTTCGTGAAACGCTTGTAACAAAAACGTCAAATTAGCTCTTAAAACACAGCGCCTGAAATGTGCCTTGTGTACTTCTCCAAATCTCTCAGCACTTAAAAAGTGTACCCAAAGGTTCACGCAGGAGAAACCAGGATTTCGTGACTGTGCTGTCAGCCAGCTGTATGTTTTTTTTTTCCTATTTAGAGATCGAGTTGTTCGTGCAACTCCAAAAAACAAGGCCCAATTACAATACCTCGTCAGTCTTGAAGACAAAGCCGATGTAAGTATGACAAGCATATTTGAACACATTTAGCAATACAGGTTTTTTAATTTATAGTTTGGCTATCAAGGTAACTCAAGATTTTGTAAACAAACTTTGTCTTTGTTAGGAGCAAAATTATTAACTTCAGCAAATTCCATGATTATTAGAGAGAGCTCTACTTCAAATGATATTAAGTTGAACTAAGGCCTAGGTCAAACTTCGAACCGGCTTTTCATATTAAAAACACAAACCAAACTCCAATTTAGGTCGACCTAAATTTAGTTCAGATCGTCTTAAGATCTTCAGACGTCTAACTTGGGACGCGTCTAGCCAATCAACTGAATCAGACCAAAAAGCAATTTTAATCCCCCCCCCCCCACTGAACGAGGCATTATACATTATCGTACAAACGTTTAATATTAGTTTAGTTCGTCGCATGTGAGGATCGAGGTTTGTCCCGGCCCGGTCCTAAGACGTTCTATCCTGCCTGAAGAAGACGGTTTGGCCTGGGCCTAACTCGATAAAGTAGCTTACAGGGAACGGAATTTACAAATGTTAAATTGAATGAAAAAAAAAATTACAATGCAAGCTATTTTCACATATGGCCTCATACACAATCATGTTTGCCGTTTAGGCGGTATTCATAGAGAGGACGCTTCCTCTAAAACGATCAGACCTGCACCTTAAAGCTGTCAATGCAAGCGTCATGGAGTTTCTAACGAAGTAGTCATAGAAGTTTACTCTCTTCTTAACCTTCACTGGCCAAAATCTCTGTTTTAGGTCAACTTAGATTTCTGGACGCACCCCTCCCAGGAAGGAGCACCTGTTGACATCCACATCACAAAAGCGGAATACCCTAAACTCGCCAAGCAACTACATGCTGAAGGGATAACTTTCACGATTCTCATAACAGATGTACAGACCCTATTGGACAATGAAAATCCACCTTCCCGCTCTGAACGGGCTGGGTTTGACTACGGTCGCTACAATCAACTCAAGCAAGTAAGGAAAAAAATATATACTGAACATAGTACGGTAGAACGTCTTAAATGCCATGACTGTCTCGGACGATGAAGAGTTTTAAATTTTAAAATCGAGAGATTGTATGGTGGGGATCCACGTTATTATATCAACTATTACGATTATAATCTTTGGTTATAATTATAACTGAATCCTTTTTTGCATAGCCTGTAATGTGGATGAATTATTTGAGCGAGCAAAAAGCTGCTAATCTTCATTTGTACTGAGTCTGTGGCCGCAATTCTTTGGTAGGAATAGACCGTATTCCCGATACCCGTCATCCTTGCTCTCGCTTTAGGACTGATGGGATAAGAACAATAGGGCCATTTATACGAGGAAAAATGAGACGCGTCTTACATAAGACGCGTCTTAAATAAGACGCGTCTTAAATAAGACGCGAACTTTCCGTATAAACGGCACATTTCGTCTAAAATAAGACGCGGCTTAGCTAAGACGCGTCTTATTAGATAAGACATGCTCGTATAAATGGTACAGTTCGCGTCTTATTTAAGACGCGTCTTATGTAAGACGCGTCTTATTTTTCCTCGTATAAATGGTCCTAATGTCACGTGCATGCTTTCGTAGCGGGGCAAACAAGTGACATGACTTTCCAATTCAAAAATATTGGGGTCGAGTTGGTTTATTCGGGACAAAAGAAAACGAAGAACTTTGTACCTTAAAGACGATAATGGCAAGTTATGGGTGGTCATTGTTCCTTTTTTCGGATGCAATAGCAACCGCAGATATCCTCGCCACTAGCAAAACTTCGGTTATGGAACTTTATGAACAGCTCTTACCAATCTCACAAATCCGAGTTTATGTTGGTTGTAAGAGCTGTACTTCAGACCAAATTAACACCATGTGCAGAATGTGCGGTAAGGTATTTTACCAGAAAGCCTTGCTCACGTCTTGGTGGTATGTTCATCGCTGGCGCAGGATAAATATATGGACAGGCATAATGATGCACGAAAAGTGCTGTTCTTTGAAATGCTGAGGGACCTCAAGCTTGCCGACTCTGTTTGGCCTTGGTACTCATGGGTGGAGCCCAAACCGTTCTACGAGTTAGAAGACGCTCAAGCATACTGGGATGTTCCTGTTTAGGCAGAATACACTTAAGCATTTCTTGGGAGGTTTTTTTTTTTTTTTTTGCACCAATGAAGATTTAACTCGTTATCCCCTTTTTAGTGTTCAATTCCTAGAAAGCAGCATAGTCTACGCTTGGCGCCCTTTGTGGCTAATTTTCTAAGCATGCATACGTTGTTGTTAACTGTTATATTGATTAGAAATAAAAGTCAGGGTTGTCATTAAGACCCGGGGGCCGGGGATTTTGCCCGGCTACTAAGAGAGTGGCCCCCGGCTTCTTTTATTGCAAAATAGAAGAAAAATAGAACCAAAAGAAATCCCTAGCCGTTTGATTCCCCGCCTTCTTGCTGTATTTACCCGGCAACTTGAAATCTTAGTGACAACCGTGAATATTAAAAGGGAAGTGCGTGAGGGACGATGGGAAGAGGGGAAAGGCTATTTCTCCTCCCTATCGTCCCTCGCACGCTTCCTTTTTTCCCTCTCCACAGCTTCCCTACGGCACAAAAAAGAACTACAGCAACGACGACGGCGACGGCTACGAGAACGTCGCTTAAAAAGTGAAGCCGAGCTGCTTCAAACTTTATCGCGCTTATTCCATCTTGTTCAATTCATCAAATGTTGGCAGTTTGTTCTGGAGTTGAATTCTAAAGGACTGTACCAAAGTTCAGGAAAAGAAAAAGAGTCGTTGCATTGTGTTCACGTCCTCCACAAAACGTGAAATTAGGCATTTTCACGTCGTAGTCGTGCGGTGACGACGAAGAAATGTACAAAAAAGCGCAATGCACGTGCAATATTGTTATTTTGCCAATCTAAACCTATTGCCTTTTTGCCGCTCTCGTTGCCTTCGTCCTTGGTTAAACTCCCTGAAAAGACCTCTGACGCGGCTGAAATCGAAGTTGTGGTGGCGGTGATTATTGTCTTCTGTATTCTACATGCATATTACATGCAGCTCAAGCACATTGTTATTTCAGATTGAGGAAGAAATGCAAAACTTGGTGTATACTTACCGAAATCTGGCGACTATGGTAACTGAGTTTGGGCAATCCTATGAAGGGAGGACGATTCGTGCAATAAAGGTATTCTATGAAGGAGTCGCAATTTCTCTAGAGAGTTAAAAAAAAAAAACGGGACATTAAAAAACTCTCAAAGCAACATCTAACCAGAGAATTCTCACTAACCAAGTGAATAGCCCATTTCCGAGTTCCAAAAAATCTCACTCTCAAAACGAGGCCAAGTGCGAAACCTTTGTTGTGAAAATGAGTTTTATTTGCATCATGATTAAAAATCATTTTCATATCAATGGCTTCGCACTTAGCCTCGCTTTGAAAGTGAGATTTTTTTGGAGCTCGGAAATGGCCTATTAGGCGAATTCCGAGTTCTTTATCAATTTCAAAACGAGGCTAAGTACAAAACCTTTCTTGTGAAACTGACTTCTATTTGCATAAGAATGAAAGATCATTTTCCATATCAATGGCTTCGCAATTGGCCTCACTTTCGTAGAGTCAGGCTTGAGACAATTCGAAATGCCCCATTCTCATGCTCACGATTTCCGGGTGTGTAAATAATGTCATGAGGTGCCTGCAAAGCTTAGCAAAGTCTTTTTCTTTTTCTCTCAACAACAATTAATGTATCAGATCTCCTCCAATCCTGGAGCCGGGAGGAAAGTGTTTTTCTTCAACTGTGGTATTCACGCTAGGGAGTGGGTGACACCTGCAACTTGTATGATCATTCTTAAACAGGTTTGTTAGACTGTATCGCTATTTATGTTTTCATTTTATGTCGCACATTTTCGGGATTTGGGGAATCAGAAGATTCAGGTAGGTATGGAATTAAAAATGGGACGACTCTTTACTTTGTAAAGTTAAATTAAGCAATGTGAAAATTCATTTTAGGGTGACCTTAAGTTAAAAGGCTTGTAAGGTAGATGCATAAACAGAGCTACTAAGTTGGAATCGCGAAAATCACATTTTCCCAAAAGTGACTAGGATGGGGTCGACTATTTGGCCACAGAATGGACTTTAATTTGTTAGGTGTTCTGAGAGGCCAGCAGCACATACCCAGTAAGAATTAGTATAGGTAATACCATTATTTGTAGTGATATTTGGCATAAATACCACGAGTGATATTTTAAAATTGTTATACGTAATTTCACGAGCCGTTAGGTGATTTAAATTTGAGACAATTTTGAAATATCACGAGTGGTATTCATGCCAAATATCATGCACAAATCATGCTATTAGTTGTTTATACTACTACCCGCAAAAGCTTTGTAATTTTCACATGTAGGTATTTCAAATTAAGCTGAAATACCACTGCACTAAGCCAATCAAATTGCAGAAATTTCTCATGTAGTAGTATAACACAAGTAACCCACTCGGGTTTGATCTTCAGCACGGCGGTTTTCTACCATGTAAATGACTGGGTACAGAGGGTCTAGTCAGACTTCACATACATATTCGGGTGGGGGAGACATGACGTATTTCTTATTCACTCAGTCAGATTCTCTGATACTGTTGCAGATGCTGTCCAAATATGGCAAAGACTCCTCAGTGACTCAGATGGTGGACAAACTTGACTGGGTGATAATGCCGGTCTTTAACGTCGATGGTTATGTCTTTACCCAGCAGGTAAGGCTAAAATAATCCATTTTCACTTGACTGTCGAAAAGTCCCTTTGGTTGGCTAGTGTATTTACTTTGGTTTTGGTTTTACGACAGTCAATGAAAAACACTAAAAGGTTTTTCGGATCCAGACCTTGAGATTAGGGGGGGGGCCCCCAAAAGGCCCCCGGTCCCCCTCCCTGGACCCGCAACTGCTAAACAAGGTTTGAATTTGCTTTCTTCATAGAAGTTGTTTACTGTACAGTCAAAGCCCCCCCCCCCCTTAATACGGACAATGGGGGGGGGGGGGGGCAATTGAAAATGTCTATATACGGGTGTCCGTATTAAGCGGGTTGAATTTAGAGAAAATGTAAGGGTTTTCTTTCCCCCGGAACAAAGCAAACTGTTCAAAGTAATGAGGTGTCTTTATCAGGCGGGTGTCCGTAAAGCGGGTTTTAACCGTATTTCGTTGCGTGAATTTGCAGAATCGTATGTGGAGGAAAACAACATCACGAAACGCTGGCACCAGCTGTATGGGAACGGATCCTAATCGTAACTGGAACTTCGCCTGGGCAGGTACCCATATAGTAACTAAAACATCGTTCCATAACTTTAGTGGCTCATTTTCACTGAAAATCTGAAAACTCTTCTCGAAGAAAGCTCATTGCACGAGCTAGACTTGTCCGCGGCGAACAGTCGAGTTCGCAGGTAATCTCCTCACGAAAGCAGCGCGAAAGATGCTGGCATCTGATTCGACGCAAAAAAACAATCACAGACAACACCTGCAGACAAGCATTCGAATAAGTCGTGGAACTGGTTCGTTAAGAGTAGCATCCCAGGGGTTCTCCTGCCCGTTCTTTAAAACCTTTCGCTTCGTTTTTCCTGACCCAACTGACCGCCCCTGGGTCTCCGAGGATGGACTAAGTCCGGAAAATTTTGCTTGTGGAATCTGGAATCCTGGGCTTTGGAACCCTTTGCAGCTCAAGAAATTCGGAATCTCGCTAACGATTGACTGTCATGTAATCTACATCCAGTGCGTGGAAACCGGGATCCAAAACAGTCTTTGATTATCTTATATTCAGTTCAGTTCAGTTCTTTTCAGTTTAGCGTTTTGCCATAAGGATGTAAAAAAAAAACCAACAAGAAAATATAAATATCATTTAAAAAGCTAATGACGAGGAAGCTCAAGGGAAGCCTCCGGGCTTATAAGGAATGGGCTTCCTTAGTTAAATCATTACAACAAGACAAAAGTTATACATGCAAAAATCAATGGCAGAGCTACAGTAAATCTTATATTAGATAATCGTGTTAATCATAGTTACGCTAAAGAAAGCGAAAGGAAAAAGACTGCGAAAAAAAAAAAGGAAAATGAAAAGTAGAGGTCCTTTCATGAATATTTGTGATAAGAGCTAGGAATGCTTTTCAATTTACAGCAAAAGGAAGTGGTTATTATTGCACGGAGCGAATAACAACCGACATTATAAAACGAGGACAACGCTGTACGTGCATCACGCTTTCACTGTAAATATCAGTGTTAATGTTACGCCGGGATTCAAATTTAAAAGTTAAACGTACTTCCTGTTGTTTTAACTGTAATTAATAAACATAGATTGCTGGCACACGGACTTCATGCCCGATACTAATGTTTCCTCCTGAACAGGTGTTGGAACAAGTTCGAATCCATGCAGTGACACCTATCATGGCTCTCGCCCATTCTCTGAGGTGGAGGTTCGAAACGTTGCTCGATATCTGTACAGAAATCGCAGACGTCTTATTGGCTATATGGATATCCACGCTTACAGTCAGTTGTGGATGACCCCATGGGGATATAAAAGAGCCTATCCGAGTGACTATTCAGAATTGGTGGGTCAATATATATTGAGCCGACAGTAGGCGTAGTAGCCTGTGTACAGACGTCCCCTCTCCCTCAGAAAAATATCTGAGGGAGGCGGGACGTCTGTACACAGGTTATAGGTGTAAGCGTATACGGTTTTAACAATATACTGTTTCAATTCCAAATTATTTGGTAAGTGCTCTGTTAGCTGAGAGTTAACTTGAATCAAAAGCGGATGGAATTTTACGTTTTTAACACAGCGCAATAAGTAATAACCGAATTTCGATCGAGCAACTTTTCCCGACCCCTTTCCAACTAATGACATCAGTTCTTAAGTAGCAGACGTAAAACCCTCTGGATGTCACTAACCCCATTACTATCCTTGAAACATGTTAGTTCTGTTGAAATTTTCCTTTCCGTTTGTCCCATTTAATCTTTTCTTTTTTATTCGCAAACACCTTTTTCCAGTCACAATCGCAGTAATTCCATTTATTCATCTAAGCATATAATAGAGACCGCCATTTTGGCGGGAAAACGTGGTAACCGCCGTCACTCTACTACGAGTTTTAGCGCGAATGTCGGGCTGGCGAAAACAAGATAAAAAATGTTAGAAGTTTTATCAGTTTGCGATCGGGAAAGCGCGTAATCTCCTTCACTAAAGATAACAGTGCTAACTTTTCTAGCGAAATATGGTAAAATGAAGAATTCCGGGATCAAGTCTATATTTTGAAAATGCGCGAAAAAACTTTAAGTCAAATCTCAGTCGTTCTCGAAGTCGTTCCCATCCTCGAATCTAAAGGTCTCTAATAACATGTCTGCAACACCCTTGAAATCGTTCTTTTATTTGTTATTCCTATAGAAGCGCGTATCTGACGTCGCAGTAAAGGCACTGTATAATGAGTATGGAACAAGATATAGAGTCGGTCCCTCGTCGATCATTATCTGTGAGTCAAATGAATTTAAAAAGCAGTACATTACCTCTCACCCAATCAGAATTTAAGCAAATGCCACTGCATATTAGCCTGCAGACATCCAACCTATCTCACCCATTTCCTTTGGACAATAACTACGAAGGTCGAATCTGGTATACACGAGACCTAGGCAACTTTGAAATACCTTTCTAAGCAAATTCCGCAGACAAACTTTCATGAGTACCAGATCTCATCCCTTTTTTTTTTTTTTTAAGCCAGCGGACTGGGTTCCAATTTACACCTAGCAAAAGGAGATAGAGTATCTTAGCTTCCACTATTAGAGCCGGTGTTAATACCAGCTCTCCTCACTCATCCATTTTATTTCATTCTCTGGCGCCCCCTCATCCCTAAATTGAAAAACAATTGTAATTTGTTTACCCGCGAAGCACTTAGGAGTTCTTATGAACTCGTTTCAACGTGTCCGTGCGTTCCAGATCGAATTGGAATTTGGAAGCGTTGGTTTTTGAGGAAAGGGGAAAACCGGAGTACCCTGAGAAAAACCACTCGGAGCAAAGGAGAGAACCAGCAACAAACTCAACCCATACATGGCGTAGTCGACGGGATTTGAACCCGGGCCACATTGGTGGGAGGCGAGTGCTCTCATCACTGCACCACCCTTGCTCTCCTTACATTTTATGGGCCACCCTCACCCGAGCCTCGCAAGATTCTGCCTGAATACTAGTATTTCTCATTTTGTATTAATCTGGACTGAGTTTTATTTCAAACTTTCATACACTACAGTAGAGTTTCATCCTCCAGTCAATAATTCTTGTTACTATGGAGTTGCTTATTTGACGACTACACGGTCAACCATTGCAACGAAATCACCTTTATCTTGCGTACACCTCTTTGCTTGTTCAACAGTTTGCGATTTTTACTTTTCCTTTTTGCTTTAGATGCTAATTCAGGATCAACAAAGGATTGGGCGTACGGTGTCCTAAGGGTAAAATACGCATTTGCCCTGGAGCTTAGGGACACGGGCCGATATGGATTCGCGTTGCCAGCCAATCAGATCATGCCAACTGGGATGGAAACGTTTGCCGCGATCAAGGCAATGGCCATGGAATTACAACTCTAAGTTCCTATCACGATAAAATCTGTTGTGTAAAACAGAGCTAAAGAAATGCGAATTAAAGTTCCATGAATTAAACAGAAGAAAAACAGAGCTCTGGTTATTGAGTTGTTTTAGAGTCCTTGCGTCAAACGTGAATTGAAAAATGAAATAGTTAAAATCTGTACCCCTTGAGTGTGCGTCAAGTTTGGCCTGTTAAAAAAGCCATGTCAATTTGCCAATCAGGTTGAAGAAAAATTCTAAACGCACTTCCGGTAATTCGTTGAGTCCTTTGGGGGCCCAGAACCAGGTCATCAGCGCTGTTTCGCAGACGTTCAAAAACTGAGCTTAGATAACGCCTACGACACAGGCAAAGAATGTTACAACATCCGATTACTTTGACCCGCAAATACTCCCCGAAATTTGTAATCAAACACCTTAGGAGGACCAATCTGGGGTCAACTACACTGTACAGTATACTTCAACCAAAAAAATTGTTGCATTTGTTTTAAAAAGGCCATCCATTAAAGCGAATACAACAGTATTTGGTTGATTGAGTAGGAGAAAAAAATACCGAAATTCTTGTTGCACACCATATTGTTCTATGATCAGCCCAGTACTGAATGTTGATGAGTGGAGGATCTCATTAGTGCAGGGAAGGGCCAGACTGCCCCCCCCCTCCCTTCCCCTGCTGTTATGTTAAGACAAAACTGAGTCCTACTTATTTATTAGATTTTTCCAATACCCCCCCCCACCCCCTAGAATGTTCCCCACTCCTTACCTTACTTCAATCAAGACTGGATCCATCAATGATGTCACATTTTTTAAGAAACAGGACCAGCATTATGCCATTGTACATGAATGATGTCTCCACTCTCTCAATACTCATCTTCAAGAGATTGAGTAACAAATCAGAACAGTCTCAAAGCACATCTGAACTGCTACTTAGTATAAATGAAACCCTCTGAGGCATTATTCGCAAGCACTGGGTTTTCAAATGAATGTGGCTTGCAAATACCAATGATTGCAGAAGCATCTTATTTGTAGCACAGACCAGTAACCTAGAAATAAAAAATATAAATTAAAGTCCTTTTGATCTTAATTTTATTTGTTTTGATACTATGCCTGTGATTCACCTTAATTTTTTAAAATACACAGGTGTGGTGTGAAGCTGGGAGGGGGGAGGGGATGTGATACTCCACATAGAGACCTATAGCTGGCGGCTCCGCCCAAAATGGACACCTTTTTCAGGCTTGAGGTATATGGAAAGGTATGGATTTCACTAGTTGAAGTATATGAAAGGGTAGAGAGAACTCTATCATTGCACCCAAAAGGCCCAAAAGCACATTTTATGGATGTGAAAACACCAAAAAGCTTCCTGGCTCATTGATTTAATCATAAATAAAAGCAGTGAATTTACAGCAGTTAAAGGGGATGCAGAAATTCTAAAACTTATAATGTGAAAGGGGTACTATTTGTCAATAGCAAGGTATATGACAGGGGTAACTAAAACGGTATACAAAAGAGTTGGGTTGGACCATCGTGTGGAGCCTGTTAGATTAGCCCCTCCCCACCCCCCACCCCCCCCCCCCCCCACTACCCCCTAAACTCCCGGCATGAAGCTCCTAAATTTGTTTTTTACCAGGAGGTAAGCATAATTACATAATTTAGCATAATTTATATATCTAGCCGAATTTATAAACAATGCACCAGCTGGCAAGTCAAGGCCACACAGCTTATTTTAACTTGACTTAAATAGAGGGGCCAGCGGCCAATATTGTGAAGAAATTCAGCTCTTACTCATAAGCCTTTTAAGGCAACTCTCTTCTTGGTTCCTGATTATTCTATCAAAAAGACACTCTCAAGTGGGTGATCTCTAGCTGCTTCAAGGCCCTATAATCATGACTGAGGCAGCTTGAGACTTAAGCTAGCCATAAGCAGAGAATTTAAGGCCGACATCACCCCACTCCCTCCACCCCTTCTCCTCCCCCGACCTAACATAGCCTCGCAGCAGAGCACATCAGTGCTAGGTATCCTTTCTTTAGCCAATCGGCCTGGACCATTTAAAGAACTTGGCATGACGAACTTAAACCAGACACATGATCAGTGAGATCATTCTCCAGAGAGACTAACTGACCATAGCATACTTTTGTAGCACCCTCTTCCCCACCCCCTAGGGATTCACATGGAAGCCTGTTCCCACTCCATGGGCAGTTAGCTCAGGGTCTAAACTTGACGATGACACCAACCAAGATGGCACGCCCCCTATGGAAATTCTCAAAGCAGTCACCATAATAAATATATTGAGCCATGTTTTCAAAAATCCAGCTAGATATAAAAGATATTCAAAACTAACATCCTCGTGCTTGCACTGCCTATGAGGACCTGTCAGGCTATAGATTAACATCATAATAGCTCTCAGTGTGCTAGCCTTGAACAATATGGATGGTGTAGAAAAAAAAGGGTACAATGGAAGAAATCAACGGCACAGTAATGGAACTCCGCCTTTGTTGGTCAGGAGCAGTTATTAGTGAGTTTACGCAACAGGATGGCAGTGGGAAGAGGGTGGCAAAAAAACCATGTGTGACAGACTTGCCAGGGCCATTACTTGCATGTTTTGTCATGATCTTCACTTAATATTACTGTGTTCTGGTCTTTTGCAAAAGGATCTGGCAGAATTATATTTCGAACAAAATTCTTGTCACACAAGGATTGCTGCCTTCTTTCCTCTGCCATCCTGTTGCATAAGCTCATTATTGATGCTTCTTGATCCTATAATTTAGCCAGGAACTGAATCTATTCAACTTGAAATGCTACAACACAACTAGAACTAACAACCTGCATTAAGTGAAAAATTGGAGAGTTTGTAAAAAAAAAGGCCTAATTAAAACCCAGAGATCACTGTATGCAGCAATTTAATTTGCATATAAAAGACTTTGCAATTTCTTTAACTTTAACATCAAAGTGCAAAATTATATAAGCTGGGCACATTTATTTTCAAAGCTCTTTTTTGTTGGACCTTACATGTAACTACTTGGAGGGGCTTGTTTAAAATCAGCTAGGCTTTTATAGGAAGGAAATATGTATATAATGATGATTGTAAAAACCCACTGTGAAATACAAATAGCACCATATTTCAAATATGAATAAATCACTATGCCAGGAAGTTTTCTTCTATTTTTCATAGTGTTAACATGGTAACACTCTACAGGGTATGCTCTCTGTTGACATTCTTAGGTCCATCCACAGAACAAAATGACAAATGTCCAAATACTCTTTTATATTCTTTAACTAGCGGAATCCTTAACCTTTTATATACCTTAAACCCGAAAAAGGTACCCCTTCCGGGAGGAGCTTCCCAATATAGGCTAGTGTAGGAAGTACCCTCGGGGGGAGGGGGGGGAGGGGAAGGGAGGTTGAGCCAGCCGCCATTGAATTTAATTGCCATTCCCCTTGCCTTCTGAGGAGGTACATAGAATAAAATGGAACTTTTGAACATTGAGAAACTTGTAGCAATTTGAGGGTTAACAACGATCTTAAGAGGGAAATATCAACGGAAGGAAGAAAAGAGCTCAACCGGCCGGCTTCATGCCTTCAATTATTTTAGCCTGGTTGTCCCAAGGACGTGGCAAAATAAGCAAAATAAAAGAATTCTTAGACCATATAAATAACACAAACATGTAAACTGGCTTAAAATAAACAATACTAACCTTGAAGTGCGCAAACGATGACTAAAACAGCAATCGAACACGAAAATACCGCCGTCCGCCATGTTTCCAGCGACCTTGGCCCCAGGGTTTCTCATTTTCCAATATGGCGGCCACTTGAAACATTTACCCAGCATGCATCTTCGGTTGCCAGCCAAACTGCATCCCTCTGATCGACTCTCAACGGTGAAGAGTCGAAGATTCAATACCTCATTCATATCATTTTGCCGGGAACCTCTGTCATACGTCTGTTTTATTGATTGAAGTCATTGTTATTTTATTATCATCAAGTCCGGCTAACACTAACAGTTTTTCAGGTGGGTTGTAGCCGGGACCCTGGCTTTACGTACTCTTCTAGTAATTTGTTAAGGGTTATCTAGACAGAAACTTCTTTTGCTATCTGACAGTGTGGCCGGTTTAATTGAAGGCTTGCCTGTCAAGCTGGAAACCATTCTATAGCGTACCCCAGTATATAGCCACAGAGTACTTTCATTAACAGCACTTATTGCCCTTGGGTGAAAATCAACTGGAAATCGAAAATGCTGCGTCGGCGTGTCGATCCCTTCCGGCTTATAAATACAACCCAGGAACTCTAAAGTCTTCGTGTGGCCGTGAGATCGTGGCCCGCTAGTTATTTATGAGGGTGTAGACGATTTTAACTGTCAGCTTAAAAACTGACCAAAATTTACCTGACAGCAGAGAAATGTATCATTTCTGTTAGCTGACATCATTGATAAAGTTGCCTTCAATATGTTGTGCATATCACTAATAAATAGAGCAGTTTCAGAATAAATGTTAATAGTGAACTCTTATGGGAAAGTCGCTATTAGCCATCCGTTACTTAACTTTCGTGCGGTCACAAGAGTTGAGTGACTAGAACAAATGGGCTTGAAATATGGCATTGGGAGTGCTTTAGGGTACCCTAAGGCGAGGGTTAAGACAGTCCTTGTTTGTTTCTGTAGCGCGGGAAAATTCATTGATAATTCACCACAGACACTTATGACGTGCGTGCAAATGTAGTCACGATTTTCAACTGTTGTTTTGAGTTGATCAACGAAGCATTACCACAACTCAATTTAAAAAGAAAGGATGATTGATGAGAAATTTAACACGAAGCATAAATTTTCTTGATTTTTCGCAAACAGGAAGTTGAAAATTCATACAAAGAGATTTTCGCCATGATCAGTGCGTCTGAAAACAACTCTGTGACTGGCTTTGAAGTTCACTACAAAACATTTCATTTACTTGTAAAGTTTTTTTTTTTTATCCAAATTATTTTTCTTGTATTGTTTGTCGTATTTAACATTAAATAACAATATATATTTTTTTATTTATTATATTAATGTGTATGGTTAGACTGATTGAATTCCTTGTGAGGTAATACTTCAAATTAACAACGAAGGAAGGATGTAGCGACTAGGGCTGAATTTCCTCTCGTATTCTCGTTGTGTATTCCTCCATTTCCGCTACCTTCCAAAGTTCCTTTGGGAGGGTTTGACAAAGGCATTTTGATTAACTTAGTTTTATCTGAGTTGACAAGAGCAATCTTACCATGGGAGAACATCTGAGTAACCTAACAATTTAAAGAGGACAGACGGCAAATTGCTGTTGCTCGAAATATCTAAAAGTCTAAAATATCTAAAACCTGTAAACGTTTCGTTAGTAGGATGCCTAAAATGTGTGCAATTCCACAATTGGTTTCAGCTCCATTAAATCCTATACCAATTGTATAACATTTTAGGGGGAGCCACCCACAACGTGAGAACAGTTACCGGCAAGGTATATGACTAGGAAAAGCCCATCTAGCCCAATACGCAGCCAGAAGTGTCGCTTTTATGACGCGGGGAATCATGTAGTGTTTATATCAACAAGGGGCATAACTGAAATCTTCTTTGTTCTGCTGCAGCTTCGTCATGTCAAACGTGGCAACAGGAAGTGACAATATCATCCAGGGGTTATCTCTGAAACTCTCGTTTATCATCAAATACCTCCTGCCAGATGTACGGGGGGACATCCTCGTACTCTGTCACTCACGAGAAGCACAGCCGAACGGCAGCCCAGGAGACATGTTGCAATCAGGCAGTGTAGCCGAGGGCTTGTCTTTGCCGAACATGATGATGCGGCAGGGTACCGGGCAGAGTGTCCCGATTGTCTTCAATACAGACCAGGACACTATGCAATGTGTTGAGATGGAGCCAGGTGCCAGGTTGGAGACCTGGAGGCAGAATAGAGACCTAAAACCCGGTTTTTGCCGCTTGTTGAAGCCCACCAGCTCCGTTGGAGATGACGGCTTGTATTATTCATCTACTCGAGCTAAGAAAAAGATGTTGGAAGAACTTTCAAACAGTTTGGACCCTTCCTTGCGCCTCCTTGATACATCCGAGGATAGAGCCGCCGCCCTCTTGGTATCGACGGATGTTCCCTTTAACCTGCACGTGATTCACGCGGTTTGCGCTGAGTGGCCCGAACAGGTGAGCGAATGGCGAAAACGGAGTCGACCAACAAAATGGCCCAGCAGTGAGCTGATAGAGGACGCCGTCAAATCAGGTTTGTTTGTTTGTTTGTTTTTGTTTTTTCCAAGATGAGAAAAGGGCTATTTACGCGATTACATTAAAGCCGTGAAGGAGACGAGGCCACGTCTCAGCCATGATCCAATGAGGTGGCTTAACTACCTTGTTTGGCTTTTCAATGACGCGCACTCACCCTAAATGTGACTGCGCCCTGTAGGCAACAGTAACACTGAAGCATTTTTACTCAACCGTGATTCACGAGTCGCGAAAGTTGACATCTCCTATTTTGAATGTTAGCTAGGTACGATGATAATATGATTTTCTTCGTCTAGCGGCGTAATTTAGTTAGTTTGTAACATCGACTGTTACGTTTGTCAGTACGTCAGCCCAGATGTCCCACTAAGAAAAATCTGGGGCTCGTTGAATGAGGCGAGACACGATCTTAATCTAAAAGTCTTGCTATTTTTGTCGAAGGTATTCATCTTGTTCCAAAAGCTCATGCCTTGAGCCAGGACAAGGACGTGGAGTGGCGGATGTCGTTCTCCCTCGCGGAGATAAAACTGGGACGAAGTCTCCGCGAGGAGCAGAGGCTGTGCTACTTGGCTGTGAAAGCACTGCACCATATGGAGCTGAAGGAACCCGAGGGACTGGCATCTTATCATCTCAAGACGATTCTCTTCTGGACGTGCGAAAAAATTCCTTCCAGCTTATGGACTATGGATACGTTGGGACGGGGTTTTTGACGCTGCTAGACGAACTGATAGGCTGTTTGAGGGAAGGACGCATATCGAACTACTTCATACCCGAGTGCAACTTGATCGAATTTGTGAAAAAGAAAGACCTCAGAATCTGGGTCGGGAAACTCGAGGCCATTCGAAGCGACCCAATTCCTTTTCTGATCCGATTTCACGACCTCTACCGGCCCATGTCTTCACTCTCGCCACCAATTAATGAAGAAAACGCCCTAAAGGACAGCGATAGGTACGCTACAGGGATCCGCCTTGTGGCAAAGCACGACGCTATTGGCTAGGAGAAAAGCGTGTTCTTGCATGCGCTTTTTCACCTCGGCTTTTGTTACGCTGCAGAGGGGAGATTCCTTGACATGGCCCACCTCGCAGCGCACTTCAAGTCACTTGAAAACGAACTGACGATGGATGAAGCTCCCTTTGAAGGGCATCCAGCGCGAGTGAAACTTCTCATTCGCTTCATGGAAGCATTGGTCTATTACTACACGAATGATGATAAGCAAACTCCTACTCACAGAATGATGATGATGGTGACTACCAACTTAGCAAGGCTGCAGCACGAAGCTTCCAAAGTAGCCGAAAGCGCATCTGAGCGGGATCTAAGTTTGGCCAAGGCTTACGAAGGATTTAGCAAGATTCTCACCTCTGTACATCACGATGCAAGTAGTGCGTTGCTCTTTGCCAACTTTTTGTACGACCAGAGGTGTTTGGATGAGGCAATTGTCGTCCTGAAGTCGTCCAGGACTGCGCCATCTTGGTGCTCCTTCATTGTATTCAACGAGTACACGGCCCACACCCCCGATGATTTTCTAAAAGAGGAATTTCAAGCTCGCACGGAGGTAGAGTACTGGGTGCCCACTTTCACTCTCTACCTGTTGTTCTCTTGTTACGTCGACAATGGGCAAATCGGGATGGCCCGCGAATTGCTGCCCGAGCTGTTTGACGAGCGTGAGAGGTCATCGGAAGCGTTCTCGTACGCCGATTCGTGTGTCTTGCTGGGGTATTGTTACTTGAGGCTAGAAGAGCGAGAAGAAGCTTTGAGTCTGTTCAAGGAGGCTGTGGATGAAAACGCGTCGGACTCGGGAAAGTACTGGTACGAAAAAACGCTACAAGAGGATGACACACAGATGCCGGAAAGACAATGAGAACAATTGACTTCCTTGAACATTGTTCCCTTTGATCTTTCAAAACGCAAATTGACCATTTAGGCGAAATTTGAATCACTGCATTCCAAGAGGGGTGTCACTATTTTTGCGACCAATATTCTGCAGTTAAACTGCCCGTGTCCCGACCGCTCATTCCCGTTAACACTATTTAGACGATGGGCTCTATTAAATATGCAGTTGATTTACTCACATTAAAGTGAAAAATTCTTCCGACATATTTCTTTTAGAAAAGCCTGGCAGTACGCTTTATTTTGATTCAATAATAAATCAGCATTCCTTCAGTCTAGGTAACTGAGCATTCCCTGAAGTGCACAGCCAGGCGATATTAGCACGCGGTTTTTTTTTTTCGTATAAAAAGTGAATAGCAGAGGGCGTTATGAGCAAATATTCACTGCTTTTGTAGTCAAAGCTTACGTTTCCTATGACAACGTGGTTAAACAAAAGTGAACCAGTAAATAAGGGCCTCGAAAAAGCTATTTGATATGTATTGCACATCTTTCAGATGGCTTCATGTTCTCAATAAGATGATGTCGACAATTCGTCGACGCCACAGTCCAACATGACACTCCTTTATAGCCTTGTTCCTGGCGAGCGTTGGAGACAACATATTATAACTCTTTAGTGGGGGAATATATCTAAACTTTTTGCGGATGTAAGATCAAATGCATTTAAATTTGGATCATGATTATCGAGGCTTCCTGCATAGTTGTTTGATTGTCGAGGATCCTAATATCAAAATTCGAGTCTTTTATTTAGATTCCTCACAGGTGAACATTTATCTTTGGATTTAGAATACTTCTAGTAGAATTCTTTCTTTTTTTTTTTTTTTTTTTAACCTCAACTGTGATAGAATAAGCTGGCTTTCAACCCCTTTGCCTTAGCACGGAGAAAATAAATAATCGATCATTAAGTACATATCTTGCCTCAATTCGATCGAAGCCCGTCTTGATCTTCTGTGCGAATGTTTTCATCAGCTGGCGATTCTGCTAATGGCGTTCTCTACCCCTTCTTTACTTTTAATAATAGCCAAGTCACGATCTCTTTGCACATTTTTGTGATCCTCGTACAAGTTGCGTTCAGGTACGCCTCAAAAAATCAGTCGTCAACGTTAGAATTAAAGTTGAAATGATGACCATCATTACAAGCTCTCTCATAAATTATTCCACTCCCTGACAGGATGAAGGTTCCCGAATGAAGGCCTCACCATTGAAAGATCCATTCTTAAAGTCCCTCCACCCAACCGTTTTACCGTTCTCCAGCCCGCATCGCTGAGAAAGTAACTCTATGGTTTCACGTGGAAGCACATAATCCCAAACATTAACTCTGGAAATGTTTCCAACGAACGCATCCCTGGCTTCAAAGCCGGCAGATACATGGGAATCTTTGTCGTTTCCGAGAACAACGTTTCCTTCCGGTATGATAAGATCTCCTTTCGCCAAGTCCTCTCCTCTTTCCCTAATCTTGCCATCTACAAATATCTCGTAGCTCCCATTAACATTTTCCCAGGCCACTGCTAAATGATGCCACAAAGCATGAGATCTGCAATTGGTGCGACCTGGAATCAAATGCAAGAATTCCACAAAAATGGCTAGACATTCCTCATCATGAGGTTTTTTTCTCCTAGAGTTAGTTAGGTGGTGTCGTTCGACTATGCCAAACGGTCGATTTTTTTTTGGCAGGAGCCCATAACCCGGAAGGAGTAACTCCCATACTATGCCTATGTTACGGTGTTTTACGGACCGGTTTATTTCTAGATACATTTTAGGGCACTTTTTTCTGCGAAAATGTAATCTCCGCAACGTCTATGAATGAATGGTATCAAAAAGGAAAACGTAACAACATTAAAAGGCAAAAATCATCATTTTTAGATCTGTAGGTTTTGCTGACTGGTTTGAGAGACTTTAAGGATATTCTAAATTCGCGGTAAAACCGTTCTAAAAATAAACTGGTCCGTGAAAACGCCGTGACACGAGTACATGGAAGTTGCTCGCTCCAGGTTATGGGCTCCTGGCCTGAGAAAAAAGTCGACATTTCACAACGCCATCACTGGTTTCCCTGCGAAATGACGTCTGAGAAACGAGCGCACGTGTTACTACCCAGTTTGTAGTGCTTCTGATTGGTCATGCAGCGTGGGAAATTTGCTTTAACCAATCAGAGGTACTACCTAGATAATAATAATCAGTTTATTAAACCCTTTGGTAGTGTATAACACTAAATTACAAGGGAGGTCAAGAATACGCAAAACACATAATTACACATGGCAAGAAGGCAAAAGCAATTAAATCCTATTGTAACTGTGGGTAACAAAATTACTAAGGCGGTCCGTTCTGACAAGGCGGAATTCAGAACGGGAAAAACCCGACCTCAACCCGTACCCATGAGCGACATTCGTGGGCTGCGGCAGCAGGTGTGAAAGGAACCCGGTCTCCTTTATGTTAGATATAAAACGCGTGCAAGCCTCATCACGGCGCGACAACAGTGTAGGCAAGCCACAGCGCACGAGTTCCGACTCATAGGAGCAGTCTGGAAAAATGATCCCTAGTGCAGACTTCTGCACGCTTTCCACCAATTAAACCAAACAGTTGGGTAACGCTGCCCACACCGGAGATGCATATTCTAAAATGGGCCGCACAAGGCTACAATAAACCTGAATGAGATCAGCTGGTGGGAGGCCTGATTTCGTTAAGACACGCAAAACGTAGAGACGCTTGCCTGCTCTCTTCACAATATAGTCTCAGTGAATAGACCACGATAAATTGTGCGACAGATGGACACCGAGCAACTTATAAGATGACACCTGCTCTATAATACTGCAAGTCTTAAGTCTTAAGCATTGAACGAACTGTAGGGGATTTATTTACCGCTTGAATAAGGGGGAGACGGTGGGTAAATGAGAAATAAATAAGTAGATGAATTATTTTCATTTTTCTCGGTCTCCGCGCTCGATGAATATGAATTTCACGCAAAAAAAGTAAAAAAGGTCTGAGCAACCTCGTTCGATTCCCAGTCTATGCTTTTCCCTGGAAAGAAAAACGGCGTAGGCTAGCTGATCACGTGTCCATCTTACACCCTTCTAAAAAAAAGCAGAACAAAGCATAATAGACCAATTCCGATATATTAAAATTCACACTTGGCTGCGAAGCTTGGGCGAAAAAAACAAAAGAAATCATCTTGAAGCTCAATAATGAATAATACATTTCTTTTGTTTCATTCCCCTCAGGCCTTGGAGCCAAGTATGAATTTTAATATACTGAAAATGGTCTATTTCGTTTTCGAGTGGATCTTCTTTTTCGAAGGGGTCTTCGGGTCTTAGTTGGTCTTCGTTTTAAATACTACCCCCGAGAACAGCAAGGGTTGTGTCTGCATGCCTCTGATCGACTCGTAACTGAGGAGAACATACGTCTGTTTTATTGCCATTTAACACAGTGTGGAAGTCTAACACTAACAGTTTTTCAGGTTGGTTGTAGGAAGACCTTGGCTTTACTCTTGTTAATGCTAAGTATACACGGAAACTACTTAGCTTTTGCTATCTGACAGTATGGCCGGTTTAATCGAAGGCTTGCCTCTCAAGCTCGAGGCCATTCTTTAGCTTCCCCCAGTATATTAGCAACGCACTTGTTGTACTTGGTTCCAAATCAACTGCAAATCGAAAATCAGTGCTGCGTTATTGGCATCTCGATCACTCCCGGCTTTTAATTATAACCCAGGAACTTTAAAGTGTCTGTGTGTGACTGTGAGATCGTGCTCTTCTAGTTATTTCTGAGGATGTAGACGATGTTAACTGTCAGCTGAAAAATTGCCGAAAATTTGCCTCACAGCTGAGAAATCAGGGGTACCCAAGGATGGTTTCCTCCTAAATACATTGAAAACACTTTGTTAGGCTATCCAGAGTACTTTTAGGTATCTAAGAATGCATTCTAAGCGGCGCTATAAAATTTGTATCTATTCGGTCATCCTAGGGGAACTTGGGTCTTTTCAAAATTACAAGGGCTTGAGTATTATAATTCCGAAAATTTTAGATGAAATTTGACGTATTACGAAAGTGAGACATTTTCTGATTCTTGACACCACCCCATTTTTAATCCGCAAATTTTAGGTTTCCTTATTTTCTACGAAAACTAGCCTAGCTAACTGGAAGTAAAATGTAAAAATTAAACTCAAGAAAGTCGTAGGGAAATTATAAGATAAGCTTCGAATTCAAAACTGTACGTGAATGAAACAGTCACCTAGAAATTCTAGGCAATATGTGCCTCTCCATATTTTACAGAAAACAGTCGTTGCGTGCCCCTGAGAAATGTATAATAACCGCTAGCTAACATCACTGATAAATTTGCCTTCAATGTATTGTGGATATCACTAACAAATGGGGCAGTTTTAGAATAAATATTCATTGTGAACTCTGATGGCAAAGTCGCTATTAGCCACCCGTTACTTAACTTTCGTGCGGTCGCAAGAGTTGAGAGACTACAACAAACAGGCTAGAAAATATGGCATTGGGAGTGCTTTAGGGTACCCTGGGACGAGGGATAGCCTCCCTCCTCGTAAACAGGTTCTAAAACAGTACTTGCCTGTTTTTGCAGGCCGAGAAAATTCACTGATAATTGACCACTCGCAGATTTTGCATAGTTATGACGTGCGCGGAAATGCAGTCACGGGTTTCAACAGTTGAAGTTTTCTTATCCAAATTCTTTTTTGTTGTATTGCTTGTCAGCAGATTAACAGTAAAGAACAATATATTTTTTCTTGTATTCGGTATTCCAAGCGGAACAAGATTTATGATCTCCTCGAGCGCGAAGCGCATGCACCGCGCGTGACTCCTACGAGGATCACAAGCCTGAAGCGTGTTCGTCTCTTTGCTGTAAATCTATCGAGTTTGGTCGGTGTTCGCTTTGATGTCATCGCATTGTTGTTTTCCAGGGAACCGCTAGTGTCGTCTCGCTTTGGTCATATTTCTGTTTGGTTGGATTTTTTGAAAGCCAGTTTTAGGAGTCGATAAGTGCTTTTTGCGATAAATTACGAAGGCAAAAGTACTTTTGAGAGAAAATGGAAGCGATTTGGATATTAGCCTTAAGATATGAGCGAAAATCGAGGTAACAAAACACATTTTTTGCTCCCATACGAGGTTATCCCGTATCGCCTTTGTTGGGTATATGTTCTTTAAATGCGATGAAATGCGTCTAAGTTCGGTTTTTTACCGCAAAAACACCAGTCATTCTTCTGAAAAATAGCTTTGAATTATTTTTTATAGCTCACTTCGTAAAAGAGTGATAGCCTAGGACTCAAACGAGGCGCGCACGCATTTATGGGATTATTTGGGGGCTTGCGAATGTAAACAAACATGGCGGAAAGCGAAGTGGAATGTTTCAGCCCGGTTAAACAGCTGACAATAGCAAAACGGAAGGTGGAATTGACGGAAAAGAAAAACATAAAAAACGTGAAGTTGAGGGAAAAAGATGTCCCTTCGACAATTTTTCCTCGAGAAAAACAAGAATGCACCGTGAAACAGCTTCAGAGATGGTTTCTTTGCCGTAGAGCCAAAACAACCGGAAAGAAAACGCAGCTAGTACAAAGGTAAGTAAGCGCGGACCGAGACCTTCCTGAAGTTATTTGTGCACAAAAAAAAAAAAAAAAAAAACAGCAACTTGCATGTTCCGTCATAATTCAAGGTGGCAGCTCGACTTGTCCCCCCAAACAATCCTATAAATGAGCGCGCGCTTACTTGGGGTCCCAGGCTATCACTTTTTTCCGAAGTGCTATAGGGCTTGATCAGCTACCAGCAGGTAGGAAGTTCGATTCCTGAGTTCGATTCCGGTGGAAAAAACACCTTTTTTTTTTCTTTTCGTTTAGGATTATTTTTGCTATTGTAGGTTTGTTTGGTTTCTTTAGATAGCGTCTTTTTTTTTTTCAGTTATAATCATAAATTTTCTTCCCTGTTGCCTTATTTCCCTTTCTTCCTACTTGTTGCCGTTCCCCCGAAGGGCTCCATCCGCGAGGTCCTGCGATTCACGTATTTCCAGTTATGTTAATGCACATGGCTAATTGAATTCATTGTGAGGTTATACCACAGATTAAGGAAAAAAGAAGGAGAGCTTAATTTCCTCTCTTATTCTCGTTGTATATTCTTCCATTTTCCCTAGCTTCCAACGCTGTGTTCCTTTAGGAGGGTTTGAGTAAAGGATTTTGATTAGGGGTATCAATTAACAGAGTGCACTACTTAGTTTTATCTGAGTTAACAAGAGCCATCTGAGTAAGCTAACAAGCCCATCTAGCCTAATACCCAGGCAAAAGTGCCGCTTTTGTGATGCCGGGAATCATGTACAGTGTTGATACCTATAAGGGGCATAACTGACATCTTTGTTCTGCTGCAGCTTTGTCATGTCAAACGTGGCCACAGGTACTGATAATATCATCGAGAGGGCATCTCTGAAACTCTCGTTTATCATCAAATACCTCCTGCCAGACATACGGGGGGAAATCTTAGCACTCTGCCACTCACGAGAACCACAGCCGGACGGCAGCTCGGGACACATGCTGCAATCAGGCAGTTTAGCCGAGGGCTTGTTTTTGCCGAACATGATGAAGCGGCAGGATACCGGGCGGAGTTTCCCGGTTACCTTCAATTTTGACGTGGATTATGCGCGTTGTGTTGAGATGGAGCGTGGTGCCAGATTGGAGACCTGGAGGCAGAATGGAGACCTAAAACCTGGTTTTTGCCGCATTTTAAAGCCTACCAGCTCCGATGGAGATGGAGGCTTGTATTATTCATCTGCTCGAGCTAAGGAAAAGATGTTGGAAAACCTTTCAAGCAGCTTGGACCATTCCTTTTTCCTCCTTGACACCCCGAAGGATAGAGCCGCCGCCTTCTTGGTATCGAGGGAATTTTCCTTGAACTTGGACGTGATCCTCGCCGTTTGTGCTGAGTGGCCCGAAGAGGCGGGCGAATGGCGAGAACGGAGTCGACCAGCAAAATGGCCCAGCAGTGAGCTGATAGAGGACATCATGAAATCAGGTTCTCCTTTTTTTTTTGGCTAAGATGAGAAGAGCGCTTAAGTTATTACGAGACTACATCGGAGCCGTGAAGGACACGAGGCCACGTCTCAGCCATGATCCAATGAGTGGCTTCACTTGTTTGGCTTTTCAATAGACGTGCACTCACCCTAAAAGTGCCTGCGCTCTGTAGGCAACAGTAAGAGGGAAGCATTGTTACTCAACCGTGATTTACGAGTCGCCAAATTTCCCATCGCCTTTTTGAATTTTAGCTAGGTACGATACTAATATGATTCTCGCCGCCTAGCGGCGTAGTTTAGTTAGTTTGTAACATCGACTGTGTTACTTTTGTCAGTACGTTAACCCAAATGTCCCACTAAGAAAAATCTTGGGCTCGCTGGATGATGCGAGACACGATCGTAAGCTAAAAGTCTTGCTATGTTTGTCGCAGGTATTCATCTTGTTCCAAAACCACATGCCTTGAGCCAGGACAAGGACGTGGAGTGGCGGATGTCGTTCGCCCTCGCGGAGATAAAACTGGGACGAAGTCTCCGCGAGGAGCAGAGGCTGTGCTACTTGGCTGTGAAAGCACTGCACCATATGGAGCTGAAGGAACCCAAGGGTCTGACATCTTATCATCTCAAGACGATTCTGTTCTGGACGTGCGAAAACACTCATTCCAGTTTATGGACCATGGATACGTTGGGACGGGGTTTTCTGACGCTACTAGACGAAGAGATAAGCTGTTTGAGGGAAGGACGCATATCGAACTACTTCGTGCCAGAGTACAACTTGATCGAACTTGTGAAAAAGGAGAACCTCGGCGTCTGGCTCGCGAAACTCGAGGCCATTCGAAAAGACCCAATCCCCTTTCTGATCCGATTTCACGATCTCTACCGGCGCATGTCTTCACTCTCGCCACCAAATAATGAAGACAACGCCATAAAGGACCGCAATAGGTACGCTACAGGGATCCGTCTTGTCGCAAAGCAAGACTCGATTGACGGGGAGAAGAGCGTGTTCTTGCAGGGGCTTTATCATCTCGGCTTTTGTTACGCCGCAGAGGGGAAGTTCCTTGACATGGCCCACCTTGCAGCGCACTTCAAGTCACTTGAAAACGAACTGACGATGGTTGAAGCTCCCTTTGAAGGGCATCCAGCGCGAGTGAAACTTCTCATTCGCTTCATGGAAGCATTGGTCTATTACTACACGAATAATGATGAGCAAACTCCTACTCACAGAATGATGATGATGGTGACCACCAACTTAGCAAGGCTGCAGCACGAAGCTTCGAAAGTAGCCGAAAGTGAATCTGAGCGGGAGCTAAGTTTGGCCAAGGCTTACGAAGGATTTAGCAAGATTCTCACCTCTGTACATCACGATGCAAGCAGTGCGTTGCTCTTTGCCAACTTCCTGTACGACCAGAGGCGTTTAGATGAGGCCATTGTCGTCCTGAAAAAGACTCGGACCACGCCATGTTGGTGCTCCTTCATTGTATTCAACGAATACACTTCCCACACCCCCGATGATTTTCTAAAAGAGGAATTCCAAGCTCGTATGGAGGTAGAGTACTGGGTGCCCACTTTCACTCTCTATCTCTTGTTCTCTTGTTACGTCGACAATGGGCAAATCGGAATGGCTCGCGAATTGCTGCCCGAGCTGTTTGACGAGCGTGAGAGGTCATTAGAAGCGCTCTCGTATGGCGATTCATGTGTCCTATTGGGGTATTGTTACTTGAGGATAGGAGAGCGGGAAGAAGCTTTGAGTCTGTTCAAGGAGGCTGTAGATGAATACGCGTCGGACGCGGGGAAGTACTGGTACAAAAAAACGCTACAAGAGGATGGCACACAGATGCCGGAAAGGCCCTGATCGAAATTGACTTAATTGACCATTGTTTCCTTTAGTCTTTCAGAATGGAAATTGACCATTCAGGTGAAATTTAAATCACTGTATTTCAAGTGGGGTGTCACTATTTTGCGACTAATATTCTGCAGTTAATTAAACGGCCCGTTAACAGTATAGTTAGACGATGGGCTAAAGGAAAAATGAAGTTGATTTACTCACATTTAAGTGAACGATTCTTCCTGCATATTTCTTTTACAAAAGCCTGGCAATACGCTTTATTTTTGTTCAGGAAGAAATCGGCATTCCTTCAGTGTAGGTAACCCAGCATTTCCTGAGGCGCAGGCAATAAGCACGCGGTCTTATTCGTATTAGAAGTGAGCAAACATTCAATCTTTATTTAGTCAAAGCCTACGTTTCCTATGACACATGGTTAACCATAAGTGAACCAGTAAATAAGGGCCTCGCAAAAAGCTATTTCATATGTATTTCATGTCTTTCAAATGGCTTTATGTTCTCAACAAGACGCTGTGGAAGCGTATAATTGGGCGCCGATGCACTAGGTGTGTGTGAAGTTTTTTATGTGTGTTAGGGATGTGTGAGTAGTACAGTAGCGTTGTATATTTTAGTGGTTGATTGAGATGTGTGAAGTGGAAGACAATGGCTGTAGTTTGTTAATCATTGAAACTTGTTTCTCGTAGAATTTAATATGAAGTAACAAAAAATAATTGTTTTGGGAGGTACTGTGTTGAAATGAAGTGGTGGTTGTAATAAGTCTTATCAAAAGTCGAAAATATACTTGTACCTATTTTAAGCGTTGTTAGGCTTTCTGTTAAGGATGGTTTTTCGCTTATTTTTGATAGTATTTGTATGGACATGGATAAGGCCAAACGTTTATTTAATATAGAAAAGGGTATAAATATGTTGGGGGGGGTTGAAATTTTGTGTGTGTGCTTTTGGGCTTTGAAAAATCGGTGAGGTCAAGGGAAAGGCGTATAATCTGGCTAGAACTAAGGGCCTGTGGCCCGTTTCTCGAAAGGCCCGGTACCTTTTCGGGCCCGAAATCAAATATTCAAATAGAAATAAAAAGAGTAAGAGCGCAGGTCCTGGCTTAAAAAACTACTCCATTTTGTTTCATTAACTGATAGTTTTATCATGTTAGATGCAAAACTATTGAAACCCCGGTCTTTAATGTAAACGGAAACAGCTTACCGGGCCCGTTCATTATCGGGACTTTCGAGAAAAGGGGCCCCTGATTACATGAGTCGGGCTGGCTGTCTTTACAGATAGAGACCCAGGCACCTTAGTTAAACGCAACATAAGTCAACTTTTATTGCAATTATATTACAACTGAGCCAGCCCGGTTAGTTGGGTTCCCGGTATTGTGTTGCCGGGATCCCGGGTGGAAATTTTCCAAGTAATCACGTTTGCCGGGCGGCCCGCGAATGAGCCAAGCGAGAAACAGTACAGCGAGTAACACACTGTTCATGCGCATTGCTTTCCCGGCTGATGTGATCAGGCCCTTACTGGCATGAGAGTTTGCACGTGAAAGCTTTGGAATTTGCCGCTTCCGTGGTTCGTGTATGAGAGAATACGACTTAATCTAATTAACTCAAGGGTTTTAAAAATAGAACGCGGTTTGCACGTGGAGATGTTAGACTCTGCCCTTTTATGGTTCAACCGTAAAAAGATGCAACTTGTTTCGAGGACCTTTTGCTCAATAAGATTTTAAGAAATCACTTCCTTTCCGAAAATATGCAACGGAATTATGTATCATTTAATGTTACCCTTAATTATCTCATGCACGAGATCAGGGAATTTTGCATAACATCTTTTTTGGCGCTCGACAACTGAGAGCAAAACTATTGTCAAACTCTTGGCAATATGCCAAACTATGCACACCGTGTGCTGCGAGGACGATTATTTTCCCAAGAGAAAATGTAAATTATTTAATAATTTGTTTCACTCAGTGTACATTGTTTTTTCCAAACAGTTTGTTTTCTATTGCCGATTTGCTTGTCGTGCGTTATCTGTGGGTCCTTTGTAAAGAAGATAAATGCTGTGTTGGACACAGCCCGCGGCAGACATTCGCGTCGCTAAGGTTGTTTAAGTTCGCACGTACTGCGTTCCCATTGCAACTTTGAATCGAAACAAGCGAACTCGATTACTCTATTCGGGCGACGCGACCCCTCAGTTAAACATGACACTCCTTCATAGCCTTGTTGCCTGCGAGCGTTCGGGACAACGGATGTAAGATCAGATGCATGTACACTAGTCTGGTTGGTTTATGATTATCTGGGCCTCCTGCATATAGTTGTTTGATTGTTAATGATCCTAAAATCAAGGTTCGAGTCGGTATTTAGATTCCTGATAGGCGACCATTTATCTTTGGCTTAAAATACCTCTTGTGGAATTCTTTTCCTTAACCTCAACTGTGGTATAATAAGTTGGCTTTGAGACCCTTTGCCTTAGCATGGAGAAAATGAATAGTCGATCATTTAAGTATACATCTTGCCTCAATTCGATCGAGGCCCTTTTTGATCTCCCGTGCGAATGTTTTCATCAGCTGGCGAATCTGCTAATGGCTGAAATTTTAGCGTGGCGTCAAAGCATTCTCCATCTCTTTTTTTTTTCACTTTTAATAATATTAAGAGTTACGATCTCTTTCCCACGTTCTTGAGAACTTCGAACAAGTTGTGTTCAGGTACGGCTCCAAAAAATCTTCAACATCATAAATTGCAATTCCAAGGCAAAAACACTCATTTCCACGTATTTTGACTTCTTTTATTCCAGCACTTGACCAATCAGTCAACAACTTTAGAATTAAAGTTGCCGAAATGATGACCACCATGACAGGCTCTCTCATAAATTATTCCACTCGCTGACAGGATGAAGGTTCCCGAATGAAGGCCTCACCATTGAAAGATCCATTCTTAAAGTCCCTCCACCCAACCGTTTTACCGTTCTCCAGCCCGCATCGCTGAGAAAGTAACTCTATCGTTTCACGTGGAAGCACATAATCCCAAACATTAACTCTGGAAATGTTTCCAACGAACGCATCCCTGGCTTCAAAGCCGGCAGGTACATGGGAATCTTTGTCGTTTCCGAGAACAATATTTCCTTCCGGAATAATAAGAGTTCCTTTCGCCAAGTCCTCTCCTCTTTCCCTGAACTTGCCGTTTACAAATATCTCGTAGCTCCCATTGACATTTTCCCAGGTCACTGCTAAATGATGCCACAAAGCGTTCGGTGAGATCTGCAATTGGTGCGACCTGGAATCAAATGTAAAAATTCCACAAAAATGGCTAGACATTCCTCATCAGGAGGTTTTTTCTCCTAGAGTTAGTTGGATGGTGTCGTTCGACTATGCTAAACGGTCGATTTTTCTAGCCTAAGAAAACAGCCGACATTTCACGACGCCATCACTGGTTTCCCTGCGAAATGACGTCCAAGAAACGAGTGTACGCGTGTCACTACCAAGATCTGGGTAGTGCTTTTGATTGGTCATGCCGCGTGGGAAATTGGCTTTAACTAATCAGAGGTACTACCTAGATCTGGGTAGTGATGCGTCATCAGTATGGAATTTCTGCGCTCGTTTCTCAGACGTCATTTCGCTGGGAAACCAGTGGTGGCGTCACGTCTACGCCCCTTAATCTTTACGAACAACAGTGTTAGTTCTTTTACGTCCCACAAGAATCAGAAAAGAGAAAGAGCTGTGAGAGGGAGCCTACGGTTTTCGTTCCTATCCGAGAAGACTAGAACCTTTAACAATTAGTAGATGTCAAAACAAAGGCAGCACCTTCTCCTCGGTTATTTTAAGACCCTGAGTTTTGGTCCAGCCGGGATTTTAACCCCCGACCTCCCGCTCGGCAGACCGGCGCTTATCCAATTGAGCTAACCGGGCAGCGGTTGGTTTGTTATCATACTGTTTGGTTTGTCATAATACTGTTATTATTCCTAGCTGGCTCTCATCTGTATTTATTATTCTGCAGCCCACCTTCCGTGCATGAACGAGACTCAGCTAGTCCAATTGCATTACTTGGAATTTACATTTCTTTTAAAAACGCGCAGAAAAGTATAATTATTTAAATCGGAAAAAAAGGAAAATATAACAACAAAAAGAAGCCTTCGTTTTCGTGCCTTGTCAAAGAAACACTAAAGAAAGTTCAATCATGAAAGCGAGGCGCTATTTAGCTATTTGTGGCTCGTTGACGAAGGCTAAGACTACGAGTAAACTGCGTTTCGATTTATTAGGACTAAAAAAACTATTGTGTTTTGAAACGATTGTATTTTCTGGTAACAAGATTTAGCAGATTCTACACCAACCTTGATTTTCGTTTGATCCATATAATGAATTTTGCGTCTCTTTCGTGAAAAAATATTTCATTCATCGCCCCTTGGGCAAAGTAGTTGAAATATGTTTTGTCCCCGTGATCTGTGAAGCTGACAAATAGACTAACTGTGAAAGCACTAAGCGCTGGTAAGGCTTCCTTCAGAAGAACATAGTCTTGGTTGGTCCTCCTCGGAAATTCTATATCAAACGTTGAAGAAGGATCTGGATAAGAACACACAAGGTATTAGTTAGTTTGCGTATTCTTAGTATTGGATAGTTCACCTTCATGGATATCACGTGATCATCATCATCATCACCATCAATGTTAACCTTATCGCTATTATTATCATCATTATTATTATTATTTATTATTATTATCATAACTATAACTATAACTATAACAATATTCAGAGATCTGATTGGCTATCAAATGCCCTGATTTCAGCACTAATAGGACAGTGTATTAGGACAGTACGCCTCATGCCTAAGTAATTGGGCAGTACGCACTCGAGCTCTTAAATGGCTTTTTTTTCACAGCTGGCCAAAAAAACTCTTAGTTTCTTGTGCCTTGATTTAAAAAAGAGCCTACCATATCACAAATTTTGTTAAAGTTGTTATTAACTGGTAACAGAATTTCGTGTCGTCCAATTCGGTCATACTCCTGATTAAACAAATCCCGCTACGCGGTCTTCCGATTTTGTTAATCACGATTATGATTAAAGACCGAATTGGACTCTACTCACTTCCTGTTACCAATACTTATTAACTTGCATCGTTTGTATGGAAATGCACCCACCAAAACCTCTACACTCCGCAGGAATGCTATCCTCTCTTTTATGAAATTGAAGAAGCCCACTGGAAAATGATGACCAAGAGAGTAAGTCACCGGAATAACGATAACACAAACGAGATTGTTCACTAATGACACTCCAAGTTAACACACTGCTCCACATATTCACATCAGTAATATCTCCAAGGTACGATTCTTTCAAGACGACATTCCCTGCAATTATTTCCTGTAGCTGACCCAGAACAAGCGTTCCAGAGCTTTTTATGCTGTGTCGCAAAAGTACACTTTGCTTTTGTCCAATCAGTAGGCCGTCGATATATAGTGATAGATTTCCAACATTGTTTTCCCACGTGAAGCACACGTGATGAAACGTGTTATCCAACAGAGAAACATATGTGAAGTCACTAGTAAATTAAAAAAAAACCTAGTTCAATAGGAGGGACCTTTTGTAAGAAGATGTCCTAGAAGAGGGGCCTTCTATAGGTTTCTCGGGACCCGGAATTTCCCCCTAACCCTAAGTCAGTTTTGGGTGAGGTTAGAGTAACCCTTCGACAACCTCTTTGGTCGTTTTCGTTAGCTGTAGAAAGATGCATATTTTCCTTCCTGTGTCCACTTGTCTTCAAAGTCAGAATTTAAGTTAACAAAAGTAGTTTTATGCGCTAAGATGACTTCCATTAAAATGCTGTGGGTATTACTGACTTGACAAACGTATTTTCCCATCATGCTACTCTGTTTGATAAATTCATTTAGGAAAAGTAAAAATATCAAAAAATAACTAAATAAAGAAATACCTGCAATGATTTTTCATTCTAATTCTAACAGTTCTGTTAACATGAAGTTGCACAACAAAAGCAGAATCGTTGTTGACGAATGATAGCAACGTGCCAGTCCCATTTTCAAGTTGAGTGGCCTTAAATCGCAGACAAACAGTCAAACAGTTGATCTCTGCGTTTCCCTTTACTTGAACAGAAGCATGATCTCCTGAACTGGAATTTGTAAAACGGAATCCTGCATAAGGGAAATAAAGTACAATTGCATCTTCTTGATCTTCACGAATTTGATTCCTTTATTTTCTTAAACACAGTGCATAGCTATAGACGAGGTTTATTAGTTTATATATTTCGCCACAGATAAAACAAAAGAAAAGAATGTCGAAAGTATATAAACAGAAGCAATATTGTGAGGAACCTCCCCCTCCCCCTTTTCCGCGTACCTATGCAAAAAACCAGAAGGCTTATGGATATTGGGATCTCTCAGAGTATAAAAGTATAAATTTACAAGGCCAGGATCGAGTTTATACTAGGTAATTACATGACATTGATAAAAGGCGGATAACGAAATAAATGGTGGATAAATAAATATGTGTAAATAAAGTCCAGTCTGTATGGGCGTGCGATGCCTAGCTCATATTATTTTCTAGTTCTAATAGCTTGGTAAAACAAATTTTACAGGTTTCTGTGATAATTACCCAAGAGGTGTTGGCAGTGGTTTCCATAGTAACGCAGTTTGCACTGGCATATATATGAAGCGGAAGGTCTTTTAAGGGTCTGATAACAAGTCCCGCCGTTTTGACAATTCGCATTTAGGCAAGGATTCTAGGAAGATAGAGGATTAGTTTCATCAGTGATCAAACACTGATAAAATGGCCATTATATATGTAATAAATTTATCAAAATACAGTATAGGGATAAAGTTAATGAGCATAAACTAAAAATGGCACGTTCTTTCTTCGAAAAATTGCAGGCAGACAGTGCCAGTTGCCAAGCATTGCCTTCAACCTCTTTAACTAAATATTACCAAATCTCTGAAATTTATCTTGGAATATTTTGTGGTGGGAGATATTTTTTCCTTCTAGATGATTTTATAGGTAAAGATCATTGAAGCGTTGAGTACTGCCCAGTATTCGTAGTTCTCTGAAGCTAACCAATTCAGCCGAGGCGGATCCAAGATGGCAGCCATCCAAAATCATGACGTCACAACCTCACCTAACCTAAATAACCCCGTCTTCCGCCCTTTCAATAAGCGCTTATCCACAATTTGAAAATTAATGAACCTCAGACACATACAGGCTGATCAGAAATGTCATCCTTACCATTCCAAAATCGAAATATGCAAAGCCAGTTCGATGCACCAAGTCATGTGGCATCGTTAATGCTGTCTCGTTGTTCAGTTCACAAATGTGGAGTTTACCCGCTTCATTTTGATAATTGAAAGATCGGCAGAGCTGGTGCCGCAAACACCACAAGGAGCACTCTATTTGCGATCGAACATTTCTTGAATGGATCGTAAAATTATGTAAGGCTTTATCTAGTGGATATAGAAGAGCAAAATCACAAATTATTGATTTTGTATCTTTAGAAAACGTGTTCAACGAAAACAAAATCCATTGAAGGTACCTTAGCTTATCTTAAATGGCTTTCAGAACCCTTTTTCAATAACGTCCTCGCTGACCTCGAATTCACAAATATGAATGCTACTTGAGTAATATTCTTCAGTTCTTTTGAACTTTTGTTAGTCTCATCTTGAGATCTAATTATTTTCGTGTGATATTTTTCATCATTTTGTGTTTCAATGGGCCTTTTGCACGATTGCGTCATTTTACTACTTCTATCAGAATCATTCAGGGTTTTGCATTTTGTGCAAAATGTTTAAGGAAATATTGCTTTTGTTATTATAAACATCATTGGGATCACCAGATTTAAGTATGAAAGAAAAAACGAAATGAATTCTGGTCCTCGTAGTAAATTATAGACGTCATCGTGCAAAAGGCCTATTTCATTAAACTAAGATTTTTCAATCGATAGTTTTCAGTCCAATTAAATACATTTGCCAATGTTTTGGTATCAGACGAGTCTTTTGGAATCACGAATGAACTAGACAAGCTCATAAATGCATAAATCTTGCTTATTTTCGTCATTATAACTTCTATATTCTGAAAACATTGAAAATTCTCCCCTTGCAAAAAAAAAGCAATCCGGATTCCGAAATCCGAGGAATGTTTGCTGGTGGAATCCGAAATCCTGGGCTTTGGAATCCGGAATACAGCTCAAAGAATCCAGAATCCCATTAGAACGGTGGCCCAAAGTGTCACAGCAATTTCAATTTGTTGACGGTAATTTCAATTTTACTCACGGCAATTTCAATTTTACTCACGGCAATTTCAATTTACCCACAGCAATTTCAATTTTACGCATGGCAAATTCAATTTACTTACGAACAAACTGAAATTACCGTGAGTATAACTGAAATTAGCCCTTTGCAGGTTTCCATCCACGTGGTACAAAACTGGCATATTGGGACGCAAAAGTCGCATTGGGGCAAGACCAGCAAAAGGCATGCATAATTTTAAATGGTAATTTAATTTGTTTATCTCGTATCAGAGCGACGTTTGCGTCCGAATATGCCGGTTTTGTACCACGTGAATGGAAACCTGCAAAGGCCTATTGCCCTGAACAAATTGAAATTGCCGTGAGTAAAACTGAAATTGCCGTGACACTTTTGGGCCACCATACTAATGAGATTCTGGACATTAGCGATTGGCATGGAATCCAGAATCCAAGTTCTACTGACAACGGTTGGAATACAGTACCTGGGATACGGAATCTGTGACGTGGAATCCGGAATCCAAGAAGTTAATGTTAATCAAGTGGTCTAGTCTGAATAAGGTTAAAATCTGAAATGACAGTCGAATTTGTCTTACCCTTTTCCTATGCAAGACACCATGTATATGCAGCCCTTACATGTTTTTGGTTTGCTATTAAATCATTTGTTTTTTAATTTTTTATTTTTTATTCGCCCCTACCACAAAGAAAAAAAAAATGGTCAAGCGGGCGACGGAGGCTAAACTACTATCCCCAGCCGTGGAACACTGTGAAGAAGGTTTTATTATACCTATTATCCTTCGTTCAAAGACGGCAAATCGCCGCTCTGGGTCGTGTACTTCCTTTGCAGGGCAGCGTCCTTCCACCCATTTCAACAAATATTGTTGATAGCTTATTAATAGAGCAATAAAATGAACGTGGTACAATTGCATCGTTTTTCTGCGGGAAATAAAAGAGACGTAAAAAGTATAATTTAATATTGAATATTTTAATATGCACTCAACGTGCCATTCTGTACATCGTTATATCGTTATATATCGACAGTTCTTTGGTAAACGTGACATTCCCCATATGCCTTCAAAAGTGGTTGTAGAGGATTTTTTGCCTTGTTATCGGCCAATAGTTAAAAAAAACTGCGATTGCCACATTGTCCAGTTACAATAAGACAATTACATCAATGGACGCAGGCCTTTTCGTTGTAAGTTTCTCTGAAGACGAATTAATCACAATACGGTTACCTGATATTTCATTTCACCAGAAGCGCTTATTAAAATGCTTTTCAAAAACATTTTATGACCACTTGATAATATTTCATATCAACGTTTATAGAAGTTTCTTTGCGGGAAATATTGTCGATGTCAAAATTGTACGTTATAAGTCGTGCACATAATGGACATTATATTGTACAACGTATCAGACTGAATACTTCCCCAGATCAAGATGCTATATATATAAAACTTGCCGGCTGCTAAAAAAGACCAGCGAATTTGAGGGAAATGCCGAATACTGCAAAGCAATATGACTGTTCTCTTTACTTGATAACCATAGAAGGCTGTCGGTAATTTTCATCATGAGCTCGAGGCGTCAGTCAGAGCTCAAAACTGCCAGCGCCCGCCGCATATACATTGGAACGAATTAACTGGCGGTGGTCTGAAATTGACCTACTTAGCACTGAAAGAAAATTTGTATCATGGAATTATTCAATAATTGATAGGATTATAAACGTTTAAATTTATCCTTACCACGACTAGCCTGAAGCGGACATTTCGCCATACAAGCTACTTTTGTAAAGTAGTACCTCGTGTTACTTTGTAAGCTGTAATTTCTCTGTATTTGGTACAAATCAAATTAGGGATTCTTCCGATACATCTTATTCTTCGCTTGGCAGGTGTTGTCTCTGTTGCTTTTAAGTCAATACTGTTTACAACATGAAACTGTTACAAAGGAAATGAGAAAATATTCAGTATGTGATTTCCTCTGGGTGAACAAATATTGTGCGTTTTTAGACAGAAGGCCTGGGGGACAAATCAATATCTTAGGCCAAAAATTAGCTCACGGCTAAATTAGGTCCAGACTGTAATCAAACGAAACTACTTTTTTCATTATAACTGATGGTAGGATCCATCGAAGTGTTTATCGGAGTTGAAAAGAAAGTCACAATTGTCAAGAAAGTGACGGATCGTAATTTGAAAGGATACCGGCTTTTTATTTACCGACTGTCTGCCGTTACAAAAGAAAAGACGTCGATGAAGATTGCTGTGGATATCATTGTGATCCCATCGTTACAAAAAAATTATATTATAAAGAGGAGTCACCTTCACCCACCTTCTTTTGACTTCCAAGTCTTCCTTGTACGTATAAGCAGACTACAAAAAAATCTTTACCCCAAAACAAGGCTCGAAGGACAATTAACACGAGAATAAATTTTAAAAAAAGTAAGGTCCATTTATTTAAAGTCACATGAAGCAAAAAAGCCCGCTCTGAATAGTGTTAGGTAAAATGGAACACATTTAATTAATTCAAATTAGAGGATCCAAGATCATGTATGGTTCCAAATCCTTTTTTTGGTAAAAAATATGATGTCGTGGTGGTGATTTTCAAATGGCTACGGTTACGATCAAATTCCAAAACAGTCTCAATTGGTATATTTGATTCACTTCGACCAGTTATCAATGCTGATTAAATCCGCTGAAAACCCAAGCCATTTTTATCATCTTAGCAGTTTTTGCAATCAAGCGTGTTCGGCGTGTCTTACCCAAATTTCACGCTAAGCGTGCTATAATTCGCACACTTACCGTGACATATGGCACGCTACAAAAAAAACAAAAGGTCTAGCGTGTTAAATTTACTAAAACAACAATTTAATATGCACATATCCGTGATCTACGGCACGCTAAGCGTGTCATGCAAGCGTCTCGTGAGCGTGCGTTCACCTTTAGCATCAAATTCCTGTAGAGGGTCACATGTAGCTTCATTTCCACTGTAAAAGATTATTTATGTGTTTACCATCTTGATATTATCAGACACCTTTACTATTTCAGTATTTTACGCTTTACCTGTACTTTGAGGGAACTCTGGATTCTGCCAATAAATTCAACAATATAACATCATAATGACGTCATATTACGTCATTAATATCATGTCATATTATGTTATGCCTAGAAGTTTGAAATGATGAGTAACTTATTCTGTATAATTTTGGTGCCGGGATATGAGCGGCTTTGAAGTTATAGAGGGAAGGCCTCCGAGCCTATCCCTCCTCCCTCCCCCTACGTAGCAGGAAACTAAAAAAACGCGGTCTCAGTAAAATTGAGAGTGTGATCTTTTCAAAAGAAACCTAAGAGAAATAAGTGGATTGGAAAATACTTTGGGGGTGGGGGAAAGAAACTGTTGGGACAATTTTTTACGTATGTAGTTCATGAAATTAAGGAGAGATCTTTTTCACGGCGCACATAAAAGCGTGCCTCATTTTTTGATCCAGTTCTCTGTATTTAGATGCCAAGAACGTAGCTACGTGATAGTTTCATTTTTACAGAATAAATATCCCATTAAAAGGATTGAGTTCGACGTTTTAAAGCACAGGAAATGGATTTTTGAAAGGTAATGCTATGAACTTTAAGATACTATTTACCTACTAATACCTTTGTGATAAAGAATGGCATAGAACATTTGACATCACAGTTACACTAAAGCGTTACAAAAAGATCAGATTTCAAATAGTACACAGTTAAATCTCCATTAAGCAGCCAATTTCCGTTACCTCGAGGGTGGTCGTTTAATGGTAAGGTTTAATCGCCTTCTCGTTGTTTCTTTAAACGGTTTGATTTTTTCAGGTGGGTCCTAGATTAGTTAATTCTCTAACAAAAACTTTAAAGGGCTCGTCATCAGAATCTGAGGAAACTACCCACCTTATTACCCCCAACCCATTGTTGGGGGGGGTACTCAACAAGTTCTTTTAATACCATGTTTGACAGAAAAGGCCACGCCCCTTTCTTATAACTTCAATGATAAATGGTACCTCTTTCTTATACCTAGCTTACACCTTTGTATCCTTTTTGATCGCGTAATTGCTCTGTCGTTCGAGCATAAAATTAAAAAAAAAAAATAGAAAACCGGAACGCTTTCTCGACTTTTTCACAGCCATAAAATACAACTGTTAGCCCTTTGGTGCCCTTTTACAGACCCGAGGCCGGAAGGAGGGACTAGATCCTTTCTGGCGGAGCCTCACCGTATAGGGTATAGGCCATTATGGGGAGTAACCCCCCCGCCCCAATCTTGATTTAAAGGTAAATATAAAGCAGTAATCTAACACTGTTTTAAAAAATAATGATAATGGAGCTGTGGTGTATTGCTTTGTCTTAAATAAGCAATTTGTTTTAGTTATGGGATAGTACTGGGGTTAGGTTAAGGTTCCAACAATGTATTATTGTCGTTTATTACTTTGTACAAAAGCATCTGTTTAGGCAGCACTTTCAAATATATTTATATAAACGATTATTTCCCAGCTCTGGTTGCATACAAAGAGGATGCATAAAATGCAATCTGATAACGTTGCTATTAATATTATATTTAAATTTCATATTTTTCCTCTAGTTTTATAAAAAAAGATACGAAAATCTCAACCTTCTTATTTTTAACTGTTAGGTTTCAGTCTCTAAGCTAACATAAGCTTTATGGGCTATTTGATCGCTTTTAGTTCTGATTTGATTCAGAAAGAAGGAAAAAATCGTGACTTAAACCAATATCCTCTGTTATTTCTTAACTTTACATTAAACAATTATACTTTTGTCTTTAAATTTCTTTCCATGAGCGCCTTCATGGACAATGTAGCTTTGCATGCTTCCCGTACAGGTTAACTGAAATTTAAGACCTTTATATTTTAACAGTTACTGTATTCTTTTTCTTTTTCAATTTGTCCCAGTACGGGCGAGATAGCTGCGAGAATACAAATCCGGACACCGTGCAATGGGATAAAATATTATAGCAGAAACCTCACCTCTTCAAACGAAGACCGTTACCGCTGTTATGGCAAAAGCTTTTTCTCATCGATACAGGATATAGAGATTTTTAAGAACACTTGACAAGGGTAGAAAATGTCTTGTAATTAAACGTCAGTGTGCTAAAACTAGCTGTTTTAAAAGATGTGGAAAACGGCAGCTGGATCACGAGATATGCTAATTAAATGAAATTTTTCTTTGTTGTATTAGTCGACAGCTAACGCTCAGTCCTACCGGAAAATATAATCTTTCAGAAAACTAATTCCTTTTTTCCTTGTTATCATTTAAAATTGAATTTCTTTTGTTTTCATCGCACTCGTGGCGATATCTAAACTCTTTAAGTTCCACTAATGGGCAAAATCAAATTCAAGAAATTTCCAGTTGAATTTTCCAGTTATCAGCGCTAAAAACTGAAGGACGTATCATTCGAATCATCATAAAAGACAAATTAGCACACAGACCCAAAGGATGGATTTGATTACAGTTGTAAGGGTTGTTTTTTATAATTGGGGCTGTTAGTCCGAAAGCAGCTGCAATCAGAGTAGTACATTCACGCGTGCACGAATACCGCGAGCAAATACTAACTCTGTGTCACTCTGGGTACAAACAAAAAAATATCCTTTCAATTCCTGGACCGTCGTTTTGTTTAAAACTGCCATAACGTTAATTATAAATTTTTCAAATTTCTTGTTTTCCGATTCATTAAATTGTCAGTCAAACGCTGTACATTGTAGAGCGGCAACTTTGTAAAAAATTAAAGCTGAATCAATAATAGTGACTGTGAAACGTCGTCTACGATTACTTAATTTGGTTTTGTCGTCTGTTTTTATCCTTTTTTTTAAGTCATTGGTAACAAAAGTGAAGCTAGACTCGCACAAAGAGGCTTGCTTTTTGAAAGTTTTAAAATTTCAAATTTTGAGACAAAAATCTCTCGATAGCATTGTACTGTGATCAGCTAGAAGCGTCATTTGTTGTCCTAGTATTGTTTACGTCATTAAAGGTGCGCTGTATCTTACTAATGAGGGAAAAACAAAATAAGAATGGAAGACTCAATGGTATTGCTCTTCAGTCACGTGGTAATGGTGGTCCATAGCTTTTCCCCTGTATTAAGGAGGCTCCCAACAATTTTGTGTCACCCTTGGGTTATATTTAGATTTCAGGGAGTTTAAGCAAACTTAAGACAGTTTTGAGCAACGCACGTCAGCCGGAGGCTAGTCTAACGCCGTGAACAGTCCAGTTGTCTTCTTATCAGTCGTACCTTCGCTCTGTTGCATAAGAATTGACATAAAACGCTTTAAATAAAATCGCTCGTGATAAAATGGTAATAAACTGAGTCTAAACAAGTCTTTGTGCTTAGGTTTACTGCTTAAGCCCCGTGCAAACGGACGCAACATTGTCGGCCAACAACTCCCAACGTATGTTCCATGTTGCGTCCGTTTGCACACCTTGTTAGATGTTGTTGTACGTTGTTGCGTGTTGTTGGGACTGGCTGCGCAAAGTTTGAAACCGGTCAAAAGTTAAGCCAGCTGCAAACGGACGCAACAACTCCCAACATTGTTGGGCCAAAAATGTTTGGGGGTTGTTGCATCCTTTTGCAAGTAGCTTTAATTATTTGAAACAAGTACAAGGGGCGCGATCCATTCAACCAAAATGCCGACCGGTCCGACTAGGAAAAGTGATCCACCTCAAAAGGTGGACCAATTTTGTCGAAACTTTTCCGGTTGGATCGAACCGATCCATTGAGTTTTGGACCGAAATTTCCGGAAATTTTGGTTGAATGGATTGCGTTTCTCAATTTCTGAAGTTCGATCAAGTTCAGGGTTGCATTCCATGCTGGTCACGTGCATTATTTCTCATGGACATTAGTAGCTTTGACCTTGCGGCATGGTTTTCACTTCCAGCAGAAATTTCTTCAATGACACAAAATTAACTAGATGTAAACATGATAACAATATGTTGAAACGAGGTGGAATTAAAACCGTAATAAAAGTAATATCTATCTCAGGCTTTGTTAGGTTTGTATTTGAGCTGAAAGTAGGAATATAAGTGTAAGTTGTGTCTGCCTACCTTTCGATCTCCGTGGCCGGTTAAAGAACTTCATTTCTTCACTTTTGTGGTAAAGATTAAGATGCAGGTAATGTAATATTAGCTCTTTGCTGAAAGAGCAAGGTTTCTATTAGAGTAAAAAGTAATGTTTGCAACATGTGCTGTGCTTTTGCGTGTCGACTTGAAAACAGAATAATTATCAAATAATTTTGAATTTGAAAGTCTCGTCTCCAAGGAACTAGCGCCTCCTGATTCGCTATCAACGTTGCACGTCGAAATGCAGCCACAATCTGTCTGCGGCCAACTTATTCACACGCCACAATTTATCTAGTGAAAGAAATGATGACAAGTCAGCGGAAAATCTAAGCCTGAGGAGGACATATTATTCTGTTGTTGCTGTTGTTGTTGTTCCTTAGGAAAGTGGACGTTAACCGAACAGGGAAATCTGTCATTTTGGTCTGTAAACGGACTAAAAAGTGAAAAAGGCAAGAGAACTTCCTGGTTAAGGTATTTATTCATATTTACAAGATGGCGCATTTACAACAGTTTAAAGGTTTGGGATACCGCGTTCTAAACTTCTTAGCTTTTTGAAAGGGGTACAGGGCTGGACCCGGAGCGGCGCTTAACCCCAGGGGGGTAACTTGGAAGGAAAGATATCACAAGTAAACTATGAACTTGGCTTTATTGGACCAGTATGTAACCCATCGTAGTAATGCGTCTTTCTCCATTATCGGGTCTGTTTGTAGCTACATTTCCACATGTGTTTGAGTCATCAGGAAATCCTCCCATACCGAATCCAATCCTAGAACTACAGGATAAACAGCTATCTCCGTCGTCGCCAAGAATACCGATTCTTGCCTTGGAACGGTCACTTCTTCTACACACAGCATTAAACCCCTCCATATTACACTGGGGCTCCAAAGACGCCTGAGAGCCAACCAAGCTCTTCCACGTATTACGGCCCTCCTGCGTGGGGCGGTAATTTCCGTCAGCGATCAGAGAGAAAAGCGAGTTGGAGTTCTTGTTGATAGTAAAGAATCTTACTTGATGACCCACTCTCATGCCGAGGCAGACCTTGGAGAAGGGAGTTTTCCAGTAGGATGGTAGTTTGGTCTCTTCGTGGTCGAAACCAGTCTTGCCCCCAGGGAGGTTATGGTCAATCCTGTTGCTCCAAAATGGAGAATCGTAGTGAAAAGTTTTCTAAATTTAATTCAGGAGAGAAAAACTATAAGTGTTAAATAAATTTGATACTATGACAAATACCAATACTAATAGTTATAAATAATAATAATAATAGTTATTATTATTACTATCATTCTTATTATTACTATTATTATTATAGTAATAGTAATAATAATAAAAAGTAGGTTGAGTTTGATCGTCCGGGTGAACGTAGTCCTGAATAGGACTTTTGTTGTAGTGACTGTCAACAACAACAGTCCTATTCAGGACTATGTTCTACTGAACGATCAAAATCTCCTGGGTTCAAACCCTTCACAGTAGTAATAATAATAATCATCATCATCAATCAATCAAATTCATTTAACCATTAACACCTAGGAGCTCACATGTGTAAATAAACAAGCACCAATGATAATAATAACCAATAATAATAATAATGATGATAATAATAATACCAATAATAATAATCAATCAATCAATCAATCAATACCTTTATTTGACACTATAGATTAAAATAAAAAAATATTGTGGAAATTAAAACCGAATTAATAATATTATTTCATGTGTATAATATTATTGCTAAATTTTAAAAAAGCTATTCACAAGTGCTTATGAGCTTAGTAAAAATAGTAATTTTAATGATAATTATAAACATTAATATCTAAATAAGGCATATCTAAAAAAATCAAATACCTATAGAAATCTATCAAAGTTGCGCAAATTAACATTTTGCCATTTTTAGCCTCTGATAGTGAAAGTGCACGGGGTTTTAGGTGCATAAATTGTTGAGGCACTCACTACTTGTCAACTATCATATATATTTGAAAAACTAATCGTTAAATAAAAGAGCCACCGGCGAAAAAGTCAAAAGAAACAAATATTTTGATGGGTGGAGTTTCCTCTATTCCATTTAAGGCGCCTTTTGCACACCTGGTCGGTATGGTCATTATAATTATGATATTAGTCAGTACGCTCTTTCGTGGTTATTGTTGCGTCTTTTGTTGCTTCCCTTTTCAGTTCAGATAAATTTCAGCAGATTTTCAACGTATTTTTACAAACCTTTGTACCATCGATCTTCATTACTGGTGTCCAACCCCCAGCGCCACATCCAAAATCCCCCATGTGACAGTAGACATCAATTTCTTGCGAACCAAATCTCAGATTATAGACGCGGCTCTTTGAAGAACTATTAACGGAAAAGGAGAAGTGTTACCTATTTTTAAATTATTGTCATGTATTCACCAAGATATGTGTTAACATTTTTTACGTCTTTTTAACTGTCCTATTACTGACAGTAAGCACGCTGTTTGTTCGACAAAATCCTATTTTTGGAAATAACTTTTTCAATTTTTTCATTCTTTTTTGGTATTATTAATTCACTTTCTCGACTAAAATAGCACATAGCGATATAGGTAATCTATGAAAATGTGGGCCCAATGCATGGAATAGTTTAAGAGAAATTTTATTTTAAAAACTTGAAATTTTACAAAGAATGCATGACTAATTCACGTTCTCGTTTTTGCCACCCAGGTGCATCGTATCGCAGTTTTTGATGGCTGCCATTTCCTTGGATATTTCATCCTTACAAAGACCAGAAAATTACACAAATTGCTCACTTTAAATGGTTCCTTCAACGTTTGAAATTACTGAGACAAAAGGAAGTGTTTACAAGAGAAAAAAACAGTTTGGCTTGATACATAAACATAGTCACTGTTTCATTACTTTGGAACACTACGTTTTTGGCCGCAGTGACGTCATAGGAAAAGATCTATTCGAGCTAAACCTAGTTATATGTGTTGACAGTTTTAAACACTAACAATATACTGATTGCTGATTGTGTAGAAAACTGTTAACAACTTAACCAAGATGGAATTTCGAAGAATTATTCTGGACTTACTTGTCTTTTTCGTATTGTTCCTTGCATGAAGAAATGTGGGGGACTATTTGAGCAAGAAAATAACAGTGAACATCAAGACACAAAGGAATTGAGCACAAAAAAATGAATTAAAAATAATGACAATAATAATAACAATAATTACGATAATAATAGTAACAGCAAATGACGAAAAATCAACTGATATGTTTATGGGTACTACAAGAAGCTTGTGTATCTCCCTCTAACAACAAGCTTTGACATGTAGCAGACACGTAATTTAATCCATTAAGAAAAACAAAGAGTGTTATCAAATATAAGGTAAAAAATAGTTAATCTCTTTTAATCACCCTATGTGATGAAGTGTAAACTGTCTGCCTACCTTGTGCTACAGGATTGGGAACAGACACATTGAGTGTTAGTGCAATCAGATAATCCATTTTCCTTTCCAAAACACTAACGGCGTCTCGTAAACGTGAGTCAGGATTCAGATTGCAATGACAATTACAGTTGTTTACTGGCACGGAATCATCGCAGTGTTTTGGAGGCTTACCACCTGCAGTCACGACGACGGTCAGATGAAGTAAAACAACTGTTAAACGCATTGTAAGAATTTCTGCTGTGTTTACGTTAGTGAGAGTGGCTGCCTTTTATATCCTTTGATCAATAATTATATCCCCGACGAAATTGATAGCAATGCAACACGGCTAATAATAAAAACGACACTGATTGTATTGCAAATAACGTACGTAGGAAGTTAAGAATACGAGAACAATGGGAAATTCGTCATTTGTAGAAGTATATTTTAGTATGTTCCTGCTGGTTAACGATTGAAAAAACAGCGGCCCAATTTGAGTACAAAATGCTGTTTTTTCAGGGTTATGGGCATGTCCCCTTGAAAATCAGGTCAAATCGTACGTACTGCTAAAAAAAAAGAGAAGAGAAGAAAGAAATAGCTAAGACGTAAAAAACACATTCACCTTTGCATGTTCTAAATTCGATTCATTCCATCTAATATAGGATACATTTGTCTTTCCGGAAGGATGGTTTCGACTCAACGACTTGACGTCATGATTCCAGCCCACTTCATAAAAATAGTTTTACCACAAAAGTCACCGACAAATATTAGCTACATGTATGCTTTATGGAAGAACAAGACACAAGGTGAACTTCAGAAAGGTTTTAGCAAAAAAAAGAAGTGAAGTTAATCCTAGCTATAAAAAAGAAATGACAGTAAGTAAATTTGGAGTTGATAGACCTGTTCATTCTCGGCTAAATCCAAGACGATTTGGCTTTAAAAATTATGTGGCCATATTATGTGTAGTATTTTTGTTTTGCGGTTAAAATATTGTAAAATTATTTTTCAATATTTTTCTCTTGGACTCAGGAAATGCTTCTTTATAATCAGACGCTGTCGACGTGGCCCTATACTAAAAGTACAGTGACAGTCGGTTAAATATAATCGTTAAGAAATTTCTAGACATACTTCTGGCGAGTCGAGCTAAAATAAGACTGAGAAAGGCAAAAGAAGAATAAAGTCAAGAAGTTGGCTTACACATGAATTATCTTTAACACTGGCAATGATGTCTTGATGACGTCATTTATTATCAAAGAAGGAGCTGAAACTATCCACCATCTTGGATCTGCCATTTTGAATTAATTTAACGTACTTCATTTTGCTTACCGAGAAAAATCGAAGTAAGCGTGATTTCAAATTTGATCTATTTTTTCCCCACAATGATTTGGAAACAGTAGTAAACATTGTACGGATCCTACTCTTCAAATCAGTGAAAGGGTGCATTGGTCGACAGTCTTTTTAACCTGATCTCAGGCTACAGTCTTTTGGACTTGGGTGTTTGCTTTGACATCTCATCGAGCGCTTTCGGTAACGGTCGACGCTCGTCCCTTTGATACAGTTGAAACTGAGAGGTGACTGTCCGTTATAAGCGCTCGATCGAAGCAAACTTAAGGGAAAATAAGGGACTTTAAACATTCTACCTCAAAGTAACCAAGGCAATAGTCTGCCTATTTGCAATTTCCTTTCAAGCCGAAGCTAACTGCACTATGCGGACAAATGCTGATTTTCTTGATCACGTGTGTTAGCAAGAAAGAATCAAGTTGTGGCTCTGATTACTCAGTTAGTCGTGACGTACGTCAATTGATGAAATCAATTATGTTGCAAGTTGTCAACAAGTAAGTAATACGTGGGCAAGAGAAGGGGAGTGTATTACTTCAACGAATACAGATTTGTAAGACAACAATTTACTTTGAATTCCAGTTTTCTGCATCTTATAATTCCTTTATAAGGAAAATGACGTCATATTTAAACAGTCAACCGTCAAGAGGGGCAATATTTAGCCGTCAAACGTCAGTGCAGACCTTCCTTTATGATATTTGATGAGATGATTATAGCCAACTTGGTGCTACCTTTCTTAAAGACAAGCTTAAAGCAGTTCAAACTTTTTGCATATGCTTAACATAATAAGACAAGAGAATGTGTTTGTATTCTTATTTGTAAGCCAAAACACCACGTTATTTCTGTTCTACTGCACCAGGATATATCCAAAGGTTTTGATGCGCTTTCTACCATTATCTCCCTCCCGAGCTGCATTGCCACATGTATTGATCTCATTTGGCCATGGTATCCCTTGCATGCCAAACCCGATTCTGGAATCAACCGTGCGGCAATCGTTTTCGTTGTTTCCAAGGATACCGATTCTTACCCTGACCTTATCTCTTGTACCATTGCGCCGCCCGCAAGCAGCGTTAAAACCCTCTCTGTTACAGTTGGGCTGCAGGGAAGCCTGAGAACCAATCAGCGTCTTCCAGTAATTACGACCCAGAGGGGTTGCGCGATATATTCCATCAGCAATGAGGGAGTAGAGAGAACTGGCTTGTCTGTTGATGGTAATAAAGTTTGTCTGATTACCAATTCTCATACCCAGACAAATTTTAGAGAAATTTGTTTCCCAGTAAGAAGGCAATTTGGTTTCTTGTGTGTCAAATCCGGTCTTACCACCAGCGAGATTGTATTCATTTTTGCTGGTCCAAAAATGAGACTTGTAGTCGAACGTTCTCTGAAAGACAAAATTGAGATTATTCAAAGAAATTAACCATATTTCGGTATTAGGTAATCATAGCATTTCTTCGTTTCTTACTTCTTGTCTTTTTTGAAGTGAAACTGGCTGTGGAAATGTTTAAGATCACAACAATGTTCAAAGAAATCTGAAGAGATAGATAGCCAGATTAGATTTACCAAAGGCACTTAATGTATAATTTTAAGAGAAAAAAAATGATGTTCTTGGATAGTTTCAATTACTTTTAAAATAAGATTAATAATTATCTTGATTCATTTAATCAATTAGTTGAACTTAAAAGAGCACTTTGTGGGTACCTTTGTGCCATCGGTCTTCATGGCCAGCGTCCAACCACCACCTCCGCATCCAAAGTCTCCCATGTGACAGTAAACAGGAACTGTAAGCAATCCAAACTTCAAAGTAAACACCTGGCTCTTGGATGAACTGTTGGAGGTTAAATAAAAAACATAGTTGGTTACGTTACCAAAATCTGTAAAACAGGTCAGCAAAGGTACAACATGTTTACCACCCTCGAACGAACGGTCAGGCGAGGGCAACTAACATTGATCATAGCGTGTAAAACAGGTCAGCAAAGGTACAACATTTTTACCACCCTCGAACGAACGGTCAGGCGAGGGCTGCACTAACATTGATCATAGCGTAAAAAGAGGAAGCATCCTGCTGGGTTTTAGTTCTGTTAGTGTTTTGTTAAGAATTTGTTCGTGTTCTCCAAGATCATCACTTTTATGAGGACAAATTTAAAGAAATATATCAAAGCGAGCAGTCAAAATTCGGGGATCGACGAAATGTCACCTTGTGATGTCATAGATTAAGACTTATGGAGGAAAACAGTTTTATTGTGAGATATCATGTGACCTTGAAGTAGCCAATGAGAACGGGCATTGTTAAAAAAATACTTTTTTGTACTACTACATCTGATACATTTTTGTTGACATCTGTGGCCATTTGACAAATGATTTGTCAAACGGAAAATCGCATCACTTAAAAGCAGTTGTTGTTAATCGACGTTCTTTTGCTGGTAGGTTTCGTCCTTTATAGCATACTTAACAAACCGGAAGTAATTAATTTTGATCATCCATCATCAAAGTGTTGGCTACATATGCATACTACATAGGAGAAAATTATCTTTGCTCCTGTCTGGTTTTATGGCACGCCTTTGACCGTAGAAAACAAGAGCTTTTGAGGCGTTAAGCTTATTACCAAAACTTTAATGCCGAAGTTACCTTGCGTTTATTTCATGAGTCAAAATTATTTTATCTTTGGCCACTAATACACATTTAGCTGTGTCAATGTATTTCAATCTACTACTTTTGCGATTTTGTCAGGTAATTATTATTATTATTTTATCGAAGACGGATTAATTTTGTTTATCAACGAAACTGCACGCAATATTTCACATTAGGCTGAGAAAGAACTGCTCGCAGCCTGTTAATGATAATCTATCAATCTAATTACATATATTACAAAGACGATGAATGAAATTGATTAAATCATTTAGTTTCAAATTAAGATTTCAAAGACATGCGCTTCAGCTTTTTGCCCTTGCGGTTTTGATTAACTTTGCGGTCTGAATAATAAGCTGTTCTCTGTTAGTATCGACATATCAAGATCGGACTCTTTGTTTTAAATTAAAGTATAAATTAAAAGAGTAGCAGGAAATTCGATGATACAAGATATCGTGGGGTACGAAATCTTTACGGGAGTTTTGACCTATCGCGATAATTTGTCCGTGGTTTGGAAAACCATGCTTTCTGTTTTTGTTGTTGTTGTTGTTGTTGTTTTTTTTTTGAGACTGTTTTTTTTCTTCCAGAGAATTGATTTTTGCGACATTCAGCCAATACTTTTGGATGTATTTGAGTACATATTGGATCACTGTAGTACTCATTTTTTTAGTAGTGTCAGCTTTACGCCTCGCTGTATTGCCTTTCAGAGTACACTTGTGTGGTTAAGTGCTCCCATTGATGCCAGTATTTCTCTCCATCTTCCGAGTCACTGACCTCCTTTTCTCCAACCAACTGTGGATTCAACATTTGAAGAGGAAATTTCATGGCGATATTTTCTTTCAGATCGAATATTTTTGTGGGGCGGATGGTAAAAAAAAAAGGCAAAAATCCCACATTTTTTGCAACGAGGAAATTCATGAAGACCAAATAATGTCAAGACCAGTTTTGTCAGTCAAGTTTTGCTACTAAAGAAATGAAATACGTTTAACTATTTTTCCTATAAGGAGAACAACTTTTCAATGGTTTTTCAGATAACACACTTTTTCACTGGCATTGATCTCATTGTGCGTTTCTTTTTCTCCTCCTGATTCAGGCTAAAAGGAGTAGTCAGTAACCGTAATATGATGCGGCGGAAAATGCTTGATTTTTACGTCCTGATAAAAACTGCTTTGAGAGACGAAAGCAGACAAAAGCGAGAGTGTTTCGCTACAAAACGAGGAAAGTAAATCCAAACATGTAATCAATGTAGGCTACAGTAATAGCCCGCGTATAAGAACCTGAATTTTTCAATTTAGCCTAAACAGGTTCTTAAATAAATGGTACTTAAAGCAAATTTAGGCTACCGAGGTTCTTAAAATAGGTTCTTATATTTTCATGTGAATTTCATCTGAATATACTATATATATTATAAATATCATCTCATAATACAGTATAAATCATTTATTTGTACCATAGAGCAATGCCTATAGGCAGTTCAGTGCAGGTACAGCATATGTCCTTAACAAAACATAACAAAGAAACTCATGTTGATACCAAATTCATAACAAGCTCAAGCAATGAGGAGAAATGAAAAACAAAATAGATGATGATCTTAATTCAGCAGTTTCTACCTATACAACTGATAAGAACCTAACTTAAAATTTTAGCCTAAATAGGTTCACATATAAAATGAAACTTTTGCCTAACAGGTTCTTAAAACCCAGGTTCTTATATGATTACTTATCATGAACTATTTATTATCAGAAACGTCAACAGCCCTTTATATTTTTTTTTCTTGGCGTATTTTCAATAAAAAACTTGGGACAATAGAATCGTACCTCTCTTAAAGGACGCTGGAAAATGTAAAACTTCATTTATAGCCCGCGGTCTTGATGAATACCCGCGTTAATGATAACCTTGAGGTGTATTCCCGAAAGATTTCATCTCAAGTTAAGAACACAAGGTGTCTGTTTGAAACAGCTCCAAATGTGTTCGTAAAACAAAATAGCCTTTAACTTAGTCCCACTTCATGTGCAAGACTCGAGTGACTGATTACGTAAATAGTAATGTCGTCTCTTTCTTTAGTTTTTTCTCTTAGGATTAAGAAGTTGAATACAAAAGAAGGATCGACAAAATTTAATTACGTAAACTACATAGAACTAATATAGGCCTTACTTGTCTCTTTCGTACTGTTCCTTGCATGAGGTCGAGACCAGAGCTGAAGCAGAATGAAATTAAAGATTGTCATCGTCAAAAGCATCTAACTTTGAGCAACTTACACTTAGCATCGGCTTTTTTGATTACCAGGTTTCTTTGCGGGCTGGGGATTAGAAGAGATATTGTTAACCAGCGTAATAAGGTTGTCCAGTTTGGCTTCCATGGATCTCATGGCATCGGTAAGGTACACGGTATTCTGGTTAACAGTACACTGGCAGTTGCAATTATTAACCGGAGGCTTCTGACATTGTCGTGTTCGGCTATTACTTGAGTTTAAAGGAAAAGATTTAACGCCATTTAAAGCAAACAGGCTGAGCAAAACAAGTGGAAAACGCATTTTAAGAGTGGAACCTGCGTGCGTTTGAAATATAGAATATTTCACCGTAGACAACTTCCGTGTACTCGATGTTGACCGAAAATGAATTACCCATCGGCCCTTTCGTCCGTTGCTGATAACTTTGTGCTGGGGAACCCTCTGCTGTCATTACAAATGACAGTAAATGTTCAACAATGAAATCTTATTTCCACTTCAGTTTTCAACGACAATAATCACAGAAGAGGACAAATTGCATCAGCTGGATGAACTACACTTAGTACTAAAAACTGCAAATTGGGAATAAGCTAATTAAAAACAATAACCATTTTGCTTTTATTATTGTCGTTTGAATCTAGTCTGTTACACTACTACGTGAGAAATTTCTGCAATTTGATTGGCTTAGAGCAGTGGTGTTTCAGCTTAATTTGAAAAACCTACATGTGAAAATTACAAACCTTCTGTTAGTAGTAGTGTAAACAAATAATAGCATGATTTGTACGTGATATTCGGCATAAATACCACTTATGATATTTCAACAATTTTGAAATATCACTCGTGGTATTTATGCCAGATATCACTACAAATCATGCTATTACCTATACTAATCGTTTGTAATGTAATTTGTAACGTGTCTGCGCGTTCCAGATCGACTGAATTGAAATTTGAAAGTATTGGTTTTTAAGGCCGAGGAGAAAACCAGATTACCCGAAGAAGAACCTCTCAGAGATGGGGAGAGAACCAAGAACAAACTCAACCCACATATGGCGTCGACGCCAGGTTTCGAACGCTGGCCACATTGGACGGAGGAGAGTGCTCTCACCACTGCTCTACCCTCGCTCCGCCAATTAGCGTTTTAAATGGTGATATAGCTCAGCTGTAACTATACAAGTATCATTGTGTAGACAAGACTCAAATCTCCGCGCCGTGTCAGGGGTTATTAAGCCCTGAAGATTGCCCAAATGGAGCAATTTGCCACGCATGCTTTAAAGGGTTAAGATTAAAGCTTAACAATCCGATAAGAGCTTTATTTTCCATTTTCAAAAATCTTGGTCAGTTTAAACCGAGGGGAAATGTTATGTGGAGAATCCTTATTTTATTGAAAACAATATATTTTTCAATGAATCTAATTTAATTATATAAGCACAATTTTTTATTCATTCATAGTACTTCGCCGTTCCTGATTTGCTCCAATCCCCCGGCTAATTAGTCGTCATAACCAACTGGCGCTTACCATATTTACAAGATGCGAGCGATAATCCAATGATTCGATGCTTGTTTGCTTGACATCGAGGTTGTGCGATGTTGTATTTGCTTGAAAACGAGGCCGCTTGGAGCGTTAATTTCCTATAATAAGGTATCTAATTTCATGTTAGCTTAGGGGAGGGGTAGGTGGGCAGTTTCCTAGAAACCTAAATTGATGCGAAATGATATAATCAGTGGGTTTGGGTTTCAAGGTCATGGTCATTCGCTTTTAATATTGGCCTTTCGGTTTGCACTTGTGGTTATGGTATAGCTGTATTGTTTTAGTCTCTTCATAGAAACATTAAAACTTTGATCCTGTTGCTAAGTGTTTCTTAACAATTAATGAATGAGGCTGAGTATCTTATGAAGAATTATGGAGATCCAGGAGGGACTGTTACACCCTCCTAGATCTCCATAATTCTCCATATGATACGAAAGCCGAATTCAATAATTGTTTTATTATTCATTCAAAATAATTCCCAGTTTAAAAACATAGCGAAAACATGCTTACCTCCATAGATGTTAAGTTCATCTTCGATAGTGTACGTTTAGGTTTGTTCAGCTCCGCAAATATTCTCCAAATAGCAGATGTCGCCCTCCGAGTTGTTATTCCGTCGAATGTTCTGTTTATGCCGTAACTAATTATTTTGCTTTCTAAAAATAATGGACTTATTTTGCACTTTTTGCAGATCACATGTCCATTCTCTTAACTATGCTAATATATCACAAGCAGTATAGAATTACGGTGCCTCAAAGTCTTCGATATCCTTAGGAAAGGCAGCCTCCGCCACGAAATACCAATAATTTATTTCTGACTTTCTTCAGGTGGTTGATATCCCACTCCTGACACAGGGAAAATCAATTTACGGTTAAGATAACTTATTATTAATGAGTCGCATTTATTTCGATATACCCAAAACTAAAATGCTGTGTCTTAAAAAAAACTATAAAAAAAACAAAAACAAAAACATACCAAATAAATGAATAAATAAATAACAAAGATATATGAATGAATAAAAAGATAAATAAATAAGATAATGACTTTGGTTTTTAATTAGAAATTGCTCAAAGATGTCCCTTACTTGTCTTTTTCGTGCTGTTCCTTGCAAGAAGAGACGAGAGCAGCTGATGCTGTTGTGACGTTAAATAACCAAAAATTCAAAATATTTTGGTTGATATTAAAATCAAGGGAAGAAAACTTAAGAATTCAACATTAACTCATACTTTTGTTGAAGATTACCTGTTGGTTTTGGAGTCCTAGGTGGGAAGAAACAAGAAGTATTGTTGATTAGTGCAATAAGACCCTCCATCTTTGCCTCTAAAGATTTTACGGCATCACTGAGGTCAGAGTTATTGTTGTTGTTCAGTCCAATAAGACTCTTAACCCTGTCCAGCTTTGTTTCTAAGGTCTTTAGGATGACGGGCAAATCTTGATTTGCATTGCATGTACAGTTGCAATTACTTACAGGCGGCTTGTAACAGCAAGGTGTTTGCTGACTGTTCACGAATTAAAATAATGGAACAGTGATAACGCCAAGCAGAACAAATGAGAAATACATATTCAGGAAATGGATTTGGAGTTGATCTTGAGCAGGGAAAAAATCCCTTGGTATTGTCTTTGAACTCCACCCGCTTGAAATGCGCACACCCAGTTTATATTTTGATATTCTGCGTATATAATCAAGACTCATGCAGTGAAAATTGATGGCTGCAGTACGCCCTCCTTCCGACTCAGAAGCTAATCTATTTTCGCTCCACCAACGATATTGACGTTAGCAGGAATCGAGAAAAACACTTATTATTCAGTTATACCTCCCGTAATACGAACATGTACAGTTTTGCTTTTAACTGGGAAAAATCCCTTGTATCGACTCTCGGTAGATTCATCCCACTTAACACCACGCTCGTCAATTTTGACAGACTAACTGACATTTATTTCTTGTCGTCCAAAAGAATGCCCCCCTGGCTAATGGGGACATACTTTTCTCATGTTTGTGTCCAAAAAAGGCTTATTATTTTTAGATTTGGTCAGTTGTACCTATGAGAACAATTATTCAGGAATCTTACAACATTAAAGAAATGTTATTATTCTAGAGTTTCTGTTTGTAAAGATGATAATCCAAGGGAGAAAATCTGGGTTTAAGATATTATGAGAAATTCAAGTGCACCACAAACACTCACTCACTTATTGGCTTAATTAGTAATGACAGCGTGTTTCCTGCCTCTGACGACTCTAGATTGCAGTATACTCTTCCCCAGGCCCCGGTTGTTCAAAAGTTAGATGGCGCTATCCACCAGATAAATCACTAACTTGCGGATAGATATTAAGAAACCAATTGCGCTGAACAGTAGACGGATACAATGTATTTACCTAGTGGGATGCCCGTGCTGTGCCATAAAAGAGATTGCATGTTATGTGGCCGCGGAGGCCCTGGTGATGAATCCATTTCAATCTTCTTCAGTTTTTCCCATCCGTGGCATCTGCTGTTTCTGTTATGTTATTTTAACCGTCCTTTAAATTTTTTGCGTCGCTCCTCAGTTAGGCTTCTTTTTAAGCAAATGTTTCTGAATCCAATAAGAGTCTTATTTACCGTGTTGTTAAAATATATAACGGGCATTTGGTAATTGAGAAGCATGGCTTCCTTCGGTTTCCCTAATTATTTAACACAGCGGCTAGCTGGCTGAACTGAGTTTCGTGACACAGCTGGGCACTGAGTCATCTTCACTTCTAAAGCGCCTAAATATTACACCACACTTAACGTACCAGATTCATCCTTCCAATCAAGACTGACGTCTAAAAATTAAAGCTCCATATTGTGACCTTTCTCCTGTATTTGCATTCATTAAATCAAAAGCGCGAACTGGCTCTAAAAGTAGAAGGTTTAAAGTTTCAAAAATCTTTGTTTTTCTTAAACAAAAGCCTGAATTTCTTGAGGCGCAACGTAATGATTCAGCTAGTGAAGACCGTTATTGTATTAACAAGCAGCCGTTGGAGTTCAGCAGTATAAAATCTGGTGAGATAGTTATAAGAATAATCAATTTTGTTAGGGACAAATTGAATTGAAACGAGCCACCTCGACAGGTAAATTATGCGGTAGCAATGATAATTATGCTTTAACTACAATTTGGTTAATTAGTCAGTGCCACAGTAGCGGTAATAGCAATTTCCTGGTCTAACCAGTTGGTAGACATAATAGGAACCACAGTTCGTTACGTAGATGTTTTTAGAAAAATTACTAAAACAACATTGCCCATTGTAGCTGAAACAGACTTGCTTCTTGACTCGTCCATCAGCCACTCTAGGATGTCCATTTGTCAACCAGCCAATCACGTGAGTACCACACCTGTTCCCTGAAGGCATGCATGATGTAGGCATCCTGGTTCCCGCAGCTCCCTCAAAACGATACCAGCCTTCAGTAATGCTGTTGTCACAATACCCGTGGTAGGTAGTATAAGTTATTTTCCTGTCTGCGGCAGTAAGGCTCTGGTAGTTCTGACATTCTGGGAAAAAAAGTGAGACTGAAATGAGGCATGCCAAATATTTGATGGAATAGTAGCGTCAAACCACCAGAGGAGTTGGGAAGGGGGTTATTTCGATTTCTATTTTTTTAGATTTTTTTAAATTTTTTTTTCACGTTAATCTCACTAAATTCCACAACATTATTCATAGCCTAGCCCAAGACTCCATTAACAATGCCCAATTTGGAGCAATATCTGTTAAGGACTGTGCCTCTGGTACGCAATGACAAAACAGAAATTAAAGAATTGAATTCTTTATCAATCGTCAGAATATCAATCTCTACATATACACAAACGCGCAAAAAAAGGGTCGGATCTCGGATGGCTCGGATCTCCGTAGCTTATTCGAAAAGTCTCTCGATATTGGAAGAAAATGATGAACTTTTTAACATTTTGAACTGACTTCTAAGCACTCAATTAGCTGATAGCCGCGTGCCCGCAAATTTACCATGCAAAGCCCGAATGGTAAAGAATTCTGTCCAAAAAAAAATGATATTGAAGCTGGAAATAAAGGCCAAAAAGTTATCCTTAAACTTCGGGTAATATCCATTGGACAAAGGTAAGATTTTCTCCTTTTTTTACCTTTTTTCATCCGCCAGTGGAAACATATTTAGTAAATAGTGCTAAATTGTGTAATTAGTGGCTGCAACCGGATAATGAGGTGAGGAAATCTGCTTTGCAGTTAAAATCAAAGAAGCACAAACACACATAAATTTGACCATTACATTGTACGTACGGTAAGAGCACTAAGAAATACAGACTTGTACACACTGAAAGAAGTAGATATGAGTTATAACAGCGATACCACTCGACGAAGGCAATTTGCTAGTACCACTTTGAAAATAGTCAGAATCTTCCTGGATAGCGTTTTGTCTCTCAAATAGATTTAACACTAAAAAAAATAAAAGATCGCTAATAAAATTAGGAAACAGGCGACACCTTATTTTACTAACAAGCTAAATGCCAACGTTTACAAGACATCTGCAAAATCCCCGTTGAAGCCGCTACCGGCACTTCAGAGGACATGAAACCAAAAGTTTATTGAAAGATTTTGCAAAGTATTCAACATTAACTAAACTTTAAACATTAAATATAATCACTTTGAAAATTTGTGTGCACGATAAAAATTTTGAAAACAAATGATATTTAAAGCGGATTATAGCCGTTTTTTATCATTCGGTTCCGAGTGGCAAGCCATAAAGTCGTCTTCAACCTGACCGAACATAAATATCAAAGCGAAAAAGAAAAAAGAAACCGCACACTTATACAAGGCAAAGTAAAACCTGTCACCCAAGTATCGTCTTTTTATCAACAAGAACAACATCATATATTGAATTTGATTATAACTTGCAGTAAAAGCAACAAATCTGAAGCTACCTTCGGCTAGACGGCGCCATTCAATAGCGAAATCAAGCTAGAGCGGCAGGGCGGAACCAGAGAACATGTATTCGACAATGCCCTCTGCACCCTGAGCGAGATGCCTACCGGTTCTTTTTTTCCAGTAAGTCTTTTAAACTTCTTGTTTATTAAATTTATTCTATTTTAGTTGTACGCTTACTTGTTGTGCGCTTGGATCCGGAAGATAATATTAGCATCAACATCGAAGCAAAATACGATGAGAAAATTGAAGAGCATAAAAGTCGACGTTTGTTCGATCAGCCAAAGTGATCATCAGTCATAAACTCCATTCTAAAGTGGTCAGCAACGTGCACAGCTATATACGTGATCGTGATTGCCAATACGGTTGGCCTCATGTAGGCACATTACATACACGTGTAGCTTCCCAATATAGCATTCTTTCGTTATGAATGTTTGGTTATAGTTATGAATGTTTTTATAATGAGCTGTTTGAAGAAAGAAAGTATCACACTTCAGCTACGCGGCTGAACAAGCAAATGCAAAAGCTATGCGCCAGCGCTGAAAAAAATATCCCTGAATAAAAATGTGCTCATAATTTTCCTTTTCGTATATTGTTCCTTGCAAGAACAGACAGCAGCTGACGAGATTAAAACCGAGAATTGAAACTGAGTTGAGGATAACAAAGACCAAAGGACATTTGCTGAAGATTAAATATTAACAATTGTATTAATACTTTTCTTTTTAAATTACCTGTCGGTTTCGGAACCGGTGGTGGAATAAAAGAAGCACGATTAATCAGCGCAATTAGATTCTCAACCTTTGTTTCTAAGGACTTGACCGCATCGCCGATTCGGGAAGTCTTATTGCGCAGTTCACTAAGACTCTCAATCTTTTCTTCCAAAGTTTTCACGGTTTTGCTGATGCCAGAAGTCTTGTTGTCCAATCCATTGAGATTTTCCATCTTTACTTCTACGGACTTTAAGACATCGGCGACGCCAAATGTCTTGTTGTTCAGTGCAGTAAAACCCTCCACCTTTGCATCCAAAGACATGACCGCATCGGCGATTCCAGCAGTCTTGTTCTTCAGTTCAAGTAGACTTTCAACCTTTGCTTCTAGGGTCTTTACAGCTTCACCGACGCAAGACGTTTTGTTGTTAAGTACAGTACGACTCTCCACCTTTGCCTCTAAAGACTTAATCGCATCGCCGATTCCAATTCCAAAGGATTTGTTGTTCTGTTTAATAAGACTCTCCACCTTTGATTCTAAGGACTTTACGGCATTGCCCAGCTCCGTGTAGTGGCAATTCAAATCAATGTTGCAATAGTGACAGGGGTCCTTATTAATTGAACTCACAGACGAATTTGTGACGCCATAAACGAAAAACGGAACAAAGAACAGCAGAAAAAATGACAAATACACCATAACAGTTGTGGATCACGGATTTGAAGAAGTATCTAAATTGCCTAGTAGTTTACTCCACTTGGGTACAATATCATTACCTATTAAATCTTGTAGTATTATTTTGTCAATATTTATAGTGATTTCCAGAGCCGGAACTTCGTTTACGCAGAAGACATCTATTAATTCTCCACGAACAATACTTGTGTTGGCGCGAATCATTTGAAAAAAAATACACTCTTAACACCGTCCCTGGTATGATCACCTCGCTATCATGCACAAGGCATTTTTCCTGCTTATGGCATTGTTATTATTCATTGGTATTGTCTCTGAATTCAAGCCGCCTTTAGTACGTAAGCCACTGATAGATTTTTTTTTCCTTTATATCTTGGTATTAGTGTGTATAATCAATACCCAGTAAAAGTACCCATGCCACAGTACTATACCCCTCCTTTATTTAGATGTTATCTATTTACGTCCTAGCAACGATATTGACGTTGGCAAGAATCATATTCAAAAAGAAAAAAACACTTTTTGTACCCTCCATAATACGAAAACCTTAGCTTGTCATCATGTACATTTTTGCTTTAGCTCCTGGCTCTAAGGGTTCTAAACAACGTCGCTTTTTATATGGGGTACCATTTTTCAATGGCGGAACTAGGTATACCAATGAACCATCAGTCTGTCAAAGATGGTAACTATATAAAAGCTGTGTAAAGGGTTTGGATGCGGATCGGAGCCGATCCTTCCCGTATAAAACTATTTTGAGTTCCCCCCGGGGGTCAACTTAAAAGGGAAGATATTGTGAGTGAAATATGAACTTGGCTTCGTTGGACCAGTGTGTGTCCCATCGCGGTGATGCGCCTGTTCCCATTATTGGATCTGTTTATGCTACATTTCCACAATGTGTTTGATTCATCAGGAAATCCCCTCATAACGAATTCAGTTCTGAAACTTCAGGATGAACAACTATCCCCGTCATCACCAAGAATTCCGATTCTTGCTTTGCATCGGTCATTTCTGCTACATATAGTGGTGAATCCCTCCTTATTACAGTAGAGCTCCGAAGACGCCTGAGTGAAATGAGTGGAATTAATTTAACATTTATGTGATCATCAGTGTATGACTTTAAGGGAAACACCGCTTCCCAGAGGAACTGAGTCATCAAAATGCTATTGTTTTCTCTAAGACGAGAAACACTTTCAATTTTAAAAGCACTGTTTATGAAAGTTACTAACGCATGGAACAAGGAACAGGGAAGGTAGAACGTAATCCTTGGCTTTGGAATCCGTAATCCCGCTAACAATGAAAATCCGGAATCCAGTACCAACATCCAGATTCCTCTCCATAGATTCTTAATCCAAGACTGCCTTGCATTTAACCTTACATGGGTCTTATATTTTTCGTGAGAGGAACAGAGGACAATGTATAGACAAAATAAATCATCATAATACAAACAAATCAAGCTACTTTTATTTCACCCTGATTGAGCTTAATTACATTTAGTCGTTCATTTCACCCATTTACCTAATTTAAGTTTCAGGCAAATTAAACTACGTTGACATTTGAATACTGATTGACAGTCCCAGTGTCCTTGGGTGGTCTATCACGGAGCCGTGAAACCTAAAAGATAGACAAACATTTTCTCAGAAGAAAGGCAGTAAGAAATTTGGAAATATGCATGAAAGATAAAGCTCAACCATGCAATTTAACATCAAAGATTTTGTTAGCCTGCGCCAAAGATGAAACTCAACTCCGGTTAAGTCCGTCTGCAAAACGGCCCCGAAATCCTTGTTCTGGGCCCTTACCTGTGTACCAGGAATTGAGTACGCGCCACGATAGGCCTGTTAAAAAGGCGATTGTTGATTTGCCAGTTTAGATGAAGGGAAATTCGAAACGCACTTCCGGTAAATCTTTGCGTCCGTTGTGGGTCCAGAACAAGGATCTCGGCGCTGCTTCGCAGAAGTTTCTAACCGAGGCTGTTTGTGCAAGTATTAAACATTTTGAAAGTAAAGAAACGTAGTTAATTTTAAAAAGCTGCCACTCACCTGAAAATTCTTTAACAAGTAAATTTCAAGTAATATATCAAACATGAGATGCAGTGTTTCATCACCAGATGAAACACCGAGAAGAGAGTTGAAAATACGACGCGCAGCGGAGTATTTTTGACGAACTTCGAGGTGTTTCATCTGGTGATGAAACACTGTGTCGAATGTTTGATATTTCTTCTCAAACAAAATCATTTTTGAAGGAGAAATTAAGGATGCAAATACTAAGCAGTGTTTCATCCGATTTCCAAACACTCATTAAACATTAATTTCCTTTGAATTTTCTTAATGAATTATTAATGAGTTTGAGAACTGACTATCAACCCCAACTGCCAAATGGGCTGGCCGAGGATTGAGACTGGTTACTACAATGAAAACGTCTAGCTAGCGGGTCAAAAAGAGACTCAGACCTCGCCCCCCTCCCGAAAAACCCACCTCCCCCCCGTCCTATCCCCCTTCATGCGAATTCCGCGCGTTGACAACTCTGCTAAGATGCCTGCCTAACGTGATTAAAACAGTTGCATCGAAGTAAAAAAATAAATAAATAAAAAAGCTGGGGCCAACCAGGTGGTGTGCACTTACGATCGCTAAGAATTATGGGCGGTATTCAAAATCTGAATATTTGTGTCAGGATAGCGTGCATTGAATATTTGGACTGTGGGGTGAATACTCGTTAAATACGCCGTAGAAATAAGCGAGTTTGCTTTGATTCTCTTCCGGAAACTTTGAAAAACAAAGTCTGTTGAATTCTCGTTCAATCTTCGTCCTGCGTGTCTTAATTGTAATGAGGAATATTGATTGTTTTTCTTCACAGAAAAGATCTTAATATGTAGAAGCTCATGAAAATAGGAAAAAAAATCGTCTAAGAAAAGTACAAACATTAACCGCAAAGGACTGCAAAGGACCGCAAACGAACATGTTGAAGAAAGTAGGATCTACAAAGATCTGATCAGCAAAAATAACAAGTAGACATTTCAAATTCTACAAGCGGAACACCGCAATGCTGGTCGTACTTCGTGAAAATTTACAAAGATAAAGACATCTCATCATTAAGAACAATTTAGAGCTCTTCGGCAACAGGGGTACAATCAGGAGGAGCTGGATTATCTGTTTCAATCAATTGTTATGCCAAATGTTTTGCGTGGTTTTGTAGCTTCCTCTTCTGATCTTAACAACGTACAGTATTTTCTAGATAGGTGCTACAAGTGCAGGTATGTATCGAGGAAATTGAATATAAGGGAGCTGCTTGAAAGATCAGATTGCCACATTTTTAGAAAGGCACTGAGAACAAATTCGCCCCTCGTGAAGATTTTACCAGAAAGGAATTTCTGATCACCAATTACGCATTAAGAAAACCATGCTTTTATCATCCTATAATGGCAACAGGGCGCTTCAAATCGTCCTATGTGAATAGACTTATCTTTTAGCAATGATATTAATTCCTTGATGTAAATAGCCATGATTGTTCTAAGAGCTCTCAACTTTTTTTTCTATTTGTTATAACTTGAAATATGTATTTTTATCTTTTGAATTTATTAAAGACATCCATTCTATTCTATTCCACTCTATTTGCTTTGTCCCTAAGAAAAGAAAGTCCTTACCTTACATTTTCTCTAAATTCATCCCACTTAACGCGGACACCCCCTCAACAACAACAACAACAACAACGACGAGCTTTATTTGCATGTCCATAAAAATTAAAGCTTGTTGTTGTTGTATGTCTGTTTTAAAGGGACAGGTTCACGGTTCAGCGCATGCTGATTTATCAAAATGTTGTTTTTCTGCCAGGACATGCTGTATCGTCTATGAAAGCAATATGATCATGTCAGAATGTTGTCAAAGAACCAATCCTGCACACTCCAATGGCAGTCACTTGCACTTGATCAACTTGAATATTTGAAAATACCTGTAAATTCTCATGAATCAACCATGTAATAAAACCTTCGGGTCAACAATAAATTCAGCGTTGGTAGTGTTGGCATAATCCACTTATTTGTTTCTGCCATTTTAGTACTCCTCCATCCTGCTTCAGGTTACTCTGAATACAGTTCTACTTTGAAATACACTCTGATATCGCTGAGATACATGTGAGTGGGATTATTAACCGATACAATTAATAATAAATTGGAAATAAGTAATTTAATTAATGAGCATGCGCTTAACCGTGAACCTGTTCCTTTAACGGGGTTTGACTGAGAATCTATTGAAAAACGAACCATATAATCTGCGAACTTCGCAGCCATCTTGAAAAAATTTTCATCCGCAATGCACTGCAATCTTAGTGCGGACACCAACTGGGAGCCAGTTTTAAAGATCACTTGATTACCTTTAGCCTTGCATGAGGCACAGCAATATTCCAGCATATAGGCGGGGTTTTTGCAGCACTCGTCAGTATTTGCCCAAGAAAGACAATTTTGGTCTTGGTTTGTGCAAGAGGTACTTGAAATGTTCTTTAAAGCTAGGAAGATAGGCAATGATGCAACATTAGTATAGACTTACACTGTTTGGTGGCGGCTTGTGTGGCCGAGCGGTTAAAAACTCGAACTCCGGATCTGGAGGTCCGAGATTCAAGCCTCGGCCGTTGCGTTGTTTCCTTAGAAAAGCTAGGACATTCACTACACTTTATCACCCTCTTCACCCAGGTGCAGGCACAAATGGTTACCGGCGACATGCTGCTGCGGGTAACCCTGCGATGGACTAGCGTACCATCCAAGGGAGCAGTAATACTCCTAGGTCTGCTAAGGAAACCGGAATAAGTTCCGTCCGTTTGGGCCTTTGGCTCGTGTACGCCTTTTTTCACCTAGATAAATGGTAGTGTTTTCCCGAGAGTTTCGATCTTTCCACAAACGAGAACACACACAGAAAAACAAACAAACAAACAACCTTGTTCCCGGGAAGCTCAGACCGCCTCCTGGACAACCCGTGAGAATCGTGCACTGTAGGGTTGCAACGCATAACGTTCTTGCCTTTTGTTTTGGGCGGGGAGGGAAGGGGAGGGGAAAGTTACATGACACCGGACACCAGAAAAGAACCGGCTGTATATGACTGCGCAGAACTTAGAAGTTTTATTATATATAGCTAGCTATAGCTATCGCTAAGTGCCAACGAGCAAAGATTTTACCCATACGCGCGTGCTGTTGAATTTGTTTAGAAATTGTCAAATTCCTTAATTGATGAAAAATAGATTGAACTTAATTCAATTGCAGTAACGAAAATTACCTTGAAAATAGTGGAAACTTATAGAAAGGGGCACGCATACACCAACCCACTGCCTGGCCACTACCTCACGCATACAGTACGCGGGCCATATCACGTGGGCAAAGGCAACCATGGACACAGGGCGCGGAATTTTACTGCCGAATGAACGAATCGCCTCTGTTTACTGTAGAATCTATTATGAACTTAACCTTTCAAACAGTCGAGAGATCGTGTAAAGAATTTGAAATCCCGACTTTACATTGAAAGGTTTTCGAGATATTGAAGTTCGTGTTTTTCTCCGAACTTTTTGCGTAAAATTTAGTGGTCTTATAAGCAAACTTAAAATCCTCGAAAACTGATATTTAAGTCCGCGAATATTCAAAGTACGGACTTATATTTGGTCTCTTTCTAAAGAAATTTATGGTGCGCCAATGAAGCCTTCCGAATTATTTTGCTTCAAAGACACAAAAAATTTCGCAGCGTTGTCGCGCCCGGCAATCGTCTTGGCAAGGATTAAGAAGTTATATTTCGTTTTCGAGTACGTACTTTTCATATGGTTGCACCACACACAGCAGGATGTTAGCATGTATCCGGGATTTCTAGTGCATTCACCAATGATCGCCCAGCGGCCACAATGAGGCGATTTGTCAACACATGTTGCAACTGAGAGAGAAGTAACATGAGAATTGTAGTTAGTTTACAGCTTCGATTCTCTAATACGTTTCTCCGAGCTTTTTAAACCCGAGCTATAATCAAAAGGGGAAAAATAAAATGAATACTATTAAAATATACATGGAATATAAAGAATTACTCTAAAAATATATATAAATAATCAAATAAATAAATAAACAAGAGAATGGCTTTCACGTAAATGAAAAAAAAGTAAAATAAAGGGTAGATTTATTTGCCGAGCATACGCGCATAGGCATCGTATTTTCCATTTGGAAGATTTGTTGTGTCCAAGCTATCAGTAAACAGTCAAGAAAATTTCAAGAAACAAGTGAAAAACAATATCACTGAATGAAGAAAGTGAAAAACTGTCCTTGAATAAAAAAAATGTGCCTCTCAGTTGTATAGTTATTCGTATATTGTTGTCTGCAAGAAGAGACTCTGTCACAGCAGCTGACGCGATTAAAACCGAGAATTGAAACTGAGTTGAGGATATTACAAAGATCAAAGGATATTTTACTGATCAGAAGATTCGATATAAAATGAGATTAATACTTTTCTTTTTAGATTACCTGACTGTGCCCGTTTCGGAGCCGGTTGTGGAACTGAAGAAGTACGATAAATCAGAGCAATTAGATTCTGAACCTTTGCTTCTAAGGACTTGACCGCATTGCCGATTCGGGAAGTATTATTGCGCAGTTCACTAAAACTCTCAGTCTTTGATTCCAAAGTCTTGTTGATCAATACATTGTCCATCTTCGCTTCTAAGTACTTTAAGGCATCGGCAACGCCAGATGTCTTGTTGATCAGTCCAGAAAAACCCTCCACCTTTGCATCCAAAGACTTGACCGCATCGCCGATTCCAAAAGTCTTGTTGTTCAGTCCAAGAAAACTCTCCATCTTTTCTTCCAAGGTCTTTACGGAATCACCGACGCCAGAAGTCTTGTTGCTAAGTCCAGTAAGACTCTCCACCTTTGCCTCTAAAGACTTAATCGCATTGCCTATTCCAAAGGATTTGTTGTTTTGTTTAAAAAGACTGTCCACCTTCGATTCTAAGGACTTTACGGCATTGCCCAGGTCCGTGTAGTGGCAATTCAAATCAATGTTGCAATAGTGACAGGGGTCCTTAGTAATTGAACTCACAGACGAATTTGACACGCCATAAACGAACAACGGAACAAAGAACAGGAGAAAAAATGACAAATACATCATAACAGTTGCGGATCATGCATGAATTTGAAGAAACAACTGAATTGCCGAATGGTTTACTTGTTCCCTTTATATCTTGATATCTTGGGTACAATATCATCAGTATTAAAACTTGCCGTACAATTTTGTCAGTTGAAAATTTAGTGAATGCCAGAGCCAGTTGTTTACGCAGAAGCCATCTATTAATTCTCCACGAACTATATTGGTGTTGCAACGAATCATTTGCGAAAAAGATTGAAAAAACACTCGACGCCAGAAACGAAAAACGGAACAAAGAACAGGAAAAAAAATGACAAAAACATCATAACAGTTGTGGATCACAGATTTGCAGAACCATCTAAATAGCCTAGTGGTTTACTTTGCTTAGGTACCATATCATTACCTATTAAATCTTGCAGTACTATTTTGTCAATATTTATAGTGATTGCCAGAGCTGGAACCTCGATTACGCAGAAGCCATCTATTAATTCTCCATGGACAATGTTTGTGTTGGCGCGAATCATTTGCAAAAAAATACACTCTTAACACCATCCCTGGTACGATTACCTCGTTATCATGTACAAGGAATTTTTCCCGCTTATGGCAGGAAAAAAACCCGTGGTACGTACACCCACTGATAGATAGTTGACTTTTGTTTTGTTTATACAGTGTACCTTAAAATATTTCGTGTACGTAATCAATACCCAGTGAAATTTGATGGCCAAAGTACCCCTCCTTTTACTCAGACACTATCTATTTACGCTCCAGGAACGATATTGATGTTGGCAGGAATCATATTCAAAAACATAAAAAGACATATTAGATCGTCCGTGATAAGAACACCTTAACTTTTGATCATGGACAGTTTATTTCCTTTCAACAGGGAAAATCCCTTCTATTGATTCATCCCGCTTCGAAAACTCATTAATAATCCATAAGGAAAAAACAAAACAAATTAATGTTTAAAATGTGTCTTTATATGATCTGATAAAGACACGTCTAAACCTTACGTCCAATTTTTTAGACCAAAATAAGCCCAAATCTAAATATTAGTGCAAGAAGTGAGTTGAGTCGCAGTCGGTGTAAAAACTCTCGGTTTCTCCTCGAGTTTTTAAACATGATAATACACTCCTGCTTATTTTTTTAAACAGTACTTAAAACACGATTGTTGTCTGATAATGAGTGCATTTGTGGCTTTTAAGCCACAAATGGCATGCCGTTCTTAATACTAAAACCTCCCTGCTACCACATTGATGACATGAGGTTTCTATGGCTACGCGCTACTGATGACCTCATAAATGAGAGTCAAGCTATCTAAAGACAAAAAACAGAATTTGTTCAATCATCACTATTTTTAGCTCGAGCATGAAAAAATGCTTAGTTTCTGGGCTATTCACCAAAAGCATGGCCTTACCTAAATTAAACTGGGAAAGCCTCCGTCCGCTGTCATTAGGAAGCTTAAGCAACGACGACGCGGACGGCAACGAGAACGGCAAAAAAGCAATAGGTTTGATTAGCAAAAAAACAACTTTTCACGTGCATCACGCTTTTTTGTACATTTCTTTGCCGTCATTGCCCGACTACAACGTGAAAGTGCCTGAATTCACGTTTTGTCGAGGACGGGAACACAAGACAACAACTTTCTTTTCTTTTCCTGAACTTTGATAGAGTCCTTTAGAATTGAACTTCAAAAATATTTGCCAACGTACATTTGACGAAGTAAACGAGATGGAATAAGCGCGATAAAGTTTGAAGCGGTACAAATTCACTTTTTAAGTGACGTTTTTGTAGCCGCCGCCGTCGTTGTTGCTTAAGCTCCCTATTACAAAAAGACGGTAACTGTTTAATATATACAGTATGTTGGCAAGTATCCGGACGGTACCAGTATCCGGACACTTGAAAAAAAGTCAATTTTTGAGGCGCCCTTTTCAGTTGTCGTTAAACGAAGTGTTTCGAATGAAAGCCGAAAATTTCAGCTTTAAGATGAAAGTTTTGGCGGGTTTAAAGCTTACGAAACAGTCGCAGAGGGCGCCGTTCTGTTCAGGTGAGTAAACGTTTCAAGGCTAATATTTACGCTGTTTACTGCGCAGTAAAATTAGTGCTGCTCAGAGAAGGGTAGGTAATATTTGTTTTATATTTCAAAGTGAAGATACTTAAAGAAGTCAGGTTCTCAGAAAGTTTATTAATTCTTCTTGAAATTCGATTTGTATTGATGTCAGGTGCCCAGTATCCGGACAGTTTTTTCTTTTTGGCTGTACACAATCGATGAATTAGCTGCCTGGCTGTGTACATTGTCCGGATAAGATTTATTTCGTATCTATAACTACAATTAAAGCTTAGGATATATGATATAGTCGTTATTTGTAATTCCAGTTAACTCCGTATGGAAATTTTCTTCACTCATTTATTGCACGAGAATCTTGATTTACAGTGCAATGACAATTGCAATGATTAATCGGCGCCTTGTTACAGCGAGGTGTTTGACTATATATACTACTTGCATTGACTAACGTTGTGACACCATTAACATAAAACGTAGTACCCATTATTAAAAGCAACAAAAATGACATACGTGACAAATTCATAATAAAAAGTGGTATTTTTTGCTGGTTTCAGAATTAAATTGACAACTGCAAGGCCCAACAAATTGCTTGCGTTCCCTTTCATCTGAAGCATAACATCAATACCCAGCCGAACTTACTGGCGTTTCCTCTTTCATGCCAGCACAGGCGTCCCAATTTCACGTTACGAGGGTGGAATGTAATTCAATTTCTGTGACGAGTCGATATCGCGTTAGGGGCAAACTTTTCCGCTATGAAGCGTTTCATGAAAAATAAAAATAGTCAGCGAGTCGATAAGGCGTTATAGGCAACCTTTGAGATGAAACGTTGTGTGAGAAAGTAAAATACTGCAAGGTCTGCGAACGCTCAATATCGTTATATTTTATTGACCTATTGGTCAATAAAAAGAAGACAGACTTGACTTGATGTGTTCCTGTGTGTTTTGGTGTGAATTCGTCGATCTACTCAACTTGTTGGCCTTATTTGGTAGTTTCTCTTTTAAACCACAGTCCTGGTGGGTAATCACGTAAACTGGAGATTTCGTATCCTAAGAAAACTTTATTTAAAAGCAACCCTAGGTTTTAAAAAAAACTAGAATGATGCTTTAATTTATTTCATAAATTTAAAAACTCATTAATAATTTACAAAGAAAAAAAAAACAATAAATGTTTACTGAGTGTCTCTATATGTGATAAAAACACAGCTAAACTTTACGTCCAATTTTTTTCGACTAAAATAACCCCCAGTCTAAATATTAGTGCAAGAATGAGTTGATCTATATCAGAGATTTTAAAGCCGTTGACGAAACACGAAGTCGTACATTATCAGGTTTAAAAGTTAATCTCGAGGCCGAAGCTGAGAGTTTTTAAACCTGATAATACACGACTGCGATTCTTTTTAACACCACATAAGAAATGTAATGAAATATTGTTCTAAGAGTGTTTACTTTTGAACTTTACCGCTGGTTACACTGTCCACTGAAATAACTTATATGGTTAACATGCTTTGCATTTAATAGAGAAAAAGCGAACCTAATATGTATTCATCTTTCTAGCAAAACTATGAGTGACGAAGCCTTGATTATAATCGTGTAGTTCAACTTGATTATCCATGGGCAATGCAATTATTCTGTCTGTGCTGTATTGTGAAGCTTTCAAATTATGCTTGGGGCTCGACGATGCTTGAAAGGCGACTCAGTCGAGTGCTGTGCGACAAGAGATAATTTCACCTACAAAACCGAATGGATCTCCGAAGGCTCATAGTTCGTAGAAGTTAGTTTTAGAATTTACTCTCGTGCTTTTGGAGAAGCTGATAGCACTTTTCAGGAGACCTCAAACTCCAAAAACAGCAGGCATTAGACAGAACCGTTGATTTTCAAAACGGACGCCAAAATCAGAGAGCCGGTCTACGCTTGTGCTAATAGCCCAAGTTCGATATATTAAAATTCTAACATGACCATGAGGCTTTAATTCTGGTCATTTTTTCTATATCTGGTTTGGCTTTCTTTGAGCTCAATTATCTTCTGGGAATTGCGAGACAATATAGTCGTGAAAAATTTGCAATTTTGAGCCTAAAGCCTCTGTGTCATATTAAAATTTTAATATATCGAACGTCAGCTATTTAGTGCAGAGGTTACAGAGATTCTACAATGGAGAGATCTATATTGAAGTTGTTTACTAATTACCCATTGACTAAGAGACGTCTGCCGTGGAATTTTCCCTTGATCGCACCAATGCAAATAAAAATAGCAAACGTTTGATACGTTGTGATTTATTTTTCTTCTTCTTCTTCTTCCTAACCCGACTGAACCATGAGTTTTTCTACAATGAAACTTTTCAAGGTTAAAACAATTTTTTTTTTTCGATGTGACAGATGTTTTTGTTTTAATTTGTAGTTGTTTTTTGTTTTTTTGTTTTTGTTTCTTTGTTTTTGTTTTGTTTTGTTTTGTTTTTTTCGCTGTTGTTTGTATTTGATGTAAACCTAAGTCTGATGATTATTTCGTCAAGGTTATAATAAACACGTATTAGCTCAGTTTCTTGCAGGGGGGCGGAATACAGCTAAGGGAGGAAATAACTAGTTTCCTTCGAAATAATCATTTTATTGGGCAAGCCTAGTAGAAGATCTTGAAATAAAAACCTTAATTAAATTACTGTTATCATAATTATGGGCTTGTGAACTATTACACTAGACTAACGAAGCACTCTAAGTAGAAGTTTACATTTCATTAAACGTTACTTAGTAAAACTAATATTTAAATTCTTTTTATATGGTATATAAGTTCTGTAAAAGCATTTTATTGAATCCTTTCAATCGTAGGTAGAATAAACATCAGCGCAAACTCTTCCCCCGTTGTCTCCCTCGTACTGATTCACCAGATCTTCACCGTACCACAGACGTAACACTTGATTGGAAGACAAGCTAATCGGATTCAAGAAAACTGACAGAACAAGCTCGGGTGAGAGGGAGTTATATCCAGGAATCGTGTACCACGTTTGGTGATTGGTTACATCGTCGATGAGCTGATTTGGTGGTAGTAGAATGTGATTGCTTAAGTTTGTTATGACAACGTTGACTCGAGGGCCAGTCACTGGATTGTCACTACAGCCCCAGTAGGACGGATAAGAAGTCACCCTGGTGTCACAGGACACATAACCGTACCGCCAAACCAGCTTTATGGCTGCCAACCTACCAGCTGGAGCGGTAAAATTTCCAAACTGGTCACCTCGGGCCCCAAAACATACTGGAGAGAGATTAAGCTTCAACCATCGATCTGGAATTCAAACAAGGAATATAAAAAAATAAGAAGCACACATTTTTCACTAAATGGTTCATTTGTTTAGAAGTTATTGGCTAGGTTAATGGGCGGCAGCCCGGAAGGGGCTTAACCAGACTAAGTACCGTTGCTGTTTTAATTTGCGGTTCAGTTATCTCGCTCCTTATTGGCTTATTTCTCGCAACACAATAACATTCCATAAATATTTCTCGTGTTCACGGTTTTTGTAAGTTTCACAGTAACAGTTTGTTTGGATTGTGTCTAAAAGTATACACGGGTGAACACGAGTGACCACGAATGAGAATACGTCAAAATATTACTTTGACGCCATACTCACGTGATTATTAAGCCCTTTATCTATTTACTACTCTGTAACCGTATATAAACCATTTCCAGCCACTACAGTATGTAAATGTAAGTAAGTTTATATTTGTCCTATTTTGTTTTTGTTTTTGTTGTTTTTTTGTTTTCCCAGTTTGGGAGGGGGAAAGGAATGCAGCACATGCAGTCAACTCCCTCTAAGACGGACACCTTTGGGACCGGCAGTAACTGTCCGTCTTAGAGAGGTGTCCGTCTTATAGAGAGTCAAATAAAGGGAGTAAAGAAAGGCAAGGACCAACTCTAGGTGTCCGTCTTATAGAGAGTCAAATAAAGGGAGTAAAGAAAGGCAAGGACCAACTCTAGGTGTCCGTTTTAGGGAGGTGTCTGTCTTAAAGAGGTGTCCGTTAAGAGAGAGTCGACTGTAATTTCTTGTTACCCGTATCCTTTATACTCCCGTTTCACCACCTTTTAATGTTAACTTTGCCTCTTCACGCTTTTGTCAAAATGCTATTGACATTCTTTGTGAGCGGTTCTTCTTACCTAGTGGGGACATTTGCGTAAAGGAGGTTTAGACGTATGAATACAAAACGTTTGACCAGGTTTAGCGTACAGATCGAACTTAAAAGTGTATGCAAGTGGTCCATGGTTTATTTACATATGGAAAAGTTGCTTCAATGACAAAGCTTTTTGTTGAATTAATTTTTTGCTAACATGTACATTTTGTCGTGTGAGTATTTGTTTTATTCTGGGACGGTAACGAGAGAGGTTATATATTAAGTGGAAAGCACGATTTCAAGATGACGCCACCGGAAGAAACGCGAAAGGGTTTTGTAATGACGGGGAAAGGCCAGGAAAGGAGGAGGGATCAATGCATTTTTGGTTACCTAATTTTCGTTGTTATAGTTTTAAGTCTGAGGGCCACTAGTTATTCAGTTGAAGTACTGTCCCGTGTTACCCTCGTTAAATAAAGTTGATTATCATCATTATTATTATTACTCAGTATTATTATTAATTATTATTATTATGATTATGATTATTGTTATTATTATTATTATTATTATTATTATTATTATTATCATCGTTATTAAAGGGTTTATACTATTCCCCCCCGGGTCCCAACTTGTCCGAGCCCTGCCCTTGGGAAAATAAAACTAAATTTCAAGTTGATAAAGTGACGTATTAATGAGGTCATTATAACCGAAAAATTATAATTATTTTAGTGAATTCTCACTCGTGGTCTTTCGTGGTCATTCGTGGTCACTCGTGTGTACTTTTAGACACGATCGTTTGTTTGGGTTTGAACTTCAGAGCTCGCCCGCACTTGACTCAAAATTCTGAGGTCGACTTGTGGAAAGTGTAGTTTTTCAAAAAACAGTAATTGAATCAAATATGAATTTGAATATTGGATTGTTCATTATATGAATGGATTATTGAATCAACAAACGAAATCGTTTTTCCATTATTGAATTTATTAGTTCGTTAGCGACGGGAACGCTTGACCTGCTTTGACTGTAAGATTTATCATTTAATAATTTCCTTACCGGAGGGTTCTGGAACCGGTCGTGAAATTAAAGGAAAACTTCTGTTAACCGATCCAATGAGAGACTCCACCTTTGCTTCTAAGAACTTAACAGCATCACTGACGTTCTCTACCTTTGCCTCTAAAGACTCGACGGCATCGCTGAGGTCAGACGTCTTGTTGACCAGTCCAAGAAGAGTCTGCACCTTTGCTTCTAGGGAGCTTAGGTTCTGCTTTGCACTGCATGTGCAACTACAGCTACTAAACCGAGGCGTTTGACTGTTCAAGGAAAACGAAAAAGTGATAAGACCAAGCAGAAAAATTGGCAAAAGCATCATAAAAGAGGAATTAAGTCGATTTTAGCTAACGTCTGAATTGCATGATCGTCTTCCCTATTTTAAACTTGGTATATTGCCCAGTGATACTTGCGTCCCTATTCTCTCGATGTCAGTCTTCTTGAAGAGAGCCATCCTCTTTTCACGGGGAAGCTGTCTGTTAATTATCCAGGAACTATATCGACGTTGGCAGAAAGCTTTTGCCAAAAAAAAACACCCACTTAATACATATTACGTAACTATAAGTACGCGAGATAGACCATCGCGATGATTATAAGGACGCGTTCTTTAAAGTATTGGCTACTAATTAAATAGCTCATAACAAATACAATTTAACCATTCATTACCCGGTGGAACTTGCCGCACTGTTCTTCTTGCTGTCAGTCTTAATGGCCAAAGCCAGGCTTAGAAGATATCAACTAATTTTCCACGAACTTTACCGACATTAGAACAAATCTTTTTAAACAAAAATTACACTTTCTGCTGTACTGCGAAGATCTCGTTATTTGTAGACAAGGGACTTTTCCCGGTTTACAAACAGGAAAAATCCCTTAGCTTATATTGTCTTTCAGTAAATTTTAACAGGCTTAATACGGACATCCTCAATGCATAGAATGAACATTATTTTTTTTCTTGTCCCATGAAAAGTTGACTTCGCCAATATGGACAATCCTTTGCCAACTGCGAACTTAATAAGGTGTACGGAGTTGTGGAGGTAATAACTCTGTGTAGTCTATTCGTGAATTGTTGTCTCATAGTTTCTTGTTATTTTGTTCTGATAAAGTGTGTCAGTATTTGGTTTACTGAACACGGACACCTCCCTGTCACTACACTCGACGACAGAATGAATGAAATGACGTCAAAGCTATTGTTAGCCAAAAATGGAAAAAAGTTCAATATCTAATGGTAACTATTTTTGTTTTTGTTTTTTTTTTCCTACCACAAGGATAAAATGTCCTTCTTAAATCGACCATATTCCTAATATAATATCCATGCGACCTTACATTTCTTTTCTTTTCAAAATTTTGAAAGATAACAGCAACTCCTCTCTTTACCAGGGTGGAGTGTGGGTTTGCCTTTACGTCGGAAAGTTAAAACAACGTTTCATTGGATATCGAAGAATTGCTCAGATTGTTGAATGGTTAACAATATTAAGTTTGAATGTGGTCACTGTGGAAATTAAAAGATGAACAAAACGCTTTCTAAAAATACAGGTTGCATTTCTAAATCCGGATCTCTTTCATTGCCATCAAAGATTTGATTTTCCGTTCCACCAAGCACTGCTAAACCGCCATTAAATTGTAATCTGATCGATCCACCATTGCACTGAGATAGTGTAGATTAAAATCTGATTCTGGTTTCAGAGTTTCTGTTCCATTTATCGAAACTACTTTTTGGTCATAAAAATGTAGTTGTTCATCAGGTGATCATAAACATGACGCGTCAAGGTCAGCTCAGGCAAAAGGTATTTTACATGCTCTTCCGTGGTACTTATGTCTCCTAAGACTCTTAAAGATTGTATTGCGCTCAAATTGCACTGTAACTGTTAATCCACAAGGTAGTGAAAAAGACTTGGAGATTCTAGCATCAAAATGTCAAACCTGTGTGTTTAGGACAGCCTCTTAGCAATTAAGTTTAAAAGAAACTTCCAACTGAATTACTTGAGAGCTGACTCGTTTTCCCTTTACATATTGGGTAGGATATCAATACCCAATGAAACCCTTGTTTTACTCAGAAGTTATCTATTTACACTCCAGGAACGATATCGACATTGGTCGGAATTATACACAAAAAGGAAAAACACTTATTAAAACGCGCTAATAATACAAACACCATGTGATCATGAACTCTGCTTTGTTTTTAACCCAGGAAAACCCTTTGTATTGACCCTAAATCCAGCTCGCTTACTATAGACAAACGTTAGTGCTGCTAGACTAACTGACATTTATTTATTTTTGTTGTAGTTTTTCTTTCTTGTTGTAATTTATTGTGTTCCCTTTTGCGAACAACGCTTTGTCAACTGCGTCGCTAGTAAGCTTTGCTCTTAGAATGTAATAAAACCTTCTAGTTACCATGCCAGATAAAAACCTTGAAACACTTTGGAAAAGTTCAATCCCCTATGTTCCCTCCCCTCCTCCTTTTACATTGTTTTTGTAGTAACGCATCTTTGCGATTACATCTCAACATTGCAGAGAAAGGGGAAGAGCTGTAAGCGTTTCAAGAATTATTCGCGTTGACAGCCTAGATTTCAGAAAGTTTAGAAGTTAGCTGCAGTCAAGAAACAACCATATCTGGCATATAACTAATCATTTCTGCCAAACATAGTACTAGATCATGTAATCTACTCATAGATTTAATAGTCATCCCTATTTTTGACTTAAAGACAATGAATTGTCCGCTCAAATTATTTTGATATTTTGTTCTGGTAAAGTGATGGTGGTGTTTTTGTAGGCATATCTTCCATCTTCAGTCCTCTTATACGTAAACAGCTTGGTCCCATGGACAGAATCGGAATGAATATCACGTGACAATAATATCACGTTTGTTTTAGATCTTAATCTAATATCAGCCCTTATTCGCGTTTTCCTTTAAACTGTTCTATGCTGGTTATTTTTGACATTGGGTGCTTGCCTTCTGATGTATAAAGCTTCTCAAAATCTAAACATTGGACATCCAAGCAAACAGTTCGGCTACTTATCACTTACTCCTTTATTGAATTAACATGTCCCTTGAACATTCTTCAGACCATGAGAGACAGGTAGACTTGAGTGATTTTGATAAAAGTAAAGAATATGCATCACGTTAAAAACGAGCTCTTTTCCTACATATTTCCACGAAAACATCGATTGATTCAAAAGCAGTAGATAGATTAAATTCTCAAACTTTCCTGGCTAGCACAGATAGCTGAAAACATCCATTAGTATTAGCTAAGGTGTATATGTTAGGCACAATTTCCACCTTTGAATCAAGCTCCTATTACTTAAATGGCTTGATCTTTTCTGTAGATCCATTATAATATATGGATTGCACACAGAGTGTACAATATTTTTGGAGATCGGAACGAATGTCACGTGAAAATTACTTAACAGTTTTGTTATCATTTTTTAATCGAATTTTAGCCCTTAATACTCAGTTTCTCTGGAAATACCCTATGTGATGTATACTTTGTGTATTTCATGTCGATTGAACATTCTTCATGTTGTTATTAATTATTGGAGTAACGTCATTGTTTTGGAAAATGTTGTACTTTGGCCGGAATGTCCTAGGCACAAAATCAAATTCCCATGCAAAACCCTTGAATTTACCACGCTTTTCTACCCTGGGAAACCTTCATATGGAAATATCCAAAAATTCAAAAATTGAGGACTATTTCCCCCCGGGGGGGGGGGGGGGTTACTTCCTTATAAGAGGCTAATGGGATGTGCCGCTGGATGGATGCGCATTTTCACGACTGGATTGACTATTATGGGGTCGCATTTTCAATAGAATTACTAGAATGGGGTCGCACATTTTCTAAGTTTTTAAACCTGATAATACACGACAATACAAAAAAAATTTAATAAAATTTTGTTTTAAGAGTGTTTACTTTTGAACTTTACCGCTGGTTACACTGTCCACTTAAATAACATATTGCAAAATGATGTGTTTGACATGCTTTGCATTTAAGAGAGATTAAAAGCGAACCAGGGCTGCTTACCGCATATTATTCATTCTTCCACCAAAACTATGAGTGTCAAAGCCTTGATTATAATTGTGTAGTTCAACTTGATCATCCATAGGCAATGCAATTATTCTGTGCTGTATCGTGAAACTTTCCAATTATGCTTTGGGCTCGACGATGCTTGAAAGGCGACTCAGCCGAGTGCTTTGCGACAGGAAATAATTTCACGTGCAAAAGCAATGGGTCGCCGAAGGCTCCTAGTTCATGGTAGTTAGTTTTAGAATTTACTCTTGTGTTTTTGGAGAAGCTGATGACACTTTTCAGCACACCTCAAAATCTAAAAGAAGCAGGTATTAAACAGAATCGTTGATTTTCAAAATGGACGCCAAAATCAGACAACAAGTCTACGCTTGTCGTAATAGCCCACGTTCGATATATTAAAATTCTAACATGACCATGAGGCTTTCTGGTCATTTTTTCTATATTTGGTTTGGCTTTCTTTGTGCTCAATTCTCTTCTGGGAACTGCAAGACAGTGGAGTCGTGAAATATTTGCAGTATTTTGAGCCTAAAGACTGTGAGTCATATTAAAATTTTAATATATCGAACGTCGGCTATTTACTGCAGAGGTTACAGAGATTCTACAATGGAGAGATCTAGACTGTCCCATTGACTAAGAGACTTTGCCTTGATCGCACCAATGCAAATAAAAGTAGCAAAAGTACGTTGTGATTTGTTTTTACTTCTTCCATTTTTTCTACAGTGGATCTTTTCAACATTAAAACAATGTTTCTTTTTTCGATGTGACATATGTTTTTGTTTTAACTTGTAGTTGTTGTTGTTTTGTTTTTTGTCTTTGTTTCTTTGTTTTTTTTATGGTTTTGGTTTGTTTTGTTTTTTTCGCTGTTGTTTGTATTTGTTGGAAACCTCAGTCTGATGATTATTTCGTCAAGGTTATAATAAACATAAAAATGTATTAGCCTAGTTTCTTACGGAGGGACGGAATTAAGCTAAGGCAGGAAATAACTACTTTCCTTCGAAATAATCATTTTATTGGGCAAGCCTATACTAGCTATAGTAGAAGATCTTGAAATAAAAACCTTCCTTAAGTTGCTGTTATCATAATTATGGGCTTGTGAACTATTACACTAGACTAACGAGACACTTTAAGTAGAAGTTTATTTCATTAAACGTTACTCGGCAAAACTAATATTTAAATTCTTTTTATGTGGTATACAAGTTCTGTAAAAGCATTTTATTGAATCCTTTCAATCGTAGGTAGAATAAACATCAGCGCAAGCTCTTCCCCCATTGTCTCGCACGTGCTGTTTCGCCAGATCTTCAACGTACCACAGACGTAACACTTGGTTGGAAGGCACGCTAATAGGGATTCAGGAAAACTGACAGAACAAAAGGAGTTATATCCAGGAATCGTGTACCACTTACTATTTATATCGCCGATGAACTGATTTGGTGGCAGTAGAATGTGATTGCTTGAGTTTGTTAAACTCTGCCCCGTTGCCTCCCTCGTTCTTATTCGCCAGATCTTCAAAATTGCATCAAGTCTGGGCTATCCCAGACCATACAAGTTAGGCTCGTCATTAGTGCCCTTTTAACAATGGTTAACTTTAGATGTACAGTGACTTTACGTGACTGTTTGGAGATAGTCAGTTGTTCGATTAATTATTAAGTAAATGTTCCACGCAAGAACAAGGCAGAGCAAATGCACGCAGCTAAATGTTGAATTATTAACTTCATTAAAATAGAGCGTTTTGATTGGTCAAATATCCCAAAAAAGTGAAAAATTAGCCAAAAAATCGCTTTTTTTCATATTTTTTGGATATTTTGGGTGCCAGGGTCCTATTTGCTCTGTATACCTAGTTTCGCTGCCATGGGAAATGGTTTTCTAGTTGTTACTTCGGAGTATATTTACATTCATTTAATAGCTTAAAAATAGAACTCGCACAATACTTCTTCTTTCGACAATCAAATATACTGGAGCTTGTTCAAATTGGTAACAGCAAATGAAGACAGAAACTGTTTCTTGTAAGGTGTTGAAGTTTGGACCCGCATAGAAACTTCTTCGGTACGATTCTGTAAAATTAGACTTATGTTGCACACCAGCAACCTTCTCAACTCCTATATATATGGCCATTTAACATGCATTATCTTTAAGCTGATATAGCACGAACCCTATAGTATGAGAATTATTATTATCCGTTGCCTTAACCCTTGTAAGAACTAAGATTGGCCAACATCAATTTTCTCCTATATTATCAATAAAGAATCAAAGGAAACGAGAAACAAAGGTTACGAGAAATAATTAAATGATCACAAAGGGAGAATAACTTATTATAATCTCTTAATAAATTCTTTCAACTGATCACTTAACGAAGTGTGTGGAGTACAGCCTGTAGAGGTTGTACTGGACAACCAATAGGGTTCGATATTCTCCGAAAAGTACATCGTCTTAACAACTGAATATCACTCAAGAATTTAGTACTTCACTATTAGAGGTTAAAAACAAAAAAGCGCACTATTTTAACTATACCGATACTTTTTCCTAGAATTTGAGATGTGATGGACTTTGAGTTATCGGAACCGTTTCGCAGTAAACCGATATAATACCTCGCAATAAATGAAATGGTTGGAAGGGAAAGAAACCTTCCAATTTAACTCGGGCTTGTTTCAGGTATGTGTTAGAGCCCATACAGGGGAAATATAAGGTTACGAGAACGATATTCAACTTGCCCAAGACGCATCTCATATTCCGAAAATAAAAAGTCCTACTGTAATGAAACAAAAAGAAAAACAAAACAACAACAAAATAAATGAATGGTCAACATAACATTAATAAATAAAGAACATAAACAGAAAGAGATATGGTGCTGTCTGAATTGCATTAATTGTCAACTGTAGGTCTGCTCTCTTCAAATATAAATGAGTCCACCCAATTTCGCCAATGTCAACAAGTACTTATTTCTTGCAGAGAAATCGAATAAGACCGGAAATAACTTATTTCCTTCGAAATCGTGGTCGTAATTAATCTTACAACTATGCTCGATTACCAGCCGCTGTTCTGGATAAGATCTTGAAATGCCAACCTTACTTTTTAATTATGGCTTGACACTTACTGTGCAATCATAACTAAAGGTTAAGTCTTAAATTTACTTCACTGAACGTTACTGAGCAAAAATAACGTTTTTTTTTTTTTTATTTTTCCATTATCTAGTTCTTAAAAAATCATCACTGAATCCTTTCAGATGAAGATGGAATAAACGTCGGCGCAAACTGTCCCCCCGTTGTCCCCCTCGGACAGATTCGCCAAATCTTCACCGTACCACAGACGCAACACTTGACTGGAAAGCAGCCTTACAGAACCCCCGAAAACTGAGAGAACAAGCTCGGGCGAGAGGGAGTTATACCCAGGAATCTTGTACCACTTATTGTTTGCATCACCGATGAACTGATCTGGTGGCAGTAGAATATGATTGCTCGAGTTTGTTATGACAACATTAACTTGAGTGTTTTTTCCGTTCGTTGGATTGTCACCACAGCCCCAGTAGGACCAATAGGAAGTCACAAGGGTGCGGCAGGATACATAACCGTACAGATAAACCAGCTTTATGGCAGCTAGCCTTCCAGCTGGAGCGCTGAAGTTTCCAAACTTGTCACCTTTGGCCCCAAAACACACTGGAGAGCGACTGAGCTTCTGCCAGCGATCTGAAACTCAAAAAAAGAATACGTTAGGTAATAACGTCATACTATCTTCGCTATAACGGTTATTTGTTTAACCCTTTCACTGCCAAAGGTGTCCAAAGTCAAAATTCAAACACATTTCCAAACTTTATGTCCATAAGCTGAAAAACATACTGGTACCATGTTAAACTATTGCCAAAGAGGTCCTATTTTAATAACCACACCATAGATCATTTCCTCCTCAGCGTCAAGGCGGCCATATTGGTGTAATAAACAATAAACCTTTCCTTACCGGTAATGGAAACTATTTTCTTTTTCTACCGTAAAGCAGTGATATTTTAAACAATTCAAAAGTTTACCTAAAAAAAAAAAACGATTTAACGGCGGTGGGGCTGGTTACGGTCTAGCCTGCAAACAACTCACTTGTGAGAGTTCATGGAAAATTTTACCGGCGCGAACAAGAATAGGGCGAGGAAACATTTTTTCCAGGACTCGCACAAGTGAGACGCCCATCTCCTGTGTTATTTCATCAATAGTATGAGCACTCAGGCATGTAATACTGCCTTTCAGTAATAATAATAATGATAATGATAATAATGATAATAATGGAAACTCTATTTATGTTGTTGAATGTACAATTGTAAATCTCGCTACGTATAGGAAGTTTATAAATGCTGCTTGAGATTGGATTATTAAAAAAAAACAAACAAACAAAAAAAGAAAGAAAGAAAGAAAAAAGAAAAGAAAAGAAATCCAAATTGCATTAAGTCTGGGCTATCCCAGACTATACAAGTCAGTGCCCTTTTAACAACGGCTAACTTTAGATGTACAGTGACTTTGCATGACTGTTTGGTAACGCTTTCCATTCTATTTTCAGTTTTTCCATTTTGATGATTTTACGTAGGAAACAATTTTTATTAGGTTCACTTAGGAGGAATAATTCAGCGCAAATTTGGTACTTAGGCCGAAAACTCCGTAGCAACACTCTCGTGTCGCAAAATTTCAGCCTATTTAATGTTTCTGTCGTAAATTGTCTTAAATAAATAATATCAAGAGTCTGTCACTTTTGGAGGACTGCCATTTAAAAGGATATTTTATTCAGTAATCTACTCTTTATTTAGCGGCCACTGAAAATACCGTAAAATTCCGAAAATAAGCCCCGGGCCTTATATTTTTCAAAGGCCCTTTTTGAGGGGCTTATCTACGGAGGGAAATTTGCGTTTCAAAATCGACTAGGCTACCCTTATAGTTGAAAGGAAATTTGCCGTTTTTGCTTTGTTTTACTTTATAGTTGAGGGCAATTTTCCAAGTACAAGCCCCCGGGGGTCTTATATTTGGAGGAGCGATTTAACGGAGGGATTTTTGCGTTACCGGTTTGGGGGGCTTATATTTGGAGGGGCTTATACATGGAGGGGCTTATTTTCGGAATTTTACGGTATCTGATGATGTTAACACTCCCAAGAAATTTCAATTTCTGTGGACAACCAAATTTACACCTCACAAACCCTAACATTTCTCTTAAGAGTGGTTGCCATAGAAAACCGGTCAAAATTTTTAAAATGTCAACGGAAGGGGGTCAACAGAATAAGTTCATACTAACATCATAGATAGTTCTGGTGGAGTATTGGACAAATATACCAAACATAGGTTCTTCACTGCCCTTGTATTAGAGATACGAGCATCACTTTATTCGACCACTCGGACGCCATTTTTATAAGCAAATTATCACCATTTTGTGAAACTCACAGAACCCGCAAAATTTAACGAGCGAAGTTTATTTTTTGTATGCGATACAACACATCATAGAACTACTTTCTAAAACCATAAGATTTGTTAAGTAACCACGAACAAGACTAAAATTTTCTTATTTTATCTGACCTAAACTCAGTGTCTGCAAACGAGCAAAAATCGGGCATTTTTGAATTGATTTACAGCGCACAACTAAAACGACAGAACAACTCTGACAGCCAAATTGCAGTCTACTATCATCCATGTAACCAAAACACTAATAATCATTTTGGGCCATTGAAACAAGAAGAAATTAGAAAACTCACATTTGTTATAGTTTCCAAGCTTTTTCTTGTAAACAGGCTGATCCCTTCGTGTTTGTTTTAAGTCCTCTTCGTGAATTTTCTTTCATATTTCGCTGTAAAGTATGTTCAGCAGCTGGAGGAAATATCAAAAAGCTGGAAATACTGCCTAGGTTACATTTTTACTTGAGTGTAACAGAGTTCTTTATAAAGAATTCAAAAACTGTTTATCAAGGTGTGACTGTGACACGTTTTTTCTTTTTTTTTTTTAACTAAAAGAACCCGTTCGTTGACGAATAACTGCTAATTATTCATTTGACACAACATTTTTGAGCAAAGATGACCCGCTGTTCTTCATGTTCCCTCTGAAAACTGTCTATGGCTGAGGCGATAACTTGGCTTTCTGCTAAGTCCTCAACACATCATAGGCAATAAGTAAGAAAATCTAGGTACGAAGCCCATACTGACCAGATCTTCAAGGAGCAAAAGCTCTTGAAATGTCAAAAAATCCACTTGTGTTATTGAGGCCTTTTATGTTTTCACTCTTTTCAAAATTCAATAACGTTTTTTCAATGAACAACCAAATATACATAATACTAGGAGTGCTCAATCTTTTTTTTTTTTTTTTTTTTCAAGTTCCAAAGTTTTACAACTCTCTGAATGAATGGATGGATGGATGCATGGATGGATAGATGGATGGATGGATGGATGGATGGATGGATGGATGGATGGATGGATGGATGGATGGATGGATGGATGGATGGATGGATGGACGGATGGATGGATGGATGGATGGATGGATGGATGGATGGATGGATGGATGGATGGAGGGAGGGAGGGAGGGAGGGAGGGAGGGAGGGATGGAGAGACGAACGAACGAACGAACAAGCGACTGAATGAATGAATCTCTCCTCCCTCGCTTTCTCAGGACCTTTTCAAATCGGGCTTAAATAAAAAAAAAAGGCTGGCTATGCCCCTGATTTTAAATATGCTTAATTGAGCAAAGTGGAAATCTTTCAAGAGAAATGTAAAGGACTATCTTTGAGGACAAAATTCAGAAATCGTCTATGCTCAAACAAGAATTTCTAGTGTTTACAAGCCTGATTGTGCCGGGATACCCGCAACATACTATACTGGATAAAGCGCAAAGCACTGCAAAACGTAATTCTTCCTACTTACCAGGAATAACAGTGTATCTTGCTTTAAATCCACGGGCGGTTAGAGAACCATCAGTAACAAAACATACGATCAAGGTTTCGTGGTAAGAAGAAAAAGTCGAATTGCTGGTGAGTGAACCACATAAACGCCCAGGGAGCCCACCACTGCCATATATGACAGCATTTTGAATTTGTATATAGTCGTACGGACAGTTAGTCCCACTTTCTATGTCCATGTCTTGAATGACCAACTTGACGCGGTTTCCTGTACTTGCCATGATTTTCCATGTGCAATTGTGGTTATTACCATAATTTCCCGGGTAAGAAGGACTTGTGATGATGCCTGAGGTCCCTGTCAGGATTGCCATATTTGGACACGCTGACGCTTTAAGACAAGAGAATAATAACACGTTTCGTTTTGGAAAAGGTGAAACACTCGCCACGTCAAGCTCATGGAAAAAAGAAAGAGATTTGACTTCCCACAACAGTGATCGGGCGTTTTAATCATATAGTATTCAATTTATCCTGGTGTTAAAGGGGGTTTGTCTCGAGGATATTGCTGTTTTTAGGAATATTACGTGCTGAAGTCATTACTTAGTGCCTATACAGTTATACGAAATGCTCCTTTAGAGTTATGGAGAAGGTCCCAAACAAAATTTATCAGACAGCACTAGCCATAATTATTTTTTGCTCATTTTTTGCATTCAAAAGGCTTGCCATTTTTTCAAGTTTCAATCATCCTTGCCATCCATATTAACAGACGACAGGAAACGGTTTTAATGCCTAAACATAGTCTTATTCTTGGAATTCAATTGATTCGAAAACACGCTTTAGCTTTTTAAAAAGGTAGAAAATAGCGTGACATAGCCCCTTTAAATAACTTGGTACATACCGTAAGAAATACCTCCATGGCATTCCATCGATTTCCGTGGAAAAAATTTCCATGGCATTCCATGGGGGATAAGGACATCAATTTCAATAGAATTCAATGGAAAAGTTCCACGAAATTCCATGGAAACTACTGCATCCAATTCCATTGATCTCCATGGAGTTCCATGAAATTCACAGGAATTAGACCATGGAATTAGAATATCGCATTGAGTTACAGATGTAAATGGAATATACGTATTTACAATTTTCCACAGATTTAGGTGTCACTGCAAATTACTGGATAAGTTCACTTTTATTACATAGAAAACCGCTCAATCTCTTTTGAAAAGTTATAAATACAAATTACTTAAGCTCAATGAAATCAAAACTCACTCAGAACAACAAGTTGCTCAAACGTACATCGATAAATTTTTAGTGACTGACAGTTAGTCAGATTACGGACCTGACTCTTAATTGTTACAAGGTGCCTGTACTGAGTCTCTAGACAGCCAAGTCCAAGGAACAACTACTCAGCCTCCCCACCCATGAAGCTTATGACTAGTCAATCACTTCCCCCAAGTCTTCCGGACTATGAAAAGTGCATCAGGAAATCATGAACAGGAGACGGTGATTAAAGACTGACGCAAAAATAGAAAATACAATAAAGAGTCCAAAGAAACGCTTAGACTTATACGGGATAACTCAAAATGAAGTGAATGAAGAGCAAATGAAGACTGAATAAAGTAATGCCAATTGGTCACCTGTTCGCCACACCCACGACAACACAAAACAAGCTAAATTTAACTAAAAGTAGTAATTGAAGAAGAAATAGGACTGTACTAGGTCGCTGATAAGCCGGTTTGTTTCTTTTTTGTTTTTTAGCCATTTGGTAATTTATCATCTTGTGGACAAGGCAGCTACTAGTGCCAGTCCCTCCTGAGTGCTGAATTTTCAAGATGGCGTCGCTTTGTTATTTTCTAGTTTCATCGTTCAGCACTTTTTTCCCTTTTAAATTGTAACCTAGGCAGTATTTCGAACTTTTTGATATTTCCTCCAGCTGTTGAACATACTTTACTGCGAAATATGAAAGAAAATTCACGAAGAGGACTTAAAACAAACACGAAGGGATCGGCCTGTTTGCAAGAAAAAGATAGGAAACTATAATAAAATGTGAGTTTTCTAATTTCTTCCTGTTTCAATGGCCCAAAATGATTATTAGTGTTTTGGTTACATGGATGATAGTAGACTGCAGTTTGGCTGTCAGAGTTGTTCTGTCGTTTTAGTTGTGCGCTGTAAATCAATTCAAAAATGCCCGATTTTTGCTCGTTTGCAGACAGTGAGTTTAGGTCAAATAAAATAAGAAAATTTTAGTCTTGTCCGTGGCTACTTAACAAATCTTACGGTTTTAGAAAGTAGTTCTGTGATGTGTTGTATCGCATGCACAAAAAATAAACTTCGCTCGTTAAATTTTGCGGGTTCTGTGAGTTTCACAAAATGGTGATAATTTGCTTATAAAAATGGCGTCCGAGGTGGTCGAATAAAGTGACGCTCGTATCTCTAATACAAGGGCTGTGAAGAACCTATGTTTGATATATTTGTCCATTACTCCACCAGACCTACCTATGATGTTAGTATGAACTTATTCTGTTGACCCCCTTCCGTTGACATTTTTAACATTTTGTCCAGTTTTCTCTGACAACCACTCTTAATATTTTATGTTCCACAGAGTACATTTATTCCGTATCAACTTTTCAAAATTCGATCCCTAATAAAGGGAATCATTTAAATTTTTCGACCAAAGGAGTATCTAGTAAGCATGGGATTCTACAGTTTTGACTAAATACCAGAATGCAGTGTTGCAAAACAGTGCAAGACCAGAAGCTAAAAGTAGTTGAGGATGACATGAGAATAATAAGATTTATTATTTATTTATTTATTTAGTCACTCACAAAACCTTATACAACATGAATAAAAGTTGTTAATTAAATTATAAAATTAATGTGACAAGGAAGCCTAACGAGGCTTGAAGCTTATATTAATAGGCTTCCTTCAACTACCTAGTGAACTAAATTCATGGCTGAGTGCAGAGTGAACAAGATCAGAAAATTAAGCGACAGATCGGCTGTCAGTGAGATAATTCTTTAAATTTTTTTTAAAAACAAATATAGAAGGAGAGCTAATTAGTGAAACAGGCAACGAATTCCAGATTTTAGGTCCTCGGTAAAGGATACTGAATTGCTTTATATTTGTTCTACAAAAATGAGGTCTATACTGAGAGGCTAGTCGAGTTTCGTATTGATGGACTTGATTACTACTTAAGAACAAGACATGAAAGCTACTAGGCAAAAGATTATGGTGATAAGAATACATAAAGGTAGCGACAGAAAATGAATTAATACCAAATATGTCAAGGACTTTAAGCTGGCTAAATAAAGGGGCGGTATTTGCTAGATAGTGAGCTTTTGTTATGAGCCGCACTAGACGCTTTTACAAAAGGTAAATACAGTTTAGGTTGGAACAGTAGGTGGAGGACCAGGCGACATTACAGTATGTTAAGAAAGGATATAAAAGGGAGTAAGATGAAAACTAATTAAACTGAATGAGATTTTTTTTATGACGCTTAAATATTTATAATTATCTTTTAGATTACCTGTTGGTTTTTGAACCGTTTGTGGAATGAAAGTTCTGTTAATCAGTCCAAACAGACTCTCCACCTTTGCCTCCAGGGATTTTACAGCGTCGCTGACGCCAGAAGTTTTGTTGTTTAGTCCTGTAAGGCTCTCCACCTTCGCCTCCAAAGACTTGACCACATCGCTGATGCCAAAAGTCTTGTTGGTTAGCGCAAAAAGACTCTCCACCTTTGCTTCTAATGTCTTTACGGCATCGCCTACCCCTGAAGTTTTGTTGTTCTGTTTAATTAGACTCTCCACTTTTGCCTCTACGGACTTTATTGCACCACAACCCCCAAGAGTACTGTTGTTCAATCCAGTAAACTTCTCTACCTTTACTTTTAAAGAGTCCACGGCTTTGCCTAGGTCCGTGCACTGGCAAGTCAACTGAACGTTGCAGTAGCTACAGGGGTCCCTATTAATTGAACTCACAGACGAATTTGTCACACCATTAACGAAACACGAAACAAAGTTGAGGAGAAAAAATGACAAATACATCATAACAGTTGTGGATCATGAATTTGAAGAAACAACTGAATTGCCGAATGGTTTACTTGTTCCCTTTATATCTTGATATCTTGGGTACAATATCATCAGTATTAAAACTTGCCGTACAATTTTGTCAATTGAAAATTTAGTGACTGCCATAGCCAGTTGTTTACGCAGAAGCCATCTATTAATTCTCCACGAACTATATTGGTGTTGTAACGAATCATTTGCGAAAAAAATTGAAAAAACACTCGACGCCAGAAACAAAAAACGGAACAAAGAACAGGAAAAAAATGACAAAAACATCATAACAGTTGTGGATCACAGATTTGCAGAACCATCTAAATAGCCTAGTAGTTTACTTTACTTAGGTACCATATCATTACCTATTAAATCTTGCAGTACTATTTTGTCAATATTTATAGTGATTGCCAGAGCTGGAACCTCGTTTACGCAGAAGCCATCTATTAATTCTCTACGAACAATATCTGTGTTGGCGCGGATCATTTGCAAAAAAAATACACTCTTAACGCCATCCCCGGTACGATCACCTCGTTATCATGTACAAGGAATTTTTCCCGCTTATGGCAGGAAAAAAACCCTTGGTACGTACACCCACTGATAGACAGTTTACTTTTGTTTTCTTTATACAGTGCATCTAAAAATATTTCGTGTATGTAATCAATACCCAGTGAAAAGTACCAAAGTACCCCTTCTTTTACTCGGACACTTAATATATCTATTTACGCTCCAGCAACGATATTGACTTTGGCAGGAATCATATTCAAAAAGATAAAAAGACTTATTATATCTTCCGTAATAAGAACACCTTAACTTTTGCAATTGATCATGGACAGTTTATTTCCTTTGAACGGGGAAAATCCCTTCTATTGATTCATCCCACTTCGAAAACTCATTAATAATTCATAACGAAAAAACAAAACAAATTAATGTTTAAAGAGTGTCTTTATATCTGATAAAGACACGTCTAAACTTTACGTCCAATTTTTTAGACCAAAATAACCCCAAATCTAAATATTAGTGCAAGAAATGAGTTGATCTATATAAGAGATTTTGAAGCCGTTCAAAAAACTCGCAGTCGGTGTAAAACTCTCGGCTTCGCCTCGAGTTTTTAAACCTGATAATACACTCCCGCTTATTTTTTTTTAAACGGTACTTAAAACACGATTGTTGTCTGATGATGAGTGCATTTGTGGCTTTTAAGCCACAAATGGTATGTTTATTAAAATAAATATGCCGTTCTTAATACCAAAACCTCTCGGCTACCACATTGATGACGTGAGGTTTCTATGGCTACGCGCTATGACCTCATAAATGACAAGGGGTCAGGCTATCTAGAGACAAAAAATGGAATTTGTTCAATAATCACTTTTTTTTTTAGCTCGAGCATGAAAAAATGCTTAGTTTCAGGGCTACTCACCAAAATCATGGCCTATGTGTATGTAGAGGTAAAATAATAAGGATAATTTTTGGACTTCCGTAAACCAACTGTTGGCCTATAAGGTTATCAGTACTTATTCTAATTATTGGTCTGATAAATTGTTTAACCCTTCCTTTATCACGTGAATGCCCTGCAAAGCACCCTCTAAGCCTGCTCTCACTTGAGACTTAACTATCTCTTATGATTTCCCTTGAAACTCCCTTGAATTGTTCCAGTAAGGAATGGTTGTATCCTTTAACTGATAATTGACTTTAAATGGCTTTGATTGTGCTGCGGGGATATGTGTTAAAGTCACGCAGATGACTTCAACATTTAAAGACGTGATGTAGTCGGTATGATAACCGTAGAAACACACCATTCCTGATGTAATGATGCACTGAGATGCATCCACATCATTTGATGCGTTTGCCTCCATTTTTTCCGGGGCGCAAAATCAAAGTCCTTTTCTACTGAACCAAGATGTATCCAAATGAGTGGATGAATTTGTCTCCATTATCAGATTGGCGTTCTGCCACAACTCCACAGGTTATGGAATAATCTGGAAGCCCTTGCATACCAAACCCAATTCTAGAATCAACCGTGGCACAATCGTCTTGGTTGTTACCAAGGATGCCGATCCTCACCCTAGCCTGCCTTACTTACGTGCGATCACAACCGGTGTTAAAACCCTCCCCGTTGCAGTTACGCTGTAGAGGGGCCTGAGACCCAAGCAGTGCTTTCCAACTATTACGACCCAGCGAGGTGGAGCAATAAAGTCCATCAGCAATGAGAGAGAGCTGGCTTGCTTGTTGACGGTAATAAAGTTTGTCTGATTCCCGACTTTCATACCCACCTTTGCCCGTAAAGACTTAACCGCATTGCCGATTCTAAAGGACTTGTTGTTCTGTTTAATAAGACTCTCCTTTGATTCTAAGGACTTTACGGCATTGCCAAGGTCCGTGTACAGGCAAGTCAAATGAACGTTGCAATAGTGACAGAGGTCCTTATTAACTGAACTCACAGACGAATTTGTGACGCCATAAACGAAAAACGGAACAAAGAAAACGAGAAAAAGTAACAAAAACATCATAACAGTTGTGGGTCACGGATTTGAAGAAGCATCTAAATTGCCTAGTAGTTCATACTGTACTTGGGTACAATATCATTACCTATTAAATCTTGCAGAGCTGGAACTTCGTTTACGTAGAAGCCATCTATTAAACCTCAGTCTGATGATTGGGCATGCCTAGTACTCTTCTAACGTAGAGAATCTTGGAACACAAACCTTATACTTAATTACTGTTATCATAATTATGGGCTTGTGAACTACTACACTAGACTAACGAAGCTCTCTAAGTAGAAGTTTATTTCATTAAACGCTACTTAGCAAAACTAATATATAGTGTATAAGTTCTGTTAAAGCATTTTATTGAATTCGTTCAATCGTAGATAGAATAAACATCAGTGCAAACTCTTCCCCCGTTGTCTCCCTCGCTCTGATTCGTCAGATGTTCACCGTACCACAGACGTAACACTTGATTGGAAAGCACGCTGATAGGATTCAAGGAAACTGACAGAACAAGCTCGGGTGAGAGGGAGTTATATCCAGGAATCTTGTACCACTTACTGCTTTTATAGCTGATGAACTGATTTGGTGGAGGTAGAATGTGATTCCTTAAGTTGGTTATAACAACGTTGACTCGAGGGCCAGTCGATGGATTGTCATTACAGCCCCAGTAGGACCAATAAGAAGTCACACTGGTGGAACTGATTAGTCCAATAAGACTTTCAACCTTTTCTTCTAAGGACTTTACTCCATCCCTGATGCTAGATGTCTCGTTGTTTAGTCCACTAATACTCTCCACCTTTGCTGCTAAGAACTTCACAGCATCGCTGATGCCAGAAGTCTTGTTTTTCAGTCCAATAAGACCCTCCATCTTTGTTTCCAAGGACTCAACGGCATCGCTGATGCCGTAAGTTTTGTTGTTCAATCCATTAAGACTCGCCACCTTTGCTTTTAAGGAGTTTACAGCATCGCTGATTTTACAGGCATTGTTGTTCCGTCCAATAAGACCTTCCACTTTTGCTTCTAAGGACTTAATTAATGGCGCGCGAATCCTGATTTACAGTGCATTTGCAGTTGCAATTGTTAACCGGCGTCTTGTTACAGCTAGGCGTTTGACTGTTATTTGCATTGGCCAACGTATTTGTCGCTTCACTGACATGCAACGTAGTACCCATCATTAAAAGCAAGATAAATGACATAAATGACAAATGCATCAAAAGAAGTGGTATTGACGGTGCTTTGCAATTGAAGTAACAATTGAAAGGCCCGATAGTTTGCTTGCGTTCCTTTTTATCATAGTTATAGCACCATTACCCAGCTGCACTTGCAGCTTTTCTCTCTTTGCTACCACTCCCTTTGGCCAGCAGTAATTCCCCATTTGCGAAGAAACTACGCAGTCGTTATTCAGGCAATCTCGTCGCCAGAGCACGTGATTGCTCGCCACGCACATTCCTTAAAATATCTGCCGTCTCCAAACGTTGTTGAGCGCACTTGCGACCAATATTTTCACAATATATCTAATACTAGATTTTGCTAACAACTACATCTACCTGAATATCTGAATCATATTTCAGTGTAGTAAAGAGTATCTATACTGTAATTATCCATAAAGTTGTGATGAATATTTCTGTCAATGTAGGCTTTAACAGCATCATGCAACATTTAATCAATCGGTTTTGTTCAAATATCGTAGTATGACTTCGTTGCCCTGTTTTCATTTATTTTCTTTCAGGGGGAATGGGGAGGAAGACGGGTTCCTCTGTACGGTGCCTAAGAGGAGATGAAGAAAGGCATAAAAACTAGCGCAAATGAATGAATTAATTCTTCCCCCTGGAAATACCCTGAAAATTCTTTCAGAGATTCAATTTGATTTTTGTCTTCCCCTCAGTAACAGAGCCTCGATGTCATGTCAAGGAGTTCTAGGTCTTTCGATGCTCCTAATGACCCTTTATGTAGTATAAATTTAGGAATTTTGAACTGAAAATATCCATAAACCTCAAAAAGGAAAATTTTTTCATCTATTCAAATCTGGCTCATTTGCTGATGGTTTTAATAATGTTTTTAGCTACGCCGACGCCACACGCATTTTCAAGACAGCGAAAGGACCAACACGGAGAACTTATATTTATCCCATTATATTGCACGACTAATATAGGAAAGTGTGACTCAAAAATTTTATCTTATAATGAAATTAAAAAGGCAATTATGTAAATGCAACAACTACACCATATTTCTGGACGTTTATAGAAAAGCAGCTCTTGATTACCACCGTTTTCGTTGATACGCGACTTTCGAAAACAAAACACCCGCGGAAACGTTTCCAAAATTTCCGTCAATCATGCATGTTATCGACAGATCGGATCGAAATCCACCAATCACAGCCCGCTAGCATGACGTAAAGAAGGTCAGAAGGTCACACTAGTGGTTGTGATTGGTGGATTTCGATCCGATCTGTCGATAACACGCACGATTGACGGAAATTTTGGAAACGTTTCAGCGGGTGTTTTGATTTGGAAAGTCGCGTATCAAGGAAAACGGTGGTAAGATAATCTTACACAATAGTGGGTGTAAGGAAAAAGAGAGGGAGTGGATGCGATTTCTAGTAGTAGTATTTACTTAAAACTTCAATACCATCGAAGGGACACCGTCAGGACCAAGGCAAGTGTCCCTTGATCCCCTGAATGGAGGTTGGGCTGGGGTTTGTTAATAATTAACCAACAAATAAAATATTTCCCTTTTATTCTGCCTCGGAATCTTCTGCAGTCATTATTTCAAGCAGCAAGATAATATATATTTTAAAAATAACATGATTAAATTATCTCTGCGAAATTCCCACAAGTGCAGTACATCGATTAAGCTGAGATAGTTTATTCTTTTAACCTGCTGTCGCCATTGTGACTTAAGTGTACACTTAGCAATGATTTTGTGCCCAGGCACTTTTTTGAGTGTCAAGGTGTCCCTTGAATGGAGGTCAAACCTGGGTTTCGGGACTCACAAAAAGCGTCCCTTTCCACTGAATAGTGGAGTCCCTTCAGTTGAGGTAACAAATACAAAGATTAATATATGTCAACATTTTTCCGGGACCAAAGTTTTTGCCTCCTGAATGGAGGTTTCTCTTGAATAGAGATGTCCCAATAGAGAGGTTTCATTGTAGTCACATGTTTGAGTTCGTCAGCGTTATTGACATTTTAATGGAAATCATAGTTTAAAATAACCTTTCCTTATGGGTATAGACGCTACAACACTAGTAATCGCAGATATCAGACTTCAGCTAATTTTGTTTTAAACATCGTAATATAAGAGGATGTCAGTATTTGATCATTAGGCTATAGGGGAGAAAGCCATTTTATAAAGCTAAATTTATTTCTCCCCTTCATCACTATAGAACTTTTTTTTTTCTCTATTGAACCAAGATGTATCCAAATGCGTGAATGTACTTGTCTCCATTATCAGCAAAATTTCTTGTTGCGACTCCACAGGTTAAGGAATCATCTGGATATCCTCTTATGCCGAATCCGATCCTAGAATCACAGGAGTAGCAGGAGTCCTGATTATTTGCAACGATACCTATTCTCGCCTTAGAAGGATTACAATGTTCACTGCAGACAGCATTAAACCCTTCTCTATTGCAATTTTGCTGCAAGGAGCCCTGAGGACCAATCAGCGTCTTCCAGGACTCACGACCCAGACTGGTTGCACGGAAGGCTTCATCAGCAATGAGGGAGTGAAGAGAGTCAGCAGTCCGTTTAAGGGAAACAAACCTAGTCTCATTGTCTACCATCATTCCGAGACAGATCCTTGTAAAATTCGTGCTCCAATAGGTTGGTAACTTGGTTTCTTGAGTGTCAAAACCAGTCATTCCACCTGGAATGTTGTATGCATTTTTGTTACTCCAAAGCTGGGAGCTGTAGCGAAACGTTCTCTGAAATACAGATTAGAAGGATTTTTAAGAGACTATCCCAAGACAGTGAAATCCACTTTGCCTTTCTTGATCAATTATTCCATGTTGTTCGCTATGTATATTGAAGTAACAAGAAATTTCTACCGACATATGACTACCGATCGTTTAAAGTTACTAACAATAAAAATAAAATTTGCCGAAGAACTGCTACAATACTCGTCACAAATCGTTGAAACAGACACCGCTTCTCTTGAATTTTCTAGAAAATTCTTGAGATTTACTCCTCACACTTTTTTTCTCACTGTAATGTGCCCTCTCCTTCCCCAATGTTGAGCCACGCGTACTTTGAAGCACGGAGACCGCTGTAATTCCCAAATCAACATTGGGGAAGGGAAAACGCACACAAGTGTTTCATGATTTTTGATGAGGATTGTAGCCTAAATACTAGTCGCAATCGTTGTTATCTTTGTCAAGTTTGTCCATCCGTGCCTTCTTTATTAGTTGGTGTGTCAGCTAAAGCAGTACGTTAGTAAAAAGGGCAACAAGGAACGTGCAACTTGTTTTGCAACATTGCTGTAAAACGAGTTGAAAAGTGATGTTGCACGTTTTACCAAACACGTGCGAACCTGCTTTTGCACAAATAATATTGCCACGTTTTTTTTTCCGTGGGTGTTAAAACGCGCAAAAAAACATTGCTATTCAGCTCATTGTGCAGCAAACTCGCCAAACAAGTTTCACGTTCTTTTATTGCCCGTTTTACCGTACCATAAATGTTTCTTTACTGCCTTTCACTCAATTTTACAGCCAGTTCTGAAGGAGGGGTTTAAGAAAAATTTCGTGACCAACTCAGGGGGCCTGTGATTCAAACCTCTCATCCCCACTCCCGTCTGTTGAAATTTTGAAAGATGAGGTCATTCTTGATATTGAAGCAACTGCTAAAAGTAACTTAAAATTCAGATTTTTCAACCACAAATTTCTGAGGCTGTCATTGCATTTACAGTGGCAGCTCTAGTAGAGGAGAGGCTCGAGGGCTTCCCACCCCTTATTACTTCTAATGAAACTGAAAAAAAAAATTACTGACAACAGGGGCATCCCTGTACCTGAAAAAAACAGATAGTTGTTACTTGACTTAAGATACAACCTTTGCACCGTCTGTCTTCAGAGCCAGCGTCCATCCCCCATCTCCACAACCAAAGTCTCTTATGTGACAGTAAACAGGAATTCCTAGGGTTCCAATCTTGAGAGTATAAACTTGGCTCTTTGATGAACTGCAAGGCGTTTAACAAGACAATGAAATTTAAAAAAACAAACTTCGATATAATGGCTTACTACTAAAGTATAAAATTTCTGTAAAGGATGATATGTGAGATATGGAAAGAACTACGGTAACCAGAATTCTGAATAAAGTCTCAAATACTCCATTAAGCGGCGCAAATTAGGTTATTTCGCTTAACTTCATATTTTTTTATTCAATCTAAGCCTTTTCTGAGATTTGAGCAATTTCCCGATGTTAGAGCGTTTTCACATGTCATTTTGGCCATATACAACCGTAGATATATCAAGACAGTACAACTGTGACTCAGTTAACTTTTTTGTTACTTAATTTGTTTCTTTCAAGGAGTGTTGGTAGTCGTCGTTATTATGGTTAACGGCAGCGAAAAACCTACCCGTTGATAATTAACGTTTTTAGTTTAAAGTTTGCATGTTATTGAAAAGCGGTGTTAACATACATATCGTAAAATCCGATAACCGGCGGAAACGCCCATAGATGACGTCTGGGAAAGGAGTTGATTATATTACAGGTAGCAGAGGAAGGGGGTGTTTACATGAGAAAACTCGCACCGGTGCGAGTTACATACCGCGATGACTTTTTGATTTCGTATCACGTTTACATAATGACTGGGTCATTTCATATCTCGTTATTTGAAGGTACACTTCATGTTAATTAAATACACGTGTGATTCAAAATCGCAAACGTTAAGCATGCGCTACCCCTTCCAGTCTACCGGCAGACCGAGTTCACTCCGAAACGGGTGGTCGTTTAGAGTTTACATGATACTGTTGCGAGATTTCGTACCGGAGTGAAATTGTCGCCCCGGTACAACAACCGGGGTGAACTCACGCCGGGGTGACTCGCGCCGGCATGACATTTTGTGGTGGTATCACATAAACAAATATAGTGCCATGAGAGGGAACCCGGAGTGATCTACCGCCGGCGCGAAAGTCGCCTCGGTGTCATGTAAACAGCCCCGAACAAGATACGCATCAATTGAAATATATTCTGAACTAAATTTCTCGAAGCTACAGCTGCAATATTGGAATATTTGTGGTTTTCGTTTTTGGCAAAGGTCCATAGTTTTATGATGAAATCTAGCTATTTAAATAAATGATTTTTATTACACTTAAACTTTCGTAGTAACTAAACTGAAAAACTGAGGTACTTGTGTTCTCCATGGCTTACAACGGAAACTGTTCAATAACAGTCGAATTTAAGAGTAAGTACGTACATGTAAGTGATAATCTACTGTCTCCAAATAAAAATTACAATATGAGACTCCCAAAGAATCCACACCGAAAATTGCCTGGTAAGCTTCACAATCGCATTCTAGACATTGGATCCGAGGTCGATACTTCTATGAATCATATTAGAATATGTGTTCAACCAAGACCGAGGGATACGTCAAATAACTGCACTGATATTGATCATGATGGTTTAGAGAATGCAACTAACTTTTCTTAGGAATTCACTCAGTTAGCAAAGACTGCGATTGTCATTTTATTTCGTCGGATGTTTTGTTTATGCTAACTATTTTGCCTAATGGTCAATAATAGACTTATTTTGCACTTTTTACAGAGCTCATGTCCATTCTATTTTTTTTAATGCTAATATATCACAAGCAGTATAGGATTACGGGGCCTCAATATGGGGGTGGGGGAGTAAAAAAAAAAAATATTCGCGCAAAGGAAAATTAAAATTAAATGAAAAAAAATTCATGCACGCCTATTAACCCCTAAAAAAAATTCTTGCTAACGCCTAAAAAAAATTCATACAAGGAATTTGATAACGAAAAAAAATTCCTGTGGCTCGAAAATTCCCCAGTGCAATTAGACTCTCCATCTTTGCCTCTAAAGATTTTACGGCATCACTGAGGCCAGTGGCATTGTTGTTGAATCCAATAAGACTCTCTACCCTGTCCAGCTTTGCTTCTAACGACTTTAAGGAGACGGGCAAGTCTTGATTTGCATTACATGTACAGTTGCAATTACTTACCGGCGGCTTGTAGCAACAAGGTGTTTGCTGACTGTTCACGTAAAACAAATCAGTTACAAGGCGAAGTAGAAGAATTGAAAAATACATCTGGAGGAGGTGGATTCACAGTCGATTTTAAGTAACATTTGATATGCCTGATATTTTGCAGTTATGTTGGCTTTATAGCATATTGTCATCCTGATTTCCCAGTGAAACTTGCGGTCTTATACTCTCTCCACTTTAATTTCACTCCAACCCTTTTTTGAAGCAGTCTATTAATTCAACAGCAGCTATTAATATTGACGATGGCACGAAGCATTTGCAATTTCTGTGACAAGCTACGGGCACGATTTAAGATACAGAAAAACGGGCAACAAAAAACGTGCAACATTTTCTTGCAACGTTGCTGCAAAACGAGTTGAATAGCGATGTTGCGCGTTTTACCACCTACATAAAGCCTGTCTAATGCAACAAATCAGGTTGTTAACAGGTTTAAACATTGGGGTAAAACGCGCAACATCCCTATTCAACTCGTTTTGCAGCAACAAATCAGGACAGATGCTTCAAGCTGTTAAACAGTCGCTAACCTGGATGCCAGAGAGTTTTGATGCGCGGTTTCCGGTTTCGGTTAATTCCTAATAGTGAGCGGTGTGCCCACATTTGTCTAGCGTCCTCACAAAATTCAAATGTTTGGCGGCCAAACATCCATGTTTGAACCCACTTTGAACCTATTTTCTTGTTACGTGTCCACGGTTGGATCCAAACGACGGTATCACAGCTCGCGGGTGTGCGTGGATATCGCCGGAAGAGACAGTTATCGTTTTTTGCAATAGGACGTTGGTTGTTTATATATTGATGTAACGAAGTCCTCAATAAGCAGTTTTCGCCGAGTCGGAACCGCTTTCTCCGGCGAACTCCCACAAGCCAGGACCGTTTTCCTCTTCGCCCAATTCGTCAGCTACTCTGGCCAGATTATTCCACGTAAAAATCTTTTGAATCTTCGACGAAAGTAATACCAAGTTTGCACGTCATATCGCTTGCTGTGCGTGATCGGCAGTGAAATGAATTACCCGCCAAGTTTAAAATTACATGACGCCACTCTAACCGACCAATAAGGTGGCGTCCTTAAAATAACCACGCAGTATGACACAGAACCAAGAATAGATTGACAATAATTTTCAAGGGAAGAGGGTCATCTATGGGGGATTCGCTCTCTTAGATCATTCTCTCTTGTCATATTATAATATGTGTGTAAGCTAAGATCGAGGGATACGTCAGATAACACTGATATTAATCGTTCAGAGAATATAATGGCCCTAACGTTTCTTAAAAAAACAGTCAGTTAGCAAAGAATGCGATTGTCATTTCATTCCGTCGAATGTTCTGCTTATGCTAACTAATTATTTTGCTTTCTAAAAATAATGGTCAGCATATGATGGTCAGTAGACCCATTTTGCACTTTTTACAAAGCTCATCTCCAAAGCAGTATTGTATTACGGTGCCTCAAAGTCTCCGATATCCTTAGGATAGGCAGCCTCCGCCAAGAAATATCAAGAATTTATTATATGATTTGGTTCAGGTGGTTGCTTAACCCACTCCACACAGGGGAAACCAATTTAGGGTTAAGACAACTATTATAAAGAGTCGCATTTGTTTCGATTTTCCAAAAATAAAATGCTGTGTCTTAATAAAACTAAAAAAAAACATACCTCTAAATATACGAATCAATAACGAACATAAATATATGAATGAATAATTAAGACAATGACTTTGGTTTTTAACTAGAAATTAATCAAAAATGTCCCTTACTTATCTTTTTCGTACTGTTCCTTGCAAGAAGAGACGAAAGCAGCTGATGCTTTTGTGACTTTTAATAACCAAAAATTCAAAATATTTTGGTTGATATTAAAATCAAAGGAAGAAAACTTAAAATTCACATTAACTCATACTTTTGTTGCAGATTACCTGTTGGTTTTGGAGTCCTTGGTACGGTGGGAAGAGACCAGACAAGAAAAAGGATTGTTGATTATTACAAGGAGACCCTCCATCTTTGCCTCTAAACATTTTACGGCATCACCTAGGCCGGAGATAGTGTTGTGGTCAATCCAACAAGACTCTCAACCCTGGAAAATCTTGATTTGCATTGCATTTTTTACAGTTGCAATTACTTACAGGCGGCTTGTAACAGCAAGGTGTTTGCTGATTGTTCACGATTAATGGAACAGTGACAAGGCCAAGCAGAACAAATGAGAAATACATATTCAGGAAATGGATTTGGAGTCGATCTAGAGTAACATTTGATCTGCCTGAAAGGCTAGTTTACTTGTGTTGGCTTTAGAAGTCTTGTGCATGTTATTATGAGTAAAACTTGTGGCCCTACTGTTTTCGCTGTGAGTTTAACCCTCTATTAAAGCAGAAGTTGTCTCTTATAAATAATTCTCCATGAATTATATTGACTTTTTAGGCACGTAATAATACCTGTGTTAAAACTTGGTATTGGACATCCTTGTTATGGTCAACTGAAAGCTATCAAAAAAGGGTATCCGAGAGCTCCGCTTTGGCCTTGGCTAAATCTATATATTATTTATAGCAATATAAAATCTGTTCTATTGAACCAGGATGTATCCAAACGTGTTGATGAACTTTTTCCCATTATCAGCTTTGTTTCGTGCCGCAATTCCACATCTTATGGAACCATCCGGCTCCCCCTCCATGCCGAATCCGATTCTAGAATCACAGCTTCCGCAGTCGTTTTGGTTGTTTCCAAGGATACCGATTCTTGTTTTGGAAGGATTACTTTTTCCGCTGCAAACAGCATTAAACCCTTCTCTATTACAGTTGCGCTGCAAGGAGCCCTGAGGACCAATCAGCGCCTTCCAGGAATGACGGCCCAGGCTGGTTGCACGGAACGCTCCGTCGGAGATGAGGGAGTGAAGAGAGGTGGCAGTCTGATTTTGAAGAACAAACCTAATCTGATTTCCGATCCTCATTCCGAGACAGATCTTGGTAAAACTTGTACTCCAGTAGGTTGGTAACTTTGTTTCTTGAGTGTCAAAACCTGTCTTGCCACCTGCAACGTTGTATGTGTTTCTGTTACTCCAAAGTGGAGAATTGAAGCGGAATGTTGTCTGAAATCAAATTTTAATTTTCATTAGTTAATGAACTTGCAGAGTACATTGACTGTATTGGGCGGCCTAGTCCTCAAGTATATTTTCTTAAGGTAGAAGGCGCAAAGGCCGGTCCGTATCTCAGTTTAATGGTTAACGTGTCACAGACTACCTTAAGTATTTTCACATAAACTGGTTATAGAAAGGTAGTTAGCAAGTTTAATTAAGCGATCGATCAGTGCACTCCTAAACCGCAGATTGGATAGAAAACTAGGTTTACAATAACTGTATATAAGAAAGAATTGCGCTTTAACTTTGCTTGTTTTCCTGTCCGAAAGGTAAAGTGGCAACACAGCTCTAAATGCATGTTATCACGCTCCGTCTCAAAGACCCAGCTGCTTGTGACAACGTCGGTCAGGACAGCTGCAAACACCAAACTTTCTAGTACCTTCAAGCCGTCTGTCTTTAAGGCCAGCGTCCATCCTCCTCCTCCACATCCAAAGTCTCCCATGTGACAGTAAACAGGAATTCGTTTAGAATCGACGCTCAGGGTAAATACTTGACTCTTTGACAAACTAGATAAATAATCGGATAGTTAACCTTTGAGCGTATAAGCAGATTCATACCCTCAACTTGGTTATGGTAGGGGTGTGTTGCACCCCATTCCCCCCTCCCCCTGCCTCGCCAACTCCCTTGAGGTTTTCTTAAGTTGAGATATTTTTGAAGGGTTATAGCCCTAACAGATAGCCTGTGACGAGCTCTAGAAGAAACATGATTATTTTAACCAACAAAAAGGGGAAAACACTTTTGCAGCAAGTAACTTTATTTGAGACTATTTTCACCTAAGACCTGTGCAATCGAGCACCTTTGAACAGAATCGAGCACCTTTGAACAGAATACCATTTAATTCAATTAATTTTCCGATGAGCTTGTTAGCCCGCGTATTAGAACCTGGGTTTTTGTTAGGCTAAAATTTTCATTTGTAAAACCACCAGTTAGGTTTTAATTCAATTAATTTAAGATCATCATCTATTTTGTTTTTCACTTCTCCTCATTGCTAGAGCTTGATGAGCTACAAAATACTTTAAATAAATGCAGGACATTTGTACCTGCACTGACATAAACTATTTTAACCCTCAGCATGGAATAAATATATATATATATTGAATGAACAAAAAGGGCAAAACAGACAATTCTCCAAAAAAAAAAAAAAAAAAAAAGACAGTTGCAAAGTCTTTGACGTTTTTTAAAAAAAGCCAGCGGTGGAGTCTATATTTTCTTCTACCAAAAACGTGCAAAATTCGTGATAGTATTTTGCCAAGAATCAATATGTTCTTAAAGGGAAAATGGAAGACTTAGATTAGCATTGATGGCAATGATATCCACCCGGAAAACTTTACAGTCAGCAACTTTGTGAAAGATACTGTTGTGTTCACGCGAATTAGTTATTTAGTTTTGAGAAATTAGCCTGTTTTGTACTTTTTTCTTCTGTATTTTTTTTTAACATAGCGCGAGCTGTATATAATAGTGTGGTTATGGTGCCTCAAAGTCTTCGACATCCTCTGGAAAGGACTGTAGTCTTAATATTAAAATACCAGGAATCTAGCACCTAATCATTTGTATAGTTTTGAAAAAGTCCAAGGCTCTAAATGCATAACATTTTACTTTAGTTGTTAACTCAAACATTTTTAAAGCCGCGCGAAAAAAGTCGAGATATTAAGCCGATTTCAACAGTGCAGCGGTAGGAATCTTTAAACTTAAGGCCGGGCGGCTTGATATCAGTAAATGCTTTAAGCCCAGAGAGCGTAAATATGAGATTACGATAAGGATATTTTACTTATATACGAAGCATTTATTTTCATTTCCCAAAAACAAATTTATACACAATACGAAGGCTTTTTAACTAGAAATTAAACGATTAAGTCCCTTACGTGTCTATCTGGAATTGTTCCTTGCAAGAAGAGACAAAAGCGGCTGCTGTGACTATAACCGAAAAATGAAAATAATTGTTGTTGATATGCATGGAGATCACAGTATGTAAACTTATGATTGAGCATTAATAATTTTCGTCTTGTTTACCTGTAGCTTGTGGAGTCTGTTGTGGAATGAAAGAAGAAGAACTATTGATCATTCCAATAAGACTGACTCTCCATCTTTGCTTCTAGTGATTTTACAGCATCGCTGACGCTGGAAGTACTGTTGTTTAGTCCTATAAGGCTTTCTACCCTTGCTTCTAAGGACTTTATGGCATAGCTGACGCCTGAAGTACTGTTGATAAGCGCAACAAGTCCTTCCACTTTTGCTTCTAAGGACCTCATACGCGAATTTTGATTTACGGTGCAATGGCAGTTGCAATTATTAACCGGCGTCTTGTTAAGGCGAGGTTTTTGCAGACTGTTACTTGCGTTCATCGACGAATAAGTGACGCCATTAACGGAAAACGAAACAATCATCAGGCCAAGCTGAACAAACGATAAATACATCACAATTTGTATGGATTTGAAGTAACGTCTGAATTACTTGATAGTTTACTTGTGTTCCCTTTTCATATTGGGCATATTATTATTACCCAGTGAAACTTGCGACCCTATTTTCTTCGCTCTCGGTCTTGATCCCCAGCGCCATGCCAATCCCCCATTTACGCAGAAGCAATCTTATAACAAACTGATTCGCCATTGCAAGGACCTCCATTCTCGTCCCCAGAGCCCGTAGTTTCTTGGTCAGCAGAGCCACTGGCTCGTTACAAATTAAGCCGAGTGGCTCTGAGGACGAGAATGAAGGACCCCTTGAGCTTTGTCCTTTCGTCAGACTTGGGGTACGTTTCATTTACAGGCGCAAAAACCGGAAAATCCGGTTTGAAAATCAAATGGTTCGCGCCACTTCCTATTGGAAGCTTCAGGAAACATGAGCTGTGATTTAATTGCAGCAATGTAATTTTTCTACTCTTTTCAGTCTGCTCACTTGATTTTGTTACACTCAGAAGCGAGCCGTTCTCCCCCCATGTCAAATTTAATAGTTCACGTTCATGCACAAGATTTCCACAGGGGTGGTTTGTGTCAATGGTAAGCACCCCAGATCCGTGAATGTAGCGAGTATGGCAAATTTATTCTTGTTAAGTTTTTTCGATCGTCTTTATTCTTTTGTTTTGTTTTGTTTTTTCAGTCATCCATAACGGTGTTATAGCTGTATTGCATGTAGGTGTATTTATATTAGAACTACTTCCAAATAGCTATCTTGATGCTTATACCGAAGCTATATATTTTGCCTCCCAAGCAGAGTTCTTAGGGTTCGTCACGCGTTCCTGTCGTTTGCGTGAGAGGCTTAAATTCTCTCTGACATGTTTCAAATGGAAAAGTTTATGCTTATTTATAGTCATTAGTTAGGGAGGGAGTTCATAGTGATCGATAAGCCCCACATTCACAGTCTCAAATTGAGCTTCCTCGCCAGAAAAATGATATGCCTAATTCTGTTATGTGTGTATGTATTTTTCTGACAACAGTTGGCCTGTTAATATGAAACCTCAGGCCAATTAGATTGGCATAGAAGTTAATACCAAATGTCAAATTACCACGTCACATTTTAAACTTTTAAATTTCCCCATGTTTATACCGTATTTAAAAGAACTTTGCAAGGGGATTTAAGCGCTGAAAATTTTCTTCCAATATCTCAAATATGAGCTGATAAATGACAATCTGAATTCTTAGCATAAAACGGGCTACCCTCTCCGTCCCTTGTGTAATAAGTCTACATTTAATATTATTCCTCTGAAGTAGAACCTACAGTGGGATTTTTAACAAACTTTACTGATTGGTTGTTCATGTTATAGAAACTTAACTTTTGAAATGAAATCTGGGGGTCCCCATACTAGTTTAGGAGCAGCAGCAAGTTCTCGATGCGCAATGATTCCTCGCAATAGAGAAGCGAAGAAATGACGTCCTGAACCCCTAAATTTGTGAAATTATGGGATAGGTTGACATATCCAGAGAGAGCTTCTTCTTAGAAGCAGGGTAACTAGTTAATACTGCTGATGACGTCATCTTTGTTAGGAGTTATTTTTAGTGTCAGTCAATTTACAGGCCCTATCTGCAATCTGTTGTCTGCAGTCTCATAAATCGCAGTACTGACTCATTTCTATTGTACTAAGATGTATCCAAATGCATTAACGTACTTTTCGCCATTATCCGCATAGTTTCGTGCTGCTACTCCACATCTGATGGAACCATCTGGCTCCCCCTCCATGCCAAATCCGATTCTAGAATCACAGCTGACGCAGTTGTTTTGGTTGTTTCCAAGGATACCGATTCTTGCTTTCGAGGGATTACTAGTTCCACTGCAAACAGCATTAAACCCTTCTCTATTGCAGTTGCGCTGCAAGGAGCCCTGAGGACCAATCAGCATCTTCCAGGGCTCACGACCCAGGTTACTTGCACGGAACGCTCCGTCGGAGATGAGGGCGTGAAGAGAGGTGGCAGTCTGGTTAAGAGCAACGAACCTAGTCTGACGGCCGATCTTCATTCCGAGACAGATCTTGGAAAAATTTGTGCTCCAGTAGGTTGGAAGCTTGGTTTCTTGAGTGTCAAAACCAGTCATTCCGCCTGCAGTGTTGTATGTATTTCTGTCACTCCAAAGTGGAGAAGAGAAGCGGAAGGTCCTCTGCAAAACAAATTGTAATGTTATATTCTTAGACTTTCAATCAACTAAACAGGGACTGCCATTGGTTGATTCTTGGTTACGTGACCTTGACTAAAATCAAAAGTATCTGGATCGTGATGCATTAAGCAATGTACCCCGCTTGGGATACATTACAGCACGTGATCAAAGCATGGTGGAAAGTGGCGTGACAGAAAAGAAAAACACTGCCAGTTTTCTTTTTCGTGAATGAACACAACAACACAAACACGAAGCGTCTCGGGAAACATCAGGACTCTCGGGAAAACAAAACTAACTGTTTCCCTCGGGATCTGACATTAAGTGCATAATATTAAAGGGTCTCTGTCGAGGCAAAGAGTTCCTAGTAATGACAAGCACCAATTGCTATTTATCGACCCATGTAAAGGAATCTGGATTTCGTAATCCTGAAAATTTGTGCCTGTGGAATCCAGAGTCCGGGAAATTTTTGCTGGTGGAATCCGGAATTCAGCTGAAGGGAACCCAAACCCCACTAACGATTGGAATCCAATCTAATTAACATTGACAGTGCGTGGAACTCCGGAGTCCAAAACTGTCATAGATTCCTAGCATAGGGCGATATTTAATGGCATTCCATGTTTACTGCGCTTTTCACAAACATGCGAATTCTGAAGTTCAAAAGCCAACTGACGATTGCGTTTTTCGCTGCCGTCAATAATCTTAACGGACCTCTTAGGAAACAAAACTTTATTTTAACGGGTTCAAAAGGTCATGGATTGTGATTTCTGATTGGTGGATTTCGATCCGTTTTGTGAGTTTCTTGTGTTTCAAGGTTCGTTGCTTGTGATCGTAATTATGATTGACGGCAGCGAAAAACGCAATTGTGAAGGCGGCTAGCGCTTTTGAACTTTAGAGTTCGCATGTTTGTGAAAAGCCCAGTAAGGCAATTTGAGACACTTATATGATTGTACAATTTCGCACCTTTATTTCAAGGTACCATCTAGATGTTGGTGGCAACGTCTGTCACAACAGCTACCAATACAGAAGTAACTATCTAGTACTTATAACCTTCATTCCGTCTGTCTTTAAGGCCAGCGTCCATCCTCCTTCTCCGCATCCAAAGTCTCCCATGTGACAGTAAACAGGAATCATTTGGGCATCGATACTCAGGTTATACACTTGACTCTTTGACAAACTGTTTCAAGTAATTAAATGAAAGGCAATAAAACCTTTTGGAGATAAATATATACAAATTCATTCGTTTATCTTGTTGGGTAAAGTAGTTGCAACCGGCGGGTCCCTACCCACTTACCACCACCACCACGACCAGTAACAACTATGAGGGATTGTCATTTGAAAAGCTTTTGGTAAAAAATAAGGCCTTAAAAGCCTCTTACCAGCCTTAGAAAGAGATTAAAAAAAAGGCTTTTCAACCACCAGAGAGGAAAAAAAAATAAAGTAAAGTGAGTGTTGGCAAGGTACTCTTAAGCTGACAGAATATACTACTATTCATCCCCCAAACTCATTCAAACTCATTCTTTCAAGGGTAGTCATGAGCATTGAAGATTACATAAGCCCCCAAACTCGCCAAGGAATAGGATCTGAGGGAATATTCCTTATTAAGTTAATTCAATTAATTTACGACGGCGACACTTGAATGAAGCCTTCTATGATATTGAGTTGAGTTTTATTTCTTATGTACTATGCAACAGTTCTCCAGCCTTCGAATTCACTGCGTAAGTCACGACATGAACTAGGTAAATAAACAAACTTGAAAACAAATGAAAATATAAGGCGCAAAAAATCGTTTAACATAGAATCGCAGAGCACTAATCTGCTTTTTATATCGCTGTCTCGAGGATATGATATTGCGGGCGGGGAGTAGTTAAAGGCTGTGTTCAATAAACTGTTTTAAAATATTGACTCTAAGTGTTAACTAATTAACTATTATCAGGAATTAATCTTTGGTAATGTTAGAGAAACATAGAACCCAGCATCCACCTCGCTAAGTTGCACGGAATTTTTAAGACCCACTGATGTAAACTGGTTTTAGAACAAATTGTTCAAACCTACTACTGACCCTCAGTCAGTAAGTTTGCAACAACGACATGAAATAAGGATGGAATAAGGATATTTGTCATCGAACAATAAAAATCTCTAGTAGGAAAAGTTTCCATTTAAACGAACAAATGAAAGCAAAATATAACTTACTTGTCTTTTTCGTACTGTTCCTTACAAGAAGAGACGACAGAAGCGGCTGACGTGACCATATCCAAAAATATAAAAATAGTTCATTTATTTACATGAGAATCAAAGGAAGTAAAATTAATAATCAATCAATTGATAGTTTTTATTTAAGAATACCTGTTGGGTTTGGAACCGGTTGTGGAACTGGGGAGGAAGTATTGTTGATTAGTGCGATAAGACTGTCCACCTTTTCCTCTAAAGACTTCATGGCGTCGCTGAAGCCAGAGGTTTTGTTGTTCAGTGCAATGAGACTCTGTACATTTAATTCTAAGGACTTCATTGCATCGATGACGCTAGAGGTTTTGTTGTTCAGTGCAATAAGACTCTCCACCTTTGCCTCTAATGACTTCATGGCATCGCTGACGTTACAGGGTTTTTTGTTCAGTGCAATTAGACTCTCCACCTTTGCCTCCAAGGCCTTCATGCTATCGCTGACGCCAGGGGTTTTGTTGTTCAGAGCAATAAGACTTTGTACTTGTGATTCTAAGGACTTCAATGCACTAAAAGTATTGTTGTTCAGTTCAACCACACTCTCAATCTTTCTTTCTAGCGACTTTGCGGCAGCGCCACTGCCAGAAGGAGTACTGTTGTTTAGTGTAATAAGGTTCTCCACTTTTGCCTCTAAAGACCCAATGGAATCTCTATTGCCAGAGGCATTGTTGGTCATTTCAATAAGACCCTCCATCTTTGCTTCTAAGGCCCTTATAGCCCGCGAATCCTGATTTATAGTGCATTGGCAGTTGCAATTATTCACCGGTGTATTGTCACATCGAGGCGTTTGACCGTTATTTGCCACGGGCAAACTTGTGGCCCCATTAATAGACGAAGCACTGATAAGGCCAAGCAGGACAAATGTCAAATGCATTGTAAGTAAGAGGTAGTGTATCGTGGACTTTGACAACTCTAGTTTAGTCTCTTGTGCAACTCAACTTGCAGCCGTTTATTCTAAGGGCTTTTCCGTAATTTTGATTCAATACTGGTCAGTAAAATCCCCCATTAACACAGAAGCTATCCAATGAGTTCATTAAGCAACTATATAACAGGAAACATTTGTAAACAGAACAGTATATATCGTAATATAACTAGCTATAACTGCTAAACATTTGACGGTTTGACGAACCTGTTAGGAAATAGTAAGCCAACATCGAAACCTACTTTAAATTAACGAGGATACTTGAAATGCAATATTTTGTTTCAGGCCGTTTTCAGAATGTGTAATTCTCTCAATATCTTCTTCTTTAAGAAGAAAAAAGCTGCAATTTTGCAGTGCTTCTTAAAAATACATTTGGAGGCCTTTGGTACTTCAAGCTTCTTACTTTTCAGGTCTTTTTTCTTACTTCTTCACTTCTTACTTTTCCGGCCTGTAAGACCAGCACTTTGCAAGCTTCATATTTTGTCCGTATTGTGAAACTGTGGAACAACTTATGCAATGAAGCCTTCCCTAGTGGTTTTACGTCATGTCCGAGAACTTTCTAGAAATCAACCGATACCGGCATGGCTGTGACGTCGTGCTGCAACACAATTGGCCAATCAAACAATGCCTTCTCCATATATATTAGGGTTTTCTTTGGCGGGAAAACGAAGAGGCCATGTTTTGATCATTCATCGATTCGCTGAGAAAACAAATAACAAACACTTACCAAAACCATTTCAAAGTCACAAATCGCTTTAACAAGCTGCAGAATTAAGATTTTGCTTATTTTTTCTTTTTTTTTTTTCTTTTGAGGCACCCTTTACAATCTAAAGCTAAATAACTTCAAAATCGTTCAAAGATTGACGTTTTGGGTACATTATTTTTGCAAGTTCTGTTTTGTATCATTAAAAAATAATAAACAAATAAAATAATGATTTGGAGGTAGCACATCCACAAAATGGTTCTTCGTCTACTTGATTCCTTGTCGAATTGGAACTAGGAAATGCTGGTTTTTGAGGAGAGGAAAAAACTGGAGTACCCGGAAAAACCTCTCGGAGCAAAGGAGAGAACCAACAACAAACTCAACCCACTTATGGCGTCGACGCCGGGACTTGAACCAGGGCTACATTGGAGGGAGGCGAGAGCTCTCACCGCTGCGCCATTTCTTGCTCCACGGCCTCCTGTCATTGGCCTCGAAGGCCTTCTGAAGCCAAAACACCGGTATGATGAAAAATGTTAAAGTGAGTAGCATTGTAGTTTGGGGTCATAAGATGTTGATTAAGTTCCTTTTCTATACAAACTATAAAAATGAGTGAAAGCATATTCGATGAATAGACCAATTTCGATATATGAAAATTTACACTTGGCTCCGAAGCTTAAGGAATAAAACAAAAGCAATCATCTTGAAACTCAGCAATGAATAATTCATTTCGTTTGTTTTATTCCTCCAAGCCTCGTAGCAAAGAATAAATTTTTGATATAGCGAAATTGGATGACGTCAACTTTATAAGAATATTTTTGCTATCATCCAATTTACAGCCATTGCCAACAATCTGAGGTCAGCGGGCTGCAGTCTGGTGTCTGGAAATATCACGTACACCTTTAATATCAGCTCATATTTATTGCACCAAGATGTATTCAAAGGTTGTCCATTATCCGCAGAGCTTCCTGATGCAACCCCACATTTGATGGAACTATCTGGCTCCCCCTCCATGCCAAATCACAGCTATTGCAGCCGCTTTGGTCGTTCCCACTCCCCCTCTGTCCCTCCCGCCTACCCTACCCATTTCCGTCCTCCCCCACAATAAAAGTAACCTGATATTCGTTCCAGCTTGATAACACTCAGTTAGTTTGAAAAAAGGGGCTTTTTTTCTTTTTCAAAGAAGCTTCGCGCTTTATATCACTCATACTCTCAGTATGATTTTTATTTAACTTTCTTTTTCGTCTTTCTCTCTTTCTCACTCTCCCTCATTTTTTATGTTATGATTATAATCAAGTATTTAATACCTTGGTTTAGTATTTTCCCCAAAGGAAAATAATTAAAGTATGGTCGCGACAAAAGTGCATAAGGGAAAAATTAAATCGAAAACCAAATGTCTGGGAAATTCTTGTGATTCAGCTTTTTAAACCTGCATATTTTATGGACGTTTTGAGATTAATTTTCCCCGTTTGAAATTAAAATTTGAATGTTTAATTCAAAATGACTACATTTTTAACAACTCGCGTTTACCCAAACGGACTTAATTGTGGACATCTTTGGCAAGTGTTTGTATCATCTTATCATATGAATAAACATCATTCCAGCTGTTAAAACTGTCCGGGGGAGTACTCCCTTATGTAAGCCACATAGATAGGTATATATATATATATACCGCCCAAAAGGGTATGGTTTCTGCGCCGTTTTGATCTGAAAACGGGTAAAGACTTTTCCCATTTCGGGTCTTGAATCGGATATCATTTCTCATCAGGGAATTGCCAGAAGAACTGAAAGAGTAATATGCAAATTGGAAGTGGGTTTTAAGAAATCCTTTTGATGCCCTTCTAATCTAACAGTCAGAATTTCTGCCTAAGTATGTAGACATGTATGTTGTGTTTTGTGATCTCGGAGATCCTCCAGGTCTGAAAACAAAACGACAAGGTCTGGAAAAGGGTGTCGAAAATGACAATTTTTGGTCTGAAAGGGGATGAGAATTTGTAGAATCGGGCGATTCACCCCACCAAGAGTTTCCAGGAGTACACCTCCCCACCCCCCCGGGGATAACTTCATTCAAATAACTCGTTTCTAAAAAATCCATCAAGTTTTCAAACAAAGAAAAATTCCGTTTGATCGTTTTATTTGTTATGACTTTAAGGGTGGCTGTTTCCCTCTATCTCTTCAGTTTAAATCTAAACAATCTTTCAAATATAGAAACTCCGGAGAAACGAACTTGCTAATTTTGCAAGTTGATCTTTTAAGCCTCGTTATGGTGTAGCGAAGTAAATTGCCACATTGACTAATACTGTATTCCAAATGTTTAATTGGCCTCCTAGGTTGATTGAAGGCAATCTACAACTTTAATGTAGATTTCGCGACCATGCTAAAGTCAGTTTATTTTATATATTTGTCAACGTAACTCGACTGGGAAGCTGATACCAATATTTATTCAAAATAACTGTTAAGATATTTGTCTCCCTCGCACATTCCGTCCAATTTACCTGTCACTGTGTGAACATCTGCTTCACGTAGGTTTTGTCTTAGCAAAATAAGTCTAGAAGGTCAATGCTCTATTTTTCTTCGTGTTTAAGCAGCCGGGCTACGTGTTTTTAAACCTGCGTGAAAGATCATGTCTGTCTTGAGAAATGATGTCAACAGAGCGACTCTTATTTAACCAAAACGTAGTTATAGAATTTGGATACAACGCCAGCTTCTTCTCTTTTCTCGCCGGGCGGCATCAGGGAAAATGTCATCTCCGTTGTTCTGCCTCGCTATTCTTACATTGGCTTCATTGACTTCTGCTGAGTAAGTACCAACAAACATAACATTTATTGATATGAACATTAGTACATTTCTTTAAAAAGAAACCGCTATTTTATCTCAATGAAAATTAAATTTTCCATATGAAAAGTTCGAACGACAATAAACTAACACCAGGGTATATTAGCTTTTTTGTAAAGTAGTATTACCTTCTTAGTGAATAGAATAGTTTTAATGATTCAGTTTTTATTAGAAGTGATAAACCGAGGAATATATAGTACCCATTTGTGCGTATGGTAGGCGCATTTAAAGAATCAATTCCCAACGTTACGAGTTGCGATCAAAGGAGTTGTTAGAAGGACGTTTTCTTCGCTTAAGACTACCATCGTAGAATAGCTTTCACTCTCTAAGCTATTAAAACATACCTATAAATTTTTACTTGCCCTTCAGTGTTTTCAACGGTTCATAATGGGACATTTAGTTTAACAGATTATTGCTTGTCAACCTCCTTTTTTTTCAAGACATTCGCTAGGAAATAAAGCAGCGACTGACATGTAAATTATGATAAAGCAGGCATACCAACCATCGTTTATCGTTTTTTAAAGTTTTTAGATCTGATCTTGAATACATTATCCATAATTGAAGAATAAACTTCATTGAGAAACAACAAGCTCATAGAGAAAAAAAAACACTTTTACTAAATTTTGCCTCCCAAAGTCATTTCTTTTTTAAAAGAGACTAAAAATCGTTTTGTGTTATAAAATTAAAATATACACCCTGTGTTTTAAGTCGAGTAAAATTTATAAAACGTTGTGGGCTGTTTTCCTAACGACGTTTTTATTGCATGTCTACTCATACTCAGTGACATCATCAAGCACGTTTTCCTGCCTTTTATAAACAGCTGGTCTGATCAAAGTTCATCTTTACTTTGCTCGCCCAAGCATCTATTTTTCTTCCTTTTTCCTTAATTTCCTTTGATGTTAAAAATATACATATGCATACTTTTCGAACAATCGTTTTGAATTCATTGTTTTAAATTAAGTTCACCGATTCTTTGCCTTTTATGCCAGTGAGCTTCAATAAAATTTTAACTGAATTCTCATTGCAATTAAACCTTTATTTTTAAAAACTCCATTAACCTTCAGCTGCTGAATTTAGAGGAAATGGAAGTCTTTATTTAAATTTTTGTGACATTTTATATTCTTTTCCACGCGACTGTTCCAATTTTGTCATACCCGCAAGCGATTTAAGAACTTGATCAATAAGTAGAGAGGGCTTGTTCAATCTATAATTTAGGATTAAGAGGTTTTACAGTTTCGGTTTTTCTTCGCATTATAAGACCATTTAATTCCCACCTTTTTTTCATAGAAGTTGGTTATGACTTTTACAAAATGCCTATTAAACAGAGTTAAGCCATTGTTTAAATATATAACAAAAACGCTTTCTAAGCCATTTTCTCTTTACCCAGCGGTTTATCTAAACACCGTCAGTCGTGAACATTTTCATGGAACCAAACAGGGGCTAGAAAACATATATCTTCTTGAACTGATATTAAGCCACTTAGGAAAAGATCAGGAGGTTCAATGATTTCCTAAACCGCGACCTAAGTTTCTAGGCGCGCGTTCATCACTACCTAGTTTGGTTGCTTTCATGCTCGATTTTATAATTTTTATTTGACTATGATTTCATGAACTCCACCAATTTTCCCTGAGGGATAATTTATGCTATGGTTCAATAATATAACCAAGGACCACTAATGAACAATAAATCAACAATGGCATAAGATTAGGTTATGGCTGTTCACACGAGTATGTTTTAGTTTCTACAGTGTGTTCTGAAACGTGCGTTAACACGAGTTTGTAAACGCAAGCAGTAGTAACGTTTTTATACTTGTCCACAAAGATAATTGCTGGTTTATTCCACATGAGGTCATAGCGGCAATTTTAGTAGTCTCCCTTGAGAACTAAATTCTATTTTTGTGGAAATTCTCCTCATTGTATTGACCATGCATTGTATATATTGACCACCAATACGGGCCGACTTGTCACGTGATTGCAAACCAACAACGACAAATCAGAATGCGACTCGGTGCTTAATTTCTTGTTCTGCCATTGGTCAATTCGGTTTTAACGACTGCCGGCCTCGTCGTCTCTGTTGTTACGTTGACGGCATCCGGGAATAATATCTCATTCAATAGTTTTAGTGAGCTAAGCAACTCTGCACGTGTAACAAGCTTTTCTGTAAATTTTTTCACCGTTCCTCAACAACTACGACAAAACTACGGGGAGAAAAAAAAACAAGCTTTGGCTACGTCCACTCTAATCCGGATATTTTTGAAGCGTTTTTTTTTTTTTTTTTACTTTTTTAAACAAATTAGCCTTCCGTCCCAAGAAACCAACAGGAAGCTTAAGTCTAGCTTAAACACCCACGACGGCGACGGCTACAAAAACGTCACTTGAATTCGCGCTGCCTCAAACTTTATCGCGCTTATTCCATCTCATTTAATTCGTCAAATGTGGTCAATTTTTTTGGAATTGAATTCTGAAGGACTGTACCAAAATTCAGGAAAAGAAAAAGAAAGTTGTTGTCTTGTGGTCCCGTCCTCGACAAAAAGTGAAAATAGGCACTTTTACGTTGTAGTCGCGCAGCAACGGCAGAGAAATGTAGAAAAAAGCCTGATGAACGTGCAAAGTTGTTGTTTTAACAATCTAAACCGATTGCTTTTTTGCCGTTCTCATTGCCATCGCCGTCCTCGCTGCTTTAGCTCCCTAATGATTCCGCTCAAGGAAACCGCATCTTTTTGAAACCGCTCCCCAGAGTGATTTAACGTTCCGTTTACACGATTCCGGCCTTACACCTTTAAACGCTAAGATGAAAATTTGAATTCTCATTTGTTGCCCCTATTCATTTCCTACAGAAGTAGTGGGGAGAAGTTGATCAATCAAGCAAATTCATCTAGTGTGATCATGTCTGTAATTCTCATGACCACTCTGTTTTACAAAGCATTGATATTACAAGGAGAAATTTGATGCTGATCACTCTTAGGGCTTAAGGGTTAACTTTTCTAGAGGATGTGATCTTGAACGCAAAGGTGATAAATTTTATCGTATCTATTTGAGCTTAAAGTCGTCTCATGTAAACAGCAAACAAAAAAAATAAAAAATAAGGGGTAGATCGGACAAAATGTACGTCTTTGCGAGTTGTGAACGATACACTGAGTCAAGGCAAAATATTTAAGTGTGCAGGTGGGAATTGGAATGGTTTCATAATCAAGCAAGGTGACGGAGGTTCTTAAACCTCTTAAACGGAAATTAGGGATAAGTTCCCCTTAAAGTCATTGTCCAAGTTTTTAAAACCTTGCGGGCATGGAAAAGAATTGGAGCAGTCACGTTCAAAAGAATAAAAACATCATAAAATTTACATAAAATAAAATTACCCCAGTGTTCTTCATTTTAAATTCAGCAGCTGTACGTTAAACTGCACGGTTTTAAAAATAGGGGATAATTTTTACACTGTGGCCAAGCACTGGGCATTCTGTTCAGTAGAAATTAAGGGAAGGTCATTCGCATAAAATAAAAGGAATCGGTGCGCTTAAAAAAAATACTCTCTTGATTCGGTCAACAATACTAGAAAGATGGGCTGGCGAATTTAAGAAAAAAGAACGATGGTCGTACGTTTTAATAACCCGCTTTAATTCGTTGGTTAATATCAACGATCAAATATAGTGAGAGCAGATGACACAAAGATAGTGAAAATCTTGCTAAAAGAAATTGAGGCAGAACCATTTTATAATCTTTAAGGAATTTGTTGCCCAGGGCTCCAACGTATTTTCTTTGGAGAAGATTGAATAAAGGTGTTTTTTTTTTTTAAAAAATAGTACTGCAAAGGGCATTTTCCCTTGTGGTATCTGATTTAACTTCCCTTTTGCCTCTTTGAAATTATTACGGGTGAAACATCCGTCAGGAAAAATGGTCGTATTAATCCGTTTTGACAAGAACATGTAATTATAAGCCAGCTATATATATAGCCTAAATTTCGAAGTCTATAGGCTGTTGAGCTTCGTTTCTTTCACAATGAATTTGAAAACGGCTTTATATTTTACAACAAACAGATGTTTTACAACGGACAAAAAAGATCTCAAAAACTGGTTTCACGCCAACATGCTGATCATCTTTTATCAGTTGTACTAGCAGTTAAAGAATAAACGCCTACGGTTTAAACTTTTCAGGCGCTTTTAAGAATAAGGCAATTGTCAATCGCCCAAAGTCGGCTATTCATTATGGCTGATATAATTGAGAAATATAGGGGCTCTTTGGTCAGATAATTTTTAATTTAACAATTTAAAGTCAGTTTTTTATCTCCATTGATAACAAAGTAGATGAACAAAGAAAGGACGCCAACTCAACCTCTCCATAGAATGAATTAAATTGTGGAAAAACTGCATCAAATTTATTCTTGTAAAATGGATAAAGAAGAATGCAGTATTTTTTTCTTTCCTTATTTTAAAATTAAATTTTGGAACTTTTTATTGTTGTCGTTTAACAGACGTGCTTTTTATTCAAAACAAGCAGGATATAATGTTGAAAAGGGCCTCTGGTGTTGATTTCGTACTCAGGGTTACCTGTCATAGTTCAACCATTGGACGTTAAGGCAAACTGATACCCCACGGTGTAACCAGGAACACAAAACCTAGGAGATCCTTCAGTTCCTTCAGTTCGAGGCTATTAAACGTATCCGTGGGCGTTGGATATCTTTCAAGCGAAATGATGTGAAATGGGCCTTGCTAACATATGTCTGCTGCACTTTATCTCTTAACTGTAGACATGCCCCCTAGCTAGATTTCATAATCAATCCAGTTAAATTATCATCATTAATTGGCCCTTTTCTGATCTTACTCGTCCTTGCAAGAAACCTTGACCTGTATGGTTTAAAGGCTGAGAGTTATCTGGCACAAAAAAAATACCCGAGGTTCTCCAAGGCTTGCATTGGTCTTAAAATATAGACTACATTTATAGGTATGCCCCGGCGCTAACTAAAAGAAATTACCGTCTTTTAGGGAAAAGGTCATTCGTATCTTTCCTGGAAACAATGAACAACTTGAATTCCTCAACTCTTTACAGGATAACCAAGACCTTGAGGTGAACGAAGTCATTTAACATTTATTTATTTACTAATTTGTCATAAGCATTTTTTGGCTCCAAATCTTGTTACTAAGGAGTGAATAAACAAATACTTGTCTAACATTGCCTTTAAAGTTGTACATCCCTAGTTTATGCTTTAGTTGAAGCTATTGATATACAGTCGACTCTCTATTAACGGACACCTCTATAAGACGGACACCTCTGTAAAACTGACACCTAGAGTTGGTCCCTGCCTTTCTTTACTCCTTTTATTTGACTCTTTATAAGACGGACATCTCTCTAAGACGGACACCTAGAGCTGGTCCTTGCCTTTCTTTACTCCCTTTATTTGACTCTCTATAAGACGGACATCTCTCTAAGACGGACACCTAGAGTTGGTCCCTGCCTTTCTTTACTCCTTTTATTTGACTCTCTATAAGACGGACACCTCTCTAAGACGGACACTTAGTGCCGGTCCCAAAGGTGTCCGTCTTAGAGAGGGTTGACTGTATAGCTACAACTTAAATTACCCAACAGTGTTCGCTCCCATTGACTACTTGAGGTCATTTGACCACCTTTGCATGATTAAACAATGCAACTCTAATTTCCTGTGAGTGGAAACACTGAGCGACGTCAATCCATTCGTGGAAGACCTAAATATAATGCCATGGAACACTTCACAATCTCTCTGTCATCATGATAACACATTGCTACCATGTCTCGAATTATTTATTGTCTTTTTTCTTAAGCTTAATTTTGAATGACCAACCATTAAAGTCTCTCCGCGTACTTATTTGTTTAGCTTTTGTTTGTTTCCATTCTGTAGCTGGACTTCTGGAAAGCTCCTCATAAAGTTGGCCTTGCTGTTGATATTCACGTGACTGAGCATGCGTACAAGATTCTCGCAGTGCAGCTGAACAAGAAAAGTATTCAGTTTCAAATTGTCATTTTTGATGTAGAGAAGTTGATGGACGAGGAAAATGCCGTACAGACACGAGGAATGTTGGTCAGCTTTTACAGCAAATATCATCCATTGCCCGAGGTAATACGACATTTATCTGCTAATTAAATGGTTTGTGTCTGCTAGGCCGCGTTGCAGCTATCCTGCGCATCGTCTAAGCCGTATACAAGCGGTGTAGAGGGTCTGTGACGCAGGTTAATGTCTGCCCGCAGCATAGGGAATGAAGGAACGGAAGATACTTCACCAAACTACGGTTACCAAACTCCGTGCTATGGCCATTACCTTACGCGTGCGTACAGCAATATCCCATCATCAGAGCCACTGTTTTGCCCTCATTAGGGCTCATCGGCAGGGCATGGCTGTCAAGCCCCTAAACCACCAAAAGGCCGTGCTCAGATGCCTTTTACTTTCGAGACGACTACAGAATTTGGTGATGTGTGCTTACTTGCTGACTTTGGTCTGAGTGATTAAATCAAACCACAACATGCAGACTAAACGTGCTATTAGAAGTGTAACTTTTACATTATAAGGTCATTTTTGATTTATGAAATAAAATGTCGAGGTGGATCTCGCGCAAATGCGTGCTTAAGGTCATTATTCCAGGCGGCAATAAATCCCAATCTTACGGGCTGCGGGCTTAACCCTCTTGGGATTTCTGCATTTAAGGCCTAAAAACAATGATGCAAAAACGAAACGAATTATCCTTGAAATGTGGTATTCATGGCGCGTACATTCTTTAAACTATGCATTAACTGAAAACGGTTAATTAATAAAACTCTAGATCGAGGAGGAGATGCGAAACCTAGTAAACCAGAATCCCAGGATGGCGAGATTGTTCAGTGTGGGAAGATCATATGAGGGTAGAGAACAACGGGCTATTGAGGTAATTATGAATACCATACACTACAGTTTTCTTTGATTATATTAATATTTTTCCAACTACAACTGTATGTGCTTTTTCATCTTAACTGCATTGATTTAAACTGAAGTGAGGCTAAATGTATAAATTCCTCCGGTTAATAATGAAATTGGATGGATTCACTGACTGAAGATACAAATGTAAATTCTGTATAACAAGGCAAGCATACAAACAGAAAACACGTTTTGTCGGCGTAGGACTACAAGATGCTTTGATGTGCATGTGTAACTAGAGTTGGTTGAATTTGCATTAACAATTTTATTTTAGCAAACAAGTTTCGGCAGAGACCTCTCCCTTCTTCAGTGCTTTGATATTGAGTTTGCTCTAAAAAGCTAATTAAATTTTGCGTTTAAGGCGTTGTCCTTTTCTGACTTTTGCTTGTATTTTAGCTGAAAGGCAAACCAAGACCAAACAAAAAGACTTTCTTTATGAATTGTGGAATCCACGCACGAGAATGGGTTTCGCCGGCAACCTGCATGTACATCATAAAACAGGTGGGTGAAAATTAGTCAACACATCCACTCCTTGAGGACTGCGAAAGTTAAGCCACGGCGAAACTTCGAACTTTTCATGAGGCGAACCAGCTCTGATTTGGGTCGACCTAAATTAAGTTGTAAGATCGTCCGTTGGGTCAGATGTCGAACTGAGGAAGCTTCGGAACCAATCAACTAAATAAGACCAAAAAGCAATTTTTGGTGGCCAGCGGGTGTTAATTAATTAATTTTCTCCCGAACGAGAACGAGGCTAAATATACATTGTCATACAAAATTGTTAATTTATTAGTTTACTTGGTCGCTCGTGAAGATCGACGTTTGTCCCGGAGACGATCTTCAGACGTTCTAACAGGGGCACCCAACGAGAGTATAGTTCAAAACCACTTAAACATAGCTTGTTAAACGTATTTTAGTATTTAAACGGTAGATATAGGCATATTTTATCCCCTAAAAATTTTTCATCTGTTCGGATTTCTTAGCTGAAAGTCTAGTGATCCGAAAATTATAGGGATCAAAACTTACCTTTTCGAAAGTTTTAGCCAGAAAAAAGACTCCCGAAAATTCTAGGTGACCTTTTTAGGGTAAAAATCCGTTAAAAATGGGCAATTATACCATTTTATTAAAAGTTCGAAAACCTTAGGAGAGGTAAACAAGCAAGAATTTTACCAAAAAATGTTCCGAAAATTCTAGATCTCAAATCGTCTTCTGAACAGATATTTTCCGAACATTGACGTTGGGTGCTCCTGGTTCTATAAGTCTGAAGCAGACATATAAAGCGTGTTGGACGATCCAAACTCATTCAGACGAACGTAACTGAGCCAGACGTCGAACTTTTCATGCGTTTGGCATAGGCCTTAGACACCCACCATTTCTGCCTTACTTCTGCTATAACTGCACTAATAAATTAAAATGCTTCATGGTCTTAGATAGCCAAACTAGACCTCTGAACGCGTTGATTAGCCTGTTTGTGTTCAGCGGTTTAAACGTTAAAATAAATAGATTGGGATCAACTCTGCATTATCCACAAATTCTCCAGAATGATTTCAATACATTTCCTTAAATAATTAGTTGAGAGAACTTGATAAATGATCTAAGCAGTTTCCCTTTGGTGATCAATTTATTATTTGTCATATCATAATCTATTGATTATGTATTGGTATTGTTAGGAAAATGATTGATGTGGTCACTCCTGGCTTTTTAAGGATTAAAATCCAAGTTTACTCATTCCAAATAGTTTTAAAATTATTACAAGCAATTTTATGCCTGAGTTCTAAGACAAGTTGTTTAAAAAATGAGGGAAACAGGACCCACCCATCGTTAAACTGAGTAAACAAAGATTTACAAAAAGGGGAGAATATAAAAAGTTGAATTCTTCAGTTAAATCTGCGTCACACATTTATATTTACTTTTTAAATGTCGTTAGATCGTGTCCAAATACGGAAGAGACAGCAGCGTGACAGAAATGTTGGACAAGATGGATTTCGTTATCATGCCAGTCTTGAATGTTGATGGCTATGTGTTTACATGGAATAAGGTACAAGTAATGGCTAGAAACCAATTCATTTTAACCCTTTCACTGCCAGAGAGGATTATGGAGGTTTGTAAGGTGCCCGAACCTCCATAACGGAAAAGCACAAATACAAAGTAAGTTTGACGAATAGGTGTTCTTTAATCTCACCCCGCATTCAGCATAAAGTTGTTCGTCTTGTAGCACTAACTGTATTCGCCGTAGGTTTCTGATTACTTAGTTTCTTACAATAAAACTTTCGATAAGAGATAGTCCGTCAGCACTCTTTCACTACTTGTGCGTCAACTTTCCCAAATGTGTTAGCGTAACATTTTAAGGTTAAATTTGACCAGCATTTTGCGCAGCGAGTTGTATATGATGGTCACGACTTCAAACTATGTCTTGCAGAATGATATAAAACTAGAGACCACTGAGGCCTATTTGCTGAACTTAGGGAAAAATCTGTCCTGGGATTTCAAAGTTATTTACATTTTTTGTAAAAATGCGGTTTTGAATCATTTTGCCGATATCTCAAAAGTTTTAACGTGTACAAGAAAATAGATAATATTTTCTGAAAGTTCGATCGTTCTTTGTTAAAGATGCCAAAACTCATAGAAATCGGTTTAATCTTTCCTGCTGAAAAACGCGAATAAAAAACATAACCATCACGTATATAGATAGGTTCGGGCACCTTGAATGCTCACGAAAATAAAAGTGTAGTTTTTTGTCGCCCCTGGGATGTTGTTACCAATTTACGATATTGCGTGGTAACTTCAGCTCCGATCAAATTTGTGTGGCAAAAAAACCCGAAATGTGGTGGGCAGCCGCCTTATCAAGGTGATAAACTTGGACAACTTTAAATTCCAAATGACGGTCACGTGTGACTGTTTCTGTACCGCTGAAAAATGAGTTTATAACGTGTGATGAAGTTTTGCATCAATTCAGGTTTCTAAGAAACTGCCCACCTACCCCTCCCCCCCTCCTCCCAACCCAACATTTTGCCCTAAGTGAGAAGTAAGTGATAATCTTAGCTTAGGGGAGGGGTAGGTGGGTAGTTTTCCAGAAACGTAAATTGATCCGAACGCTATGCACTGACCCTGAGGTTATGGGCAGTAGTTGCTTTAGTATTTGGCATTTATTTATGAGTTCCTGTCGCAACTTAATAGTCCAGCAGAAGAAATAGATTTTGGAGGAAGACCCGCAAACCAAACGAGGGATCAAGCTGTGTTGGGACTGATCCCAACAGAAACTGGGATTACAAATGGGGATGTAAGTACACTACTTAACCTCCTTAACCGCGGTCGGCAAACGAGAGACATTTTTGCAACAGCTTTAAAGGGAACCTCCACTTCAACAAAAAGATAACTTTAAATCACAGGAAATAACTGTTACAGTCAAGTCAATCTAAAATATTTTTAAAGAAAGCGTTTGTATCCGAAAGAAATAACTTTTAGATTCGCCTATTTTTGTTTTCAAATTTTGCGGGCGTCGCCATCTTGAATAATTGTGACGTGTAATGGTTGCCCTATTGTTATTAAACAAAAGCTCTTTGTGTCAGAACAATAGAGCAACCGTAACACGTCACAATTATTCAAGATGGCGGCGCCCGCGAAATTTGAAAGTGAAAATAAGCGATTTTAAAATTCACTTTTCCTGATATAAACACTTTTTTTAAGACAAATTTCGAACAAATTTGTTTATCAACATAATTTTATTCGATTTCAACTTATTCTGTAGTAAGAGTGGAGGTTCCCTTTAACAATTAGCAAGTACTTCAAATCTAAGTTCGTCATTTTAAAGTTTAATGTATTACCACAACGCCGGTAGTTCGACGAGGCCTGCCTGAGGTCTTTTTCACAAGACATCGCGGCGGCCATATTGGTGTACCAAACAATGGAACGGCGGCCATTTTGGTGAATCAAACCAATCCTGTGGGAATTGAACTCTTTAATTATGTAAAGACTTCTTTGTTCCAAGAAATTTGCATAGCCACGGATCGCTTAAGTGAAAATGATATCAGTTCTATTATACGTGATGTGCAAAATTTTCAATTTTTACCTTAATTTTGTTAGGTTTGCTCATATCACAGTTTATTTATTCTGCATTTTATTTACTTTCTTTCCTTCTCGAAGCTCTAAACGTGTTTACAGTCAACTCCCGTTGTTACAGATGCGATGAAATAATCCTCTTTTGATACGGACAACTTGCTAATAGCCATTTTGAGGACGAAGCTAAGTCGAATTGTATCTTGGGATTATTGGGGGGAGGGGTTTTTGCCCCCAGTTTCCCGCGCGACTTTGCAATAGCCAATGATAGAGGCGATAGCGTCCGTCAAACATTCCCATAGTGCATTTCGACACGGCACCGACTCAGTTCCAAGCTCAACCTCAAAATGGCAAATAAAGGTCAATCAAGGTCCTAGGGATGCAGTTGACTATACCGCATTTCGTTATCTATAGTACCAGGTGCCAGTAGCAGTCCCTGTAACGACGCTTATCGTGGAACACATGCATTCTCCGAGGTGGAAGTCAGAAATGTGGCAAATTACTTAAAAAGAGCAAGCAGATCAGGCAAAATTGCTGGTTATATGGATGTTCACGCCTATAGTCAGCTCTGGATGATCCCCTGGGGATATACCAGGACACCAACTAGTGACCACGAAGAGCTGGTAGGACTTGGCACCTTTTTATCCATTTCGCTGTACATGTTTGTTCAGTTTAGCGAAATTGTGTGGATTTAATGGGCTGGAGATGTGATTTGATTGCCATGACAATCGCCAAAAATCGGCTGCATTTCTTCTCTGGTGCTTTTGACAAAACATGACGATGTTATAAAGTACTAGCAGAAACCATGCCTTATTTATTCATTTATTTATTTATTTATTTATTTAATCCATTTTTCTCCTTCTATAGATGAGAGTGAGCAAATCCGCTGTTACTGCGATAAGGAACGCTGGTTACAGAACTTACTACAGATATGGGCCATCATCTGTCATAATATGTAAGGAATATATTTGCGGAGCCTGTTACAGGCTATCAATTATAGTTGGAAGGAACGAACAGAAAAACGAACGCGCAAAGTTCGCTTTTCCTTTTCGCTCGTCGCCATTGTCTGGAACAGGCTACTTTTATTTCAACTGTCATTGTTAGTAATATGGGCCTCAAGGGAACAATTAGTAACTCATCACATTGTCATCTATTATTTTTGATTAGTAAAACAATGAGCTTTCCGCGTTAAGCCTTGTCGTTTAAGATGAGTGAATCTGAATTTATTCAGCAAATTCACGAACCAAAGGCCCATATATCACAACCGCTATTCCTGAATGTTTCTTATCTTCGGGTTTAAATTGCAGATCAAAATTCTGGTGGAAGCAAAGATTACACATATGGTGAACTGAAAATCAAGTATTCTTTCGCGCTTGAGCTAAGGGACAGAGGGCGTTACGGCTTCCTGCTACCAGCAAATCAGATCGTACCGACTGCGATGGAGACATTTGAGGGAATCAAGGCAATGGCAAGAGAAATGAGGATCTAATGAGCTTTAAGCTGTTCGAAAATAACCCAGTATTTTGAATAGATTGTCTATTTTAGTCAAAATCCAGTAATAAAGGGTTACTCTGCAGAGAAAAAATAACGATTATGAAGTATTCCCTTTTTTATTTCTTCTTTTGACTTATTATTGACACACGCCGCACTGAAACATTAAAACAACCCGGTGTCAAGAAAACTTGACCCTCTCGGGAGTCGAGCTAAATTTATTTACACCCCCATCATTGCTTCAAGGAGTTGGACTAAAGAGTGTTGTAAACTTTCTTCGTCGTTACTACTATTAAGAAGCCTTTGTTAAATTCTACAAGTTGCTGATGTGCGTATTGTGAGATATGTGGCGCGAGAGGAACCTGCGATATCATTTATTCCGGAATTGGCTACCGCCAATCTAGAACTGAAAATTCAAAATTCAATTCCGTTTTACGGAAATCGGTCACATTTTTCAAAATAAATTCTATTTTAATAATGAAAACACTTTCCAAGTTAAAATTTGGCCAATATCATATCCTGTCTGAATGACTCGGAAACACAGGAAAGGGGACTTAAGGAGTAACAATCCAGAACATTTCCTTGGGAAGCCCGCCCTTGGACCCAACTAGAAGCTTGCGCCTTTAGCGCTCATTTAGGTAATCGGTCAGTATTTATACTAGATCCGCGCTTGCTAGACTATGCTTATTTTGACGAATCTCTGGTTCTCACTAGAGAAATTGGTATTATCCATGTTTGTTAGCAGATATTTTTAAAGCAGTGTTCAGGTAGGGTTTCTAGCGGATAAATATCGTTTTCGTGTGGACCGCCGAAAACATAGGGGTTTCGAAACCGACCTTTGTGGGCATCAACCTCGTCCCCAGGGCTTTTCCCTTAAAAAAATGGGTGGGGAACGAGGTTGTGTGGACATGGCCTTATTGGCTATTTTTGTCGCAATGTACTATGGGACTGTTTGGGACGGTATCACTTCTTTCATTGGGGAGCTTTACCAACGACGACGGCGACGGCAACCAGGACGTCAAAAAAGCAATAGGTTTATTACACAAAACAACAACTTCGCACGTGCATCACGCTTTTTTGTACATTTCTTTACCGTCCTTGCACGACTACGACGTGAAAATGCCTAATTGCAAGTTTTTTGGAGGACGTACACCAGCGACGACGAATCTCTTTTTGTCTCTCAGCTAAACTTGAGTGCGGTCCTCAAGAAATCAACTCCAGGGAAATTCGCCTACACTTGCCATTTTCAGCAAGTTGAAATAAACGCGACGAAGATTGAAAAAACGGGAATTCATTTTAAAACTGACATTTTTGCTGCCGTTGCGGTCGTCGATGCTAAAGCTACCTATTCGCTTTTACAAAGCGGGGGAAGCTGGATCAAAATTCGCCCCCAAATAAAGTCCCATCGTACTTTTCGACACAAAACCGACCCAGTCTGATACGGTCAAACGGTCAATTGTTCTTCGGTCTTTACCAACCAATCAGAATGCATCTTTCCGCGTTATACATTCAAGATGACGAGAAAGGGAATAGAAGTATCTGCCCCCCAAATCAAAAGGTAGTCGACGAGTATCTTGTTCCATGTAAAACGGTAATAATGCACTTCTCCTATGTTTTCGTTGTGTTGTCCGTTTTGACTGGTGTTAGAGTTACAGCAGTAATTAACACTGTTAACAATGATCACCAGTCGGCTGCTATCTGTTGTGACAAGCCCTCTGTGGTTTGCAACTGTAACATTAACACGGATCAGTCCAGTTCAAACGTGAGTGAAGCCATCGAGGCATTAGAAAGGAAAGTGGATCACCTTATTTCACTAGTCAGTAACAGCTCTACTTCCAGCCCTGAACCTACAAACCCACCAGGTAAGCCCCATTAATCTTGCCTGCTCTTTTGAGCTTCGTAACTCAAAATGTGATCCTCAACATGTTCCTAAGAAAGGGTGGATTTGCATAAGGCCGATTTGGCTTTCTGGATAATTGCGAGAGATATGCACCTGTTGTTTATCTCACTTGACTGACCACAGCAAAACCAGATTCCTTCCTTAACGCGCCTATTTTTGGAAGAACGGTATATGGGCCTCAGTCTTTTTAGCCGTTCATCATACGCAACATTATGCAATCTAGAGTCTCAGGACCTTGTTTGTTCAAATATCTAACGTAGCATCGCGATTTTTTTTTTTTTTTAACGGAAGCTAAAAAGGTTATTTCCCTGCAAATCATTACAGTTTTTTTTTTTAAGAATTATGGTCTTATTCATTTGAAATAGTCAATACACAACGTGCTATAAGCCTTAAATTTTTTTCAGTGGCTATTATGTTTATTAATTAGCCCCGTTTTCTCTTTACAGATTACATTAATCCATTCACTTAATGATCATATATTTCACTTACATTCTTTTTGTTATTGTTGTTCAATCTTTAATTCACGTCTCCGTTCTGTTGCGCTGAAAGCCTGGTCGTTTTGTCTTTTTCAGGAATTCCCGTTGCTTCATGCAAAGAACAGTATGACAATGATCCGTAAGTTATAAAAGTGGAAACCTAGTTAGTTTGATCGAAACAACTATATACAAAGAATTAGTGTTTAAAAATGTTTGATATGATCACATAAAAATAATAATAATTAAAAAATAAAGAACACATAGACACGACTGCAAATCATCTGATTATAAAAATCCAGTTAATTAACGGTAATTTCAAATGCAAAGGCCATACGAAATTTTTGAAGTAATTGAACAGACATCTTCGGTAACATTTTGTTGCTTGAGCCCCAAATCAACACTAAGAGAAGGAAAGTCGCAAACCAGCTAAACAAATTTTTGATTAACTCATCGTTAATGCAAATTCGATTCAGTGGTATTGGCGTTCTGTTGATTAACAGAAGTACCCTTTTTGATAGCGTTTATCACAGAACTACTTTATAGACTCAAATAATTAAATTACATCACTATGGCCAAATGATAAAGTTAAGTTCAGCTAGTGTGGGATAAAAAATATTAAAATTTTTATTTTACGTTGAAGACTTACAGTACAGCTGAACAAATAACTCTGACGAAATATCGACGATCGATACCCAGATTATAAAACAAAACAAAATCTACGTGTTGTTTGTTCTAATTTCTGACTTCAGTAGTGGGTACAATACTTATAACAATTTTTAAAGATCGTGTCCCGCTTAACTCTGTACCCTTTTTCAGTAACCTATCAGGCGAGTCTTCATTGCGTACCTTGTCGGAAATACGTCATACGCTTTGGACTGCACTTGCAGTCTTTAATCATAATTTATGTTCCTTCTCGTCCTTAGGAGCTCAATCAGTCAGGTATACAATATCAACTTTGGCTTACAAGAAGTTCCTGTGTTCTGTCACATGGGAGATTTTGGATGCGGCGATGGAGGTTGGACTCTAGCAGTGAAAATAAACGGATCCAAGGTATGCTACAGATCAGTGATATATTCCAGTTGGTAGCAAACATAACAATGCCGGATCCACGGAGAAGTCTGGGTGTGTCTTTCCTCCGAATCTTCCATCAAGCCCCCAGGGCTTATTTATTTCCAGCGCCTTTGAGGGGTAGGGGGTAGCCAAAATTGGCCTAAATGTGTCTCGCAAAAAAGCTGGGAAAGACATTGAAGAAAATATCTTCTGATTCAAAATCGTGTAAAAAATGAAAGTCGTCACAATCAGTGGCATCCACCTTCCTCTTCCTTCGCCTGAGTGATAATAAACGATTTCTTTGGCATTAATTTTCAGAGGACATTCCACTATGATTCTTTTCTGTGGAGCGACACGAACACATACAACGTTGCAGGGGGAAAAACTGGCTTTGACATGAAAGAGACCAAGTTGCCTTCCTATTGGGCCACACCCTTCACAAGGGTCTGTCTCGGCATGAGAATTGGCCAGCAGGTAAAGTTCGTTCCGGTTGACATGAAAGCCAGCTCTCTGCACTCTCTGATCGCGGGTGGTGTCTTCCAGGCGACCTCTTTGGGTCGTGACAAGTGGAAATCGCTGATTGGCTCATATGCCTCCTTGCAGACTGGCTGCAATCGAGAAGGCTTCAATGCAGTAGCCAGTCAAAGCGATTCGGCCAAAGCAAGAATTGGTATTCTTGGAAATGACCAGGGAGATTGCGTTACTTGTGATTCTAGGATTGGGTTTGGCACAGGAGGTCACACTGATGATTCCAACACTTGCGGGGACAACACTCCAAACGGATTCACGTCTGATAACGGAGGAAGAAACATTAAAGCCATGGGATATATATTAGTTCAGTAGCGTCAGGCGGGAGTCAGGAAACACGGGGAGGTAGGATGAGCGTTTGTCCTTCTCCCTGGGGTACGGTTCTACGTTATAAAAAAAAGTATCGGGGGTAGCTTTGCGTTGTAAGTTAAAAGTAGCTCGTTACACTGGGGTTTCGCTGAGAAAATTTGTCATTGTTTTAACTATGATTAGGGAGCTGTAATAAATACTTGAAACAAACTATCTTTTTTGGTGACTAATACGCGTTCATAAATTTAAATATAAATCTCTCTTCGACCTCTTTCATTAAATTGAAGTCATGCAAGGCACGTAGCAGTCCCTAACCTTTCTAAAAATAACATAGGATTTTCTGTGAAAGGCTTGAGCGCCGGACTCGTTTCGTAAGTAGGTTGAGTATGATCGTCCGGGTGAACGTAGTCCTGAGTAGGAATGTTGTTGTTGTTGACAGTGACTGACGTTTCGACAACCTGTGCGGAAGTCATTTTCAGAGTCAAAGTGATTTGTATCACGTCAGTTGCATGGTATTAAACTCTGGTTGTTGACCTGATTGCTCAATTAAGTGGGATAAGGAGGATATTTTTTATATGGGCAAAACATCGCTATGTCATGTGATGTCCCTATTTCCGATCAACAAGATAGAGGTGAGACGAACAAACCCAGTAATATAGGACTACTCGCAATGATTACACTGCTTTCATTCATCGGAGTGGTCGCTGTAATGTTTGCCACGAATGGCGTCACGTCACTACCAGTGGATTTGGCCAAGAAATCCTCAAACGATTGCGGCAAGTCTGTAGTCTGCAATTGTAATTTCCATGCCAATGGGAATGCCGGGGAATCGGGTGTCGTTATTGCAGAGATAAAAGAGTTAAAAACTAAAATGGAGCACCTTATTGCGATTGTAAACGCAACAACCCTTCTGAAACCACTACCTACAACACCAGGTAAAATAATTCAATCTTATTTAGTAATAACCATTGCGGTTTCTGAGTTTCTGCTTTATTTTACATTGAAGGCGTTCCTGTTTCTTCGTGCAAGGAACAATACGATAAAAACAAGTAAGAACATATAAAAACACCTATGCTGTAATCTGTCACTGTAGGTTTAAACTGCGAGATGTATCAAAATCCGAAACAACAGAAGGAAAACGCCAAATCAAGCGAAATGAGAATAAGGAAGTGAAAGAGAGCACGTGAGAATTTTGACAGATCTGAAATCCCTTTATCATATATCCCCATCAAAAGCTTAATTGTTGGTCCCTTCAGGGGTTACCACAGGTGTTACGGGGTGGGGACGCGATAAATATGTGTGTATATGAGTGTATTCATTCGTTTCAAGTGGAGGAAAGGCTGATTCATGTAAAAGAAAATGCGGTTTCAACCGAAATATCCGGATACTTGTGGAAATGGCCTAAGTTCTGCGTGACGGGGTACTAAAAGGTGTGCAACCAGTAATTATACATATTTGGAAGTAGGTTGAGTTTGATCGTCTGGGTGAACGTAGTCCTGAATAGGACTGTTGTTGTTGACAGTGACTGACGTTTCGACAACCTGTGCGGTAGTCATCTTCAGAGTCAAAGTGAGTTGTATCACGTCAGTTGATTGTATTATACTCTGGTTATTGATCTGATTGGTCAATTACGTCAATTACTTTCACAGTTATACATATTTGACCACTGTTTCATCTAATCAAACAGTCTTTTTAAAAGTTGATTCCCATTGTCTGCCTCCCCTGAAACAGGTCATTGATTGGTCAAGTATACAAAATTAACTTTGGTTCACAAGAACTTCCTGTGTATTGTCATATGGGAGACTTTGGATGCGGTGATGGAGGATGGACAATGGCCATGAAGATTGACGGCTCTAAGGTGATCCACCGATATTTTGATAAGCCATTTTCACCGCAGCGTCATTTTCGGGGAAGACCCCATGTTAAAGGGGCGGAGCCACTCGCCGGAATACTGGGATTAGACCCCCAGAGGAGACCAATAGATATCAGCTGCACAAGGCAATAAGACTGGAGGGCGCTGTTGGGGTGTGGCCAATCCCCATAATCAGCTAGAAGCTCTTCCTCCGAGCTCCAATATCATAAAATGCCAGCGTTAGTCCCGCGAATGTACATCCCCTTGATCATAATCTGAAGGAGGTATGAGAGCCCACAAAAAAAGGCAGGCGCAATCGAGGTCCTTTCTCGAATCTGGGTGAGGCATCTATCTGACCGTTTTAAGGCGCAGTTTCCTCGATTCCTTGCTGCAGAGGCACCCAAACTCGTTGCTACATCCTTTGCCCACAGTAACTAACTGTTACCAACGTCAATAAACAGTAATTAGAAAACGAAAGTTCTAGCTCAAAATTGTTTTACGAAATCATAGAAAAACATCGAGGGTGTGGCGTGCACGCCAAACCCCCAGCTTTATTGAGGGCTAAATCAGGCTCCTGACCCAGTGAGGCAAACTAACGTTCGCTTATTAGCTTCACCAAGTTAACAAAACAAAGCCACAAAGTTGTCTTAGTTCCTTCCTTCATAAAAATGATTCATCCCCTTTTTAAATTTTAGCAAACCTTCCACTACGATTCGCAGTTTTGGAGCAACAAAGGTACATTTAACCTTGAGGGAGGGAAGACTAGTTTTGACCATCAGGAGACCAAGCTGCCATCTTATTGGAGCACACCCTTCTCCAAGATCTGCCTTGGTATGAAGCTCGGCCATGATATAAACCTCATTGTCCTGCACAAGAAAGCTAACTCTCTTTTCTCTCTGATCGCTGACGGCGTGTACCGCATCACCACAATGGGTCGCAACACGTGGAAGAAGCTTATTGGGGCACAGGCCTCCTTGCAACGAAACTGTAACAAGGAGGGTTTTAACGCGATATCAAACAACAAAAGAAATTCCAGGGTCAGAATAGGCATTGCGAGTAACCAACAAAATGACTGCTCTGGTTCTGAATCTAGAATAGGCTTTGGTGGGGCTGGGTACCCTGTGGATTCTAACACGTGTGGAAACGAGGCAGTAGCCAGTCCAGATAACGGAGACAAACATATAAAGACGATGGGCTACATATTAGTTCAGTAAAAATGTTCTTGTGAATAGACCTTCCCAGTATTCTATTCCAGTGAACACGCATAATTTCTATTCGCATTTATGTTAAGTAGATTTGTGCTTGTCATTCTTCGCCGCCCACGGATATTTGCGGACCAAGCTGCCACTAATGCCATTTCGTGGTAAAATAAATAAATAGATAAATCAATAAATCAATAGATTAACTAGTAATAAACAAAGGTGCGAGCGACAATGACCGAAGGTCAAAACGCTTTTGTTCCAAAGCTGTGCTTTGCGTAGGTTTCACGTGACAGATAACCAAAACACGCGTGATCAGATTACGAGGGGTACAAGGTCGAAACACGCGTGATCAAATTGCGTTCAGTGCATTCCATTCATTCTTAGTGGAAGTCCAAACAAATGCTGGCAACATACATGCGACGCATGCGTAAAAACAGCCTGGAGATTAGGATTGCAGGCTCCTCTTGTCGCCCGCAATAAATAAATAAATAAATAAATAAATAAAGAGGAGTTATTATTTATTTCGTGCCAGATGAATAAGGAAAGAATATTTATTCATGGGATGTAAGTCAGCGTAGAATGTTGAGATTCGATGTGAAGCGAGATCGGGCGATAGTAAAAAAGGGCGGCCATCTTTTTCAAATAAACCGTGGGGGCGAGTGACGGGCCCCCAGCCCTTAAGTATATTTGATACTCATCACCACTAAGCAGTTACCTGGCAAATTTCCCCATATTGGCGAAGTCAATACAAGTTGGGAACAGTATTCTGGTATCCTGTTCTGCATGCCAGTGAGAAATAGCACGAAAACGTCATAGATAACGTGCAGTTAGTCACTGATTCAGATCCCCTTGTTCAACACAAGACAGAGTTAAGACGCTTTTTACAATTATGGTAATTTTCACAATGCTTACTTCGGCCACCTTCCTCGGGATGATCGCTGTAATCTCCGGGAGTGGCGCCAAATCAGGTGACGGAGTGACCAAGAATTCATCAGAAGAATGCAGCAAGTCTGTAGTTTGCAACTGCAACTTTCACGTCCATGAACACGCGGATTCGAGTGTCGTCATTGCAGAGATGAAAGAGTTAAAAGCAAAAATGGAGCAACTTATTGCAATTGTAAACTCAACAACCCTTCTGAAACCAACTACTGCACCAGGTAAATTAAATCAATCTTATTTTCAGGAAGAGGGCGTTTTAGCAACGACGCATTGCGCTTTCTATAATACCAGGGGTACAACCTTCACTAATTTTTTTATCATTATTTCAAAGGGGTTCCAGTTTCTTCGTGCAAGGAACAATACGAAAGAAACAAGTAAGGCGAAAGTGAAGTAATCATGCAGCAGTGTTGCACTTGGATTTAACTGATCAAAACTGCGTCATGTACAGTGTAATAAAATATTATAAAAGCCAAACCAAAAACGAATCTTTCTTCGAAACAAGTGAAAAGAACAAAAACAAGTGATTAAGCGAATGCAAGAGAATTTTGAGAGGGTCACTGCTTTGCTATAACCCAATCCACTTCTAATATCCAAACATTTTACAGTACAATTTGCAAAAAGTAATATAAATCTGTAGTTTACACGTTGTTTTGGTTCGTGGGTGGAGGCGTTGCGTGACGACGAAAAAAAAAAACGGCTCATTGTAGGAGCCTACAGTTTACAGTTGACGCAATGCACCGTGATTAAGACACTCACTCATCCCCCCCCCCCCCCGTGTCACTCCTATTCACGTGGTTTCTTGTCTTTTATTTTACATATTCCATGTTTACTTACGCTAAGTTTACACCACACTGGACGAATTTTCTACGGGTTGGAAAATTTTACCGGACACTTTTATCATTCACACGGAATCGCTTAATATTTTTCCCTTTGTTCAAACGGAACTGGTGAACCAGGTTAATTTTTAACTTTTTATTCAGTATTTTATCATCGGCCCATGCGCATAGCGCATTTGCAAATTAAAGGGAAATTTATATCTGCATGGTAGTTTATTTAAGTTCAGATCAGAAGTCCAAAACAATAACAAGATCCATCATTAAAAAAATAATAACTTCGTACAGATATTTTGCAAACATAGGCTTACCTATCTTCAAATTTGTTTTCTCTTCTTATCCAGCTTTTAAAACTTTTGAGGGTTTTTGTTACACTTTTGGTCAACACTAAGACTTTTACAATTTGTGTCAGTTTGTTCCACGGCTAGCTACTGACAGAGACATCTGTCATGATTGTTTGCCTCTCTTAAACAGATCTTTTCTTAGTCGAGTGTACAAAATAACCTTTGGTTCACAAGAACTTCCAGTGTATTGTCACATGGGAGACTTTAGATGCGGTGAAGGAGGATGGACAATGGTCATGAAGATTGACGGTTCTAAGGTCAGTCAAAATTTTTTTGTTATTAAGCCATTATTGACGATGGTATCCTCGTTTCATGTAAAATTTAGCCTGGTGCATGTTATGTTTTGTTTCGAATCATTTCCCCCTGGAATATCCTAATTTATCGCATACAGGCCTTTAAGCCTTTAGCTAAAGCTTCACGTCGCCCCTTGTCTTGGATTCTGGATTCCAATCGTTATTAGGATTTCCGATTTTTTGAGCTGTATTCCGGACTCCACAAGCAAAGATTTCCCGGATTCCGGGATTCCAGGATTCCGGTGTGATTCACAGGTTTGAGAAAACGAAACCAAAAGGTTGCCTTACATCATCTGGGTTAGGCAATAATGATTTGCTATCATCACCTTCACATTTTAGAGAACTTTCCACTACGATTCCCAGTTTTGGAGCAACAGAGGTGCATTTAACCTCGCTGGAGGGAAGACTGGTTTTGACCACCAAGAGACCAAATTGCCGTCTTATTGGAGCACACCCTTCTCCAAGATCTGCCTTGGTATGAAGCTCGGTCACGATATAACGTTTATTGTTATGTACAAGCAAGCTAACTCTCTTTTCTCTCTGATCGCCGACGGCATTTATCGCAAAACCATACTGGGTCGTAACACGTGGAAGACGCTTATTGGGGCACAGGCCTCCTTGCAACGAAACTGTAACAAGGAGGGTTTTAACGCGATATCAAACCACAAAACAGATTCCAGGGTCAGAATAGGCATTGTGAGTAACCAACAAAATGACTGCTCTGGTTCTGAATCTAGAATAGGCTTTGGTGGGGCTGGGTTCCCCGTGGATTCTAACACGTGTGGAAACGAGGCAGTAGCCAGTCCAGATAACGGAGACAAGCATATAAAGACGATGGGCTACATATTGGTTCAGTAAATCTTGTTTTAAACTCTACGCCCATATATATAATGAACGTGGCCTAAAAGGGTTGCCAGCATTTTAGCACTTAAACGTTGATGGATGATTTCTGTAACGCTAATTATTTTAGACACTCCTACATTATTATCGTCAAGCAAATGCTATCGAGCATTTCAAGATGCGCCTTAAATGATTATAATTTTTTTTAATGGAAAAACAAAAACAAACAAAAATGAAAGTTCTTCTCATCGTCAGTTTTTCAAAGAAGTAGATAGATTATTAACCCCAGATTAAAAACGGGGAGGGGACTGGGTTGAATTAAATTTCGCAAAGACTTCTGGGACTGTTACTAGACAAAGGGGGGGGGGAGAAATGCCTAATAGGTGTCCGGCGCGTCCCCAGTAACAATCCCAGAAACAATTGCGGGCGCATTTCGGCTTCCGTTCCTTTTCGCTTCTGAAGTGGTGAACGATAAGATTTGTGACGGGGGAGGGAGGGGGTTACTGCCATATATGGGCTATATAGGTATGTGCCGCTGTGGAGGGTATGGTTTTCAAGCAGTTTACTCTAGGATAGGGTATACAAATCAGAGCGTTTGGGTCTAGAATAGGGTATCATTTTTCAGGAAACTGATCAGTTGGTTGAAGATTTTATCTAAACTAGGGATTGTGGTATAAGGTTTTGTTTTGGCTAGACTGTGCTAGTGACCTCAGTAGTTTCTGGAAAACAGCTACTCTAGGATAGGGGGGATTTGGGGAGTTTACTCTAGTATAGGGTAGCAAAATTCAGCTGAACTAGCTCTGGTATAGGTTAAGGGTTCCAGGGTCCCAGCGGCACATCCCCACCCAGAAATTCCTAAAGTACCCCCCGGGATTTGTGATTCCTAATCATTATTTTTCTATCCTAATAAGCTGCATTAATTCCCTACATTCTCGTTCTATTATTCGGTTTTGCTCCTCTGGAGCACTCCGCCAACTTTCTGTATTAGCAGAGGAATTTCTAACGGACGAAAATGGTTTGCCTGCTTCTCTGACCAACGCTTCTGAACTTGGACTGGTGTTCACAACGATCCACTTTAAAAGATCTTCCGGCATCTCAAAGCCAGCAAATCTGTAAATCTTTAACGCCGTTTTGATTGGATACTTGGCAATATCTCGGTAATACACTTCCATGTATTTGTTTCGGTACTCTTCTGGCAGGTTTCTGCCATATTTTACGTTTTCTGCAATTCTCGTGCACGGGTATCTCACTTGATGAACAAATGATGAGGAAGTGTGGTTCGGTATCCAACCTAATTTTATCCTTGACGCAAGGCTTCCGCGCGGATCTCGAAGAATTTGAATGACTTTGATATCTGTGTCCGGGTTTTCTATAAATACCTGAGGCACAATACTGGACAATTCTAACTTAGGGACTCGTCCCTGGGCTATTTTAGTAACACTGTGTCGATATCGAGATGCGCACATTTCGGCGGCAAAGTTTGGAACCAAAGAAAGATCTGGGCAAGATTTTTCCCTGGACTCTGCGACGCTGCAGAAGTTTTCTGACAAGAATGGATTCTTAAAGGAGGCAGCCGACCATTTTCGTGATGTGTGGGCTAGAAATCTTGTAGCTAATGGAAATTTTGTAAAATTGCAGCTAAGAATTCCATTTATTACTTCAACCTCACTACGCGTCCAGTCCTCGCTCGGTTGATTTTTCCTCCATGTCTTGGTAACCCAGAGCGGCTCGTAGATCATAAACATTTGCGGATCTTCGCTAAACATTCGGCTGATAAAAGTCGTTCCCGATCGGTCGGCTCCGAAGATCAGCAAACTTCGTCGGCGTTGTGAGAAATCCAACAGATTCTTCGGTTCTTCCGGCGTTGGGGTCAGAATTAGTGCTTCTTCACTGGAATGCATGTTTTTGGATGTTATTTGTACTTCACTTCTCAAATGTTTGGGGTAATCATATGCGATAATGTTTCTTCGGTGGTTTCCATACAGGAAACCAGTCAAATAAAATACGGCAGCAGCAACGATCGCTATGGCCAGCAATCGTAGACTGATGCGAAATGGCGGCATTATTGGTAACTGCACCAATTCAAAAATTTCTGCAATAAAACAAAACAAATGTTATCAAAAAGGTTGTTTATCTGCTCTGTCAAACATACTAGAGGAAAAAAATCCAAAACAATTGTTGGCACTTTACGATACTTTATGGCCACTTTTGCATGAAGGCATATTCCTTTGACATACAAAATTGCATTTGACAATTGTTGTTTACACGTAAGAGCGCCTTTAATATCAGTGACACTACTCGTACCCAACTGAAAAGCTTAAAAAGCTTGTAGTGCCAATCGTGAAAAGGCCCTGTTTTCTTGCCGCTTTCGACAAAGGTACTTTCAAAAAGGTACCATGTTGGAAACGCCAAGAAAAACGCTACGACCAATCAAAATTATTTTGAAATCGCGTGGCTCCAATTTGTCTAGCAGATACCGTCTTTTATATCACTAAATAGGACTGTGAAGTAGTAAGAAGTTATTCAAACGATAAATAAATTGTTACGATAAATTGTTGTGTCTAAATTTTTTCTTCCAACGGCATAATTTGCCAGTTCCTTGGCCCTTGTGATCAAGCGTAAATTGGGAAAAGTGAACGCACATTGCTAATTTACCTTTCTCCATCCTAATTTTTAAGATCCAAGTTTATGTATGGATATTTCAATCGTCCAGCAATGTAAATTTAACTAATAGAACGAAGAGATGCGATTTTGAAGTTTCGTTTCCTTATACCCCACCAATCAGTACTGTTGGTAATTTTGCTATTGCTCTGTTAATGCGATGAATGAGAAATTAAATAAAATAAATTTCACAAAAAGTTTTCGTCTTGTTGTAATGAAGGAAAGAAACTGCTTACTAATATCAGATGCGGAAAATATAATGTAATGTATTCTGATGAGAAAACAAAACCGCTAATTATGACAAGAGAGTGTTTAGCCTTAATAAAATAGTTTCAACTATCAGATTCTAAGAAACAACAAAGACTGGCCACTGGGAAAACAAATCGTTATTCTTGTATTTTAACGCTTATTGTCGCAAATGAGACGAATAGCGCGAGTTTATTTCAAGGTAATGAAGATATCTTGCTGTTGTCAGTTTTATTTAAAACTGATTAAAAACTGTATATAGTTCCTTTGTTAAATTCCGAATGGCTACCTCCTGAGAAGTAACAGACTGAATTATTTGAAAAAAAAAATATGTGCGAAAACAATTAAAAAATATACTCACTTGATCTCCTTGTTTGCTCTTTTGCCGCTAGTTTAAAGGGTCGCTTTTCGTTTAATCCAGTATGAAGTGAGCAGAACGTTAAACAACACTCGAAACTTTTAGCAGTAAATGAACCCCTGTTTATAATGCTATACAAAGTTAAATTGCATATAAACAGGAGGGATAAACGGGCATTATCCACTGAATATCATATGCAGGTTTGAATAGACGATTAAGCACAAATTTGTAATACAATCGTCGCGGCAAGCGTTTCAAATGCTTCATTTACTGAGTAAAGCAAACAGAGCCCGGCAACTAAAAGGTCAATTAATGGCAAGCATAGCATTATCCTCGTTAAAATGTATTATAAGAGACATTACTTTATGGACTTTAGCGTATCTTAGGAACCCTTCAGTTGGCTTAACATTGAATTTAGTGTTTTGCGTAATTAGCCCAGTTTTAGTTACTAAATCTCTTTCGAGTTATGCGCAAAAATGGCGGCACTGCAGGGAATTTGCCGAATTGCGGCTCAAGGCAAGTTTTAAATATCAATGTCATTTTTTTCGAATTTCTTTCAACATTTTTAGTTTGGTTTTAGTGTGTCCTTGGCGTTCTGTCTTTCATTTTATGAACGTGTGTTTCTATGGTTTGTATCAATAGAGCGTTTTCAAATGACGTCATCTCCGCCATGTTGGTGTTTCAAAACAATGAAACGGCGGCCATGTCGGTTTTCCAAACCAGTCCTGTGGGCGTTTAACTTTTTTGTAATGTAAAAACTTTCTTCTGTTCCATTTTATTTGCCTAGCAGCAGGCCAAGTGAGTGAAAACGCTTTATGTTAATTTGCTTCAGTTCTCGGTTTTTCTATTTTGGTACATTTCTGAGAAGGAATTATTCTTTTTGCAAACCTTACGGAAGCTATAAGTTTTTTTCGTCAAAACTCTGATTTTAATTGTAGTTGGCGCTTTTCGCCGATATTTTGGCGGTTGCACGGCTTTTAGTGGGTCTCGGTGGTATGGGTGGTGGACCGTCAGTCCAAAATAAAAGTGTCCCAAAATCTTAGTCCAGTATTTGAAGAGTCTCGGCGCAGTCGTAATTCCTGTCGAAATAAGACGTCGAATTTTCACGCAGTCGTTTTGTTTTGTTTATTTTTTTTTGTTTGTTTGTTTTTGAAGGTCAAGGAGGATATGCGATATGCGAGCTGAGTTCGGAAGGGGTTCTGGAAGTCTCGAAATCGAATTTAAAACTCTGACAGTTTGTCAAAGTTTATCTACAGATCCATCGTCTTCTAAGTTCAATTAAAAGGGCAAGCGGAGCGTATTATGATGGATTCGAAAAAAAGAGAATTCCAAGACGAAATTATGGAGACCTCGGAGGTTGTTATCGCTGAAGCCAAAACACCCCTACTCTCCTCCCCTTGATTTGTATAAGTATTCAGATCACACTCAGCCTCATACTAATAATTGTTAAATATATATTACCATTTGTTACTACATTTTTTTGTAAATATATCTTTAAAATAAATATGATCTTCTATTTTCAATACAGAAGGAAACTCTCGTTTGACTCGCGCCGTAAGCCACCGATCACTTATGATAACTTGCGTTAGTATTCACGACCCCGTCAGGGTGTTCAGAAGAAAGTTCTTCAGGATTAGTCCATCCCCACTTGCGACAAGGAGAGATTACCATTAATTTTGTATGGAAAACCCGGAAATTTCGGGGAGAATTCAAATGGAACGGTTCATCCCAATGGAAATTTTCCGGAAAAAAA